AGTATTTTCGTCCCCCTTCAACCAGCTCTCGTAAGAGTCTTTGCCGAAATGGTAGGCGGTAGAGTAGGGATTCAGGAAAATACTGGTGACGGTGGAGAAGTTGGCTGAAGACGCGGTTGAATTGTCGGTAGTGGTGGCATTAATGGACAAAGATTGCGGACTATCACCACTGTAATCGGTCAGCCTAAATCACAGGGAAAGCTGAACACTTACATATGGTCAGTCGCATAGTTCATAGCCACTAATACTGTCATGTTTGTGGCCGGAAGGGCTACGAGCCAAGTGATGATGACGAGCCACATGCGGAGAACGAAAAGGATCTGCCGCCGGGCCCATAGCAGCGCTTGACGGGCATAGACGGTCGGCGGTATGGTCGAGGGGAGCTCGGAGGGGAACACTGGGCGGGACATCAGCATGCAGATTGTGGGGAGATATGAGGAGCGTCCTACCTTTTGTAAAGGTGTATTTGTGACCACATATTTCGCAGTGCTTCTTTTGGCTCTGGGCGACCCATTGTTTCAAGCTACGTGGGTAAGCATAGCGCCTTGATGCATGCCACCACTCACCAGTCTGGGTGGACATATCTGACTGAGCCTGAGCATTTACAGGGATAGACGAGAGGCAAGTCTTCCTCGGCGCCGGTTCGACATACTCGGCAGACGTCTATAAAGGAATGAGCTGATTCATGATGGTTGTGAAGAGCGCTTACCACCCTCGTCGTCGAGAAACCTAGGATCTATATCAGGCTCCATGGGGCCGTACTGGGCGGTTTTTAGGGATATGCAGAGTCACAAGCAGATAAGATTCTGAGAAAGCTGATCGAAAGAACATCATAGTAGTCTGCTCGGTAACCGCCACGCCAAAGTGGGGGGGTGCAAAAAGGGGCGTCCACCGGTCGGGTGGCCGGGTCCGCGCGTTGAGGACTATGGTCTGGACAAAAGACAAGGAGCTTTGGATTTTTGAGCTGTGTCAGCCAGAGGTCATGCGAGATTGGCATCAGACCCATTGCCAAAATGCATTACAGGCAACAGTAGCATATCGCAGCGAGCGCTGCTTGCTGGTTCAACTTCTTCTTGCCCAGACGCGGCGAGCCAGCTGTACTCGAGTGGTGATGTATATCTTGAGATAGCTATGAACAACAGTCTACATGTTCAGTCCTGGTAGAAAGTACACATAACGTGGCTAAATCGAGTGGTCGTGACTATTTACCGGTCCTCCTTGAGCTCCTGGAGGATCAATGAGCGGACATTCGGTTTCCCAAAAGTATATACGTACTTGTACGTGACGACTCCTGCTTTCAGTATGTGCATACTGCTGGGGACAGTGACAACATTAGGAAGGAGGAATGGGAGACAGAATGACAGACTGTCAGGCAATCAACTGTCACCTGTGGTCTGTGAGACTGTGAGGCGAGAAACCGTCAGCAACCATACACACGAGACACAACAGGGACGACGGTCCAAGCGCGCAACCGGCGTGATTGCCGGACACACGGCGATGGTCCATTTCTGGGTGGACCAACGCCGACAGCGGTATAGGTCCCAGCGGGGCCTCGGACACGGAACTGTGCAAGACAGCGGTCTGGGTGAAGCAGGTGTTGTGTGGCGGTTGAGCAAAGGCTCATGAAGTAACATATTGGAGGCGTAGGCCGCGTAGGCTTGGCTGGCTTACAGTACTAGGGAGACGCGCTTGTGGCCGCAGCGAGAAAAAGTCTGGGGTGAAAAGTCCTTTGCAAACATGGTCCCTGGCCAGCAACTGGGCATGTACATGATCTGAAGCGAGCGGGTGAAGGATGTGCGTCAGAAGAGCTGACATGCCAGAAGAGAACAACGCTGGCTCGATATCTCCACGAACGGACAGCAACCGAAAGTTGACCGAACGACAGTTGAAAGTTGGTTGAAAGAACGAGACACATGGCCGCCCAAAGTGGGGTGAGAAATAACCCGGGCCGGTCGGGTGCCCGGCGGCGGGCTTGTCCGATTGCCGCATGCGTCAATCATGGCCGTTGCTTGTGCTGCTGCGATCATATCAACTTTCATTCTCCAGCTCTACTATACATCCCCCAAGATGCGTCTCACCACTCTGGCCCTCTTGGCCACTCCTGCTCTCGCTCTTCCAAGCCTACTTCGACCCTCAGAAGTTGCCACCAACGCCATCTCTCTCGCCCAGGCATGGCTGCAGGGCGCCGTCTCTGCCACAAAGACCTCCGTCCAGCACGGATGGCAGGGTATCGAAAATGGTATTGATGGAGAGCTTAATGTCAATACTGTAGACATGAACGGAATCCAATGTGAGTTTGTTATTCCGACGATCCTCTCTAGCGCGTAAAACCCCGCCCAAGATCCTCCCACCGCAGAAAGCATCATGTACTTGGTATAGCAAAGCTAATGCCTAGCTCAGACCTCTCCGTGTCCCACCCTGCATTCCCCTTGCACCGCATGCGCGTCGTCAAGCCAGAAATTTGCGACCCATCAGTCGATCAGTTGTCTGGTTACCTCGATATCTCTGAGACTCGACACCTGTTCTTCTGGTTCCAAGGCTCTCGGTCTAACTCTGCCGAGGATCCTCTTGTTCTCTGGCTTAACGGAGGACCCGGCTGTTCTAGCACCACAGGTGCACTCTTCGAGCTCGGAGGGTGCAACATCAAGGACAAAGGCGAAAATGTGACACGGAATGACTACGCTTGGAACTCGGTTGCGAATGTTTTGTATCTCGACCAGCCGATCGGAGTGGGATACTCGTATGCGGACGAGGGTGAAGTGAACAACTCTCCCGCAGCTGCCGAGGACGTGTATGCCTTCTTGATCTTGTTCATCTCCAAGGTACGCTTCGTTTGAGATATGATGGCCGCAGCTGACGATGATCAGTTCCGCGAATACTCCAAACTCGATTTCCACGTGGCTGGCGAGTCCTACGCCGGGACGTATATCCCCAACATTGGAAGCGTCATTCACAAGAACAACAAGGCACTCGATCTGGTCTCCACGCCCAGCGTGCCCAAGATCAACCTCAAGTCGCTCCTCATCGGTAACGGTTTGACCGACCCCTATTCGCAGTTTGGTTCCGTCCCCGAGTAAGTCGCCCGCAACAGTCGATTCCAAGCTGACATAACCTAGGTGGGCTTGTAACGGTCCCTACGCTCCTTACGAAGACCCTTCTCCTGAATGCGACAGCCTCCGCTCCAAAGCCAGCCGATGCCAGAACCTAATTTCCGGCTGCTATCGGACCAACAGCCGATTCACCTGCGTCCCCGCCGCCCTCTTCTGCTGGTCCATGTTCAACGATCTCCAGGACCTCGGCTTGAACATGTACGATGTGCGAAAGACGTGCGACAAGTCGCCAGAGAAGGACGGACCGCTCTGCTACAAGGAGATGGGCTGGATGGAGACATACTTGAACAAGCCAGAGGTCAAGAAGGAACTTGGTGCGCCGGATTCTGTGGATTTCCAGAGCTGCAACATGCAGATCAACCAGAACTTGTAAGTGCGGATGAGCTGTGTAGATGAGGTGTCGAAACAAGGCTGACGTACAATAGCTTGCTGCACGGTGACGGGATGCACTATGCCGGTGGTCTCTTGACTGATTTGGTGGACGATGATATCCGAGTTTTGATCTACTCTGGCGAGGCCGATATGCGTATGTCCACCCATCTTCATCAGAGCATCAGCTGACATATATCAGTTGTCAACTTTATTGGCTGCGCTGCAGTACTGGACAACCTCCCCTCGACTTACCAAGCCGCATACCTCTCTTCCCCCATCGCCAACTTTACATCTCCCAGCGGCGACGTCTTTGGCTACACCAAGTCTTCTGGCGGGAAGGGTTCTGGCAACGTTGCCTTCGTGGCGTTTGCCAACGCGGGTCACATGGTCCCTCATGATGACCAGGAAGGTGCGTTGAGGATGTTTGGCAGGTGGTTGAAGGACGAGCCTCTTGATTCCGGCAAGGACAAGTGGTGGAAGATTTGAAATCTGAGCTTCGTCAAGTAAAGGTCATGAGAAACTTTGTGTAAAGAACATTGTCAATATGCATCGCAAGTCAAAAGAGTCTGAGCGAATGATGCTATGTATCGATTCCCTCTCCCCGGATGGAGTCAGGAGTCTCACGAAGGATGGTGAAGAGAGAATGGCCGGAGAAAGGCTGAGCGAGCGCTTGGACCCCTGCGAAGGAGCTGTCCTCTGTGTGTGTATTCAGGCCAGATGTTTCTCTTCTTTCTTCTTCAGTCTGTTTGTGACATTCTCGTGAGTACCACGTCCCAAATATCTATTCTCGCTTAGCTCACCTCCTACAGCTCCTCGCTCTCGCTGACGAGATGCCCTGCATACCTGTATACGTTGTATTCATCTGCTCCGAACTCAATAGTCCGCTACAACATGGACATGGAGCTGGGGGGTGACGGCTGGTCCGACGATCTTTCGTTTGCCATCTCCGACGTTACGGTTGCTGCTGATCCGGAATCAGTGCAGATGGTGCTTGGTAATATCTTCTACCCGGCCACTACCGGCCCGCGACATTGTCACTGCTGCGCCTCATTTGTGCCCCAGGGCGATGATGAGCTATGGAAGTACCACCACAGTCAAGGTATGGGAGTGGTGTTTGACACGGTTTCAAAGGAACTCGTAGATGAGAGGATCAGTAGGTATTGAGGAGAGCTTTCAGCAGCGAATGATCACAGCCCTGTATTGTCGGTTGAAACCCTTCAATTGACGCATGAACGTTCATTTTACGGTCTCCTTGGTGTACAAGCTACAAAGGGAAGTGACAAAAAAATGGAGACGAGATAGTAATGGTTGGTGGATCAAGGTTGAGTGACGCCGAGCGCTTGGACCACCGCCGCATCGGAGCTGTTTGGTCCGACATACATATACACATTTGTGATTCACAATTCATTTTGTATTTGTACATCTTTTTCACCTCTCTCGTCATACAGCGGGTAACATCGTGAGCCCCATGTGAGCCTTCAGTCACGCCCACTCACGTCCCACAGCTCTCCCCTCACCATGCCGTGCACCTGCGCGCCCGCCTCCGGCCTACTTTCGCCTCTCCCATTCCCTCCGGAAATCAAAAATCGAATCCTCCACTTCCTTCTCACTACCACCACCTGCAATAGCCATTTCATCGATCTCCTTTGCCTCGAAAAGGCCGTGTACGCCTTCCACGCCAAGGAACTCTATCGCCAAGTGACTCTGGACGGTGACAGCGTCGCGGCCTTATGGAAGGGCTGCGACTTTGATGTCGACCAAGACCAGCTGCCCGACGAGTCTGTGCTGGAGCTTTATTCTGACGAGAAGCAAAACCCAACCTCTCGAATCCCCTTCTCGTACCCCTCGGCCGTCCGAAAGCTCTTGCTTATCAGACACTGTTTGTCTCTGCACCTTCGCACCGGCGATGCCGCAGACTGTTCTCCTGGCTCAGTCCCGGAAAGCCTCTTGCCCATCATGGAAAGGCTTCATGTCAGTGCACCACTATTCTGTGGCGTGCAGAACCTTATCATCGGGGAGGAGTACTTGGCGTACATCTCAGGGGCGCTGGAGGCAGGTATGGACTTCGTGAGACCCCTCGGATTCATTTCCGAAATCATCCCCCGAACTCTCTCTTCTGTCTGCATCTACTGGCCGGACGAAGCCCACGAAGGGCTCGGAGAAGAGCTGAACGATCTTCTGTGGTCCAAAACCCTCGTATGCAAGAAGCTCGTCATTCACAATGCCGACCCCGACCAACTTCCTCCCATCTTCGACATCCAAGAGCTTGTCCTCGACCTCACTCCTGAGGCATACATCAAGGGAATGGATGAGCGCCGCTTGGGCCACAAGAAGATACATACCTGCTACAGGTGGCTGACAACCTTGGTTGAAGAGCTGTTGTCGTCGGCAGACAATGGACACGCGTAAGCCACAGCCATCCTCAGACCACATCACAGTGCCTTAGCTGACACGTCTGATAGAATCCGTTCCCTTCCTGACCTTACGTTTGCGAATCTTTACACATGGAAGTCTAGCACTCCCAACTCCGTCTTACGCTACAACACCGACGTCGAATTGGGTGGTGACGGTTGGTCCGACGACACTGGGACTGTCGTCTACGACGCTGCTTGTGGGTTTAGCGCTGAAGAGCAGAGGGTGCTTGAAGATTTCTTCCCCCGCGATATGGGCCCGCGATACTGTCATTGCTGTGCTCCTTTTGTGCCACAGGGTGCTGTTGACCTCTGGCACTATGTAGGTGCCAAGAATAAGAAGGGGGAAGTATACGACAGAGTGTCGAAGGAGGACGTATACGACAGGATCTTCAGGGACTTTGGGCTCTGATTTGGAGTGGCGGGCGATGTCGGCAATGCGGGGGATGCTCTGTACAGGGTCGATGTATATACTGAGCTCGATGGATCGATTGTGCTCCATCTTCTGCGGCTTTCGTCATCCAACGAGCTTGTCTACTTTCTACATACAAGTCTCTATTGATTTCGCTTTAACTTGTTGAGCTCTGCTACCTATCTCGGCCAGCCAGTTTCAAGATACTCACTCAGGGAGATATGTGCCGCTATCACGCTTGCTGATCCTTCTTGCAAAGGGGAAGGTGAGTAGAGCGCTCGGATCACCCGTCGTCAAGCGCGCACAACACGTGGTGGTATCGCTGCTCTTCTTTCTCTTTTTACTGTCCACAAGACGACAAGTAAGTAAGTGGTCCCTATGCCATCCCCACACAGCTCACCTCCCACAGCTCCGGCCAACAACATGCCCTGCACATGCGCCCCCTCCCCCGACCTAACCGAGCCCCTCCCCTTCGCCCCAGAGATCAAAAGTCGAATCCTCTGCTTCCTCCTTACCACTACCACTTGCAATTCCCACTTTATCGACCTCCTCTGCCTCGAGCAAGCCGTCTATGCCGTCCACGCCAAGGAGCTGTACCGCGAAGTGACCTTGGATGGCAAAAGCATTCAGGCTTTGTGGAAGGGCTGCGACTTGAATGATGACGACGAGCTTCCCGACCAGTCTGTGCTGGATCTTTTGTCTGACGAGATGCCGACTCCGCTTGGCCACATTTCTATATCCTACCCCTCCGCCGTCCGCAAACTCCTCCTGGTCAGACACTGTTCGTCTCTGTACCTCCGCACCGGCCATGCAGCAGACTGGCATTCTGCCTCCGTCCCAAAACACCTCTCGACTCTCACGGAGAAGCTTGGTGTCAGTGCCCCGCTCTTTTGTGAAGTCGAGAGCCTGGTCATCGGTGAGGACTACATGGAGTACATCCTGAAGGCATTGGAGAATGACACGGAATTTGGGACTTCTTTGGGAATCAATTCCAAATACATCCCTCAATATGTCCCCACCGTCTGCGTCCACTGGCCCGACTACTCCCGAAGCGGGATGCTTGGAGATGAGCTGAAAACCCTTATCACTTCCCCGATACCGCTCCTAGCATGCCACGAGCTCGTCATCCACAACGCTAAGCTCGACCAACTTCGACCTTTCCTGGGTCCCAAGCTTGTCCTTGACCTCGCTCCTACTATATACCACGAGGGAGTGGATAACGAGCATCGCATAGGCTACGCACAGGAGGCTGCATGCTTATGGTGGCTGTCGAGGTACCTCAAAAAACGGGTGCGCCATGGAGGCCAGTACGTTAGAGCCATCCACAGCGTGACAGCACTTGCACCTTAGCTGATTCCTATGATAGACGTGACATCACGTTCGCCAACTTATTCACATGGAAGTCTCCCACTCCCGATTCGGTCGTTCGCCACCAAGTCGACATCGAGCTGCGTGGTGACGGTTGGCGCGACACTATTGGGGACATGATGATTTATAAAGCCGATGAAGATTTCGACCCCGACTGTGAGGGCCCGCGATACTGCCACTGCTGAGCCCCCTTTGTGCCCCAGGGTGAGGTAGACTTGTGGTCTTCCCGCTGCATGGAGGGGGAAGGAGGAGTTTTCGATAGGGTCGAGAAAAAAGCCGTAGACGAGAGGATTTCCAGGTTCTGGGACGATGGCAACTGAGGTTGGGAACGCGAATGTGGTTCCGAAAGAATTCTTCATTTGAACTACCGTATACTATCTACTCGTATAGTACTACAACGACTGGCTGATATCATCGAGAACGAGGAGGAGAAACATTTGCCTCTTATCATGTATTGTAACATACAGGATCCTTATATGACCTCGCTTTCTCTGCGATTCTCGCCGCTGGTATACGGCACGTCTTCTGTCGACAATCTATAGCTTCTAGAACGAGGCAGGGGCAGAAGTATTCTTGTGAACGCCCTTGTTCTCCTCTTCTTTTTTTCCCTGTTTGATCACTAATTCGCCACCCTCGCCATACTGTACGAGTACTTGCGAAAGCGCCCCCGCCGACGTGCTACCTAAGTACGAGGAGTCTGTTTCTAGATGTGCGGACTATGATTCAACAAATGATGATGCATTTGCACATTCTAATGCGCCCGCAGAAAACGCAAGACACTCTATGTAATGTAGACACCAAAAAAAGAGAACAAGCAACAAGTCCATGCTCCTCTCCCTGCACTCGCATCACCTCCTAATCAACCAACTCGAGCGGTCGGTAGACAGCGTCCCACATCCTGCTCCTGATGTAATCCTCAAGCGACGATTCACCCTTCCCTGTGGCATACTTGATGGTGATTTCGTCATACGCATTGCCATCCTCCACAGCCTGCCTGACCACCGCGGCCGCAACGTCCACCGACACCTTTCGCACATCCGCCAAATCCGGCAAGAGCGACGCCTCGGGATTTGAGAGCGCGGGGGAGAGCGAGGCGAGCGAGTTGACACCGGCCATGAGCATGGAGTTGGAGATGGTCTTGGAGCGGGAGAGGATGGCACCGAGACCGAGGGCGGGGTAGATGAGGGCGTTGTTGGTCTGGGCGACAACGTACTCTTTGCCGTCGGCGAGAGGAACAGGGGGGAAGGGGGAACCGGTGGCGACGAGGGCGCGGCCCTCGGTCCAGGCGAGAGCATCGGCGGGGTCGACCTCACACAAAGCAGTAGGGTTGGACATGGGGAACTGCAGTATGTCAGCATAATTTCAGCTCAGACAGAAGCAGACTCACAATGATAGGCCTCTCAACGTGCTTGCCCATCTCCCTAATCAACTCCTCGTTAAACGCCCTGGAATGCGTCGACGTGCCAATAAGCACCGTCGGCTTGACATTCTTGATCACATCCATCAACCAGTAACCTTCCCTGTCCTCATCCTCCTTGGACCAATGTTGCACCTCGGCATCGGGCCTGGCGTAGGGGAGCTGGGAGTGTCGGAGGGCGTTGCCTTGGGATTGGACGAGGAGACCGTGTCGGTCGACACACCAGAATCGCTTGGCGGCTTCAGAGGGGGAGAGACCATCGAGGATTTGAAGACCGTCCTTGATCTGGTCGGCGATACCCATACCGGCAGAGCCGGCACCATAGATGACAATACGTTGGTCGGCGAGGCTAGAACCGCTGACCTTGATCGCGCTGGGGCATCGTCAGCATTAGACGGAAGGTAAAGAAAGGACTCACGAAAGCAAAGCCGCAAGAGCGACAGCACCAGTACCCTGGATGTCATCGTTAAACATAGGAATGTCCTTGTACTTTTCCATCAACCTGTACGCGTTCGCCATACCAAAGTCCTCAAAGTGGATGATGGCGTTGGGGAACAACTCTCGGCAGTTGGCAATGAACCTGTCAATGTACCTGTCATAGTTCTTTCCCCTAATCCTCGTCCTCTTCCAGCCCATGTAGAGCGAATCCGAAAAGAGCGCGTGGTTGTCGGTACCGCAGTCGAGCACGACGGGGAGGATTCGGTTGGGGTTGATACCAGCACCAAGGGTGTAGAGCGCGGCTTTGGAGGTGGAGATGGTGATACCGCCGACACCTTGGTCTCCGATACCGAGGATGGCCTCAGAGTCGGTCACGACGACAAGGTCGATGGCGTCGTTGGGGTTTTGGGAGTCGTAGGCGACGTCGGCGGTACGGTTGATATCGGAGAGATGGCCTTGGAGCTGGGCGCGCATACCATCTTGGTTGGGGAAAGACTGTCACCGTCGTCAGGGAAGCCTCTTTCGGTGAGGGCAAGACATACAATGTAACAACCGACAGGTCTTCTGAAAAGGGAAGAGTAACCGGCAACGGCCTCGGCAGCACCGGGGGTATAAAGGACACCCAGAAGCTCCTTGAGTCGATCTTGCATTAGCTTGTAGAACAAGACTTGATTTTGGTCTCGCAGGGAAGCGAGGAAAGCGTGCTTGAGGATAACGGAGGGTTGCTAGATACAGAATGAACATACGCCGTTGAATTTTTGCGGAGAATGCTCACCTTGCACAACTGGTTGTACGCTCTCAGAGCCTGCTTTTCGAGAGAGTGCACATCGTAGGGCAGGAACCCTTCAAGGCCGAAAATTTGACGTTCTTCACGAGTGAAACCGGCACCCTTGTTGAGCTGAAAGCAAAAGTCAGCAAGGAACGGACAGAAGCGTAGACAACCTACACGAGGAGTATTCAGCAAGGCAGAGCCTGCGAGCGGAGGATGGGCGTCAGTATGCGTCAAACCTCGATGTATCGCCGAGTAGCTACTGGAAATGTCTCATAACTTGGAGCATTGTACACACCTTTAAGATTTGTTCTGAAGAGCATACATAGTCAGCACTGGATCTCCATAGTGACGGGGCGGGGAGACTGAAAAGTTGGAACGGGCGTGGATTGATCCAAGATCCGCCCGAGAGCACACGTCAAGGACGACAGTCTGACATATGCTACCCAGTTGTGGCAGTGGCAAAGCCAGAATGATCCAACCGATACAGCTCCATAGGAAGCAGCACGTCAGAGGTGTGCGTCGGCCGATCCGGCCACACGACACGTCGCCCCAATCACATTTCATTGCACCCCGCAGTACTTGATACAGTCCTTCAAGGAAGATAGACTCACCGTATGGGCACCAAATTCTTGTCCTCGGCGGTGATGCTGGGCCGCGTGAGGTTTCTAGACTGTCGGGCAGCGAGGGCAGGCTGGCGGAGGGCGACGCGAGACGCAGCCACTCGTGTGAGGGCTGAGGTGGAACTGTAGAGCATGTGAGTGAATACTCGCAGAGCAGGATGGATAGAAAAGAGAAAGGGCGGAAAGAAAGGAGCAAGCCCCCCACCTCACAGGTATCCTCCCCTGGCGCGTGGCCAGAAAAGGATGCCCCAGCAGGTGCGCGATGTGGAGGTTCGCTCTTCTCCGGGAGTGCCGTAGGGGGATGTGGGATAGTGCTCACCTCGCTCTGTACATGGCGGAGGATGTTGGGGTGATGAGAGATGATTTGTGGATGTGAATGCAATGGCCCCCCACGAAAAAGAGCGCTGTTGATGATTTTCGAATCTCCACTGACGATTAACATCGTTCTTTTCGAATCTTGCCCGCCGGTATCTAGGAATAGAATGCCTAAAACTTTCAGTCATGCCCAATACCCAAAATATCACTTACATTTGTATGAACGTTTGTGGAATTTCAGTATAACACCCCTATTTATTTTCAGCAAGGTACCTGCAATTAACCGACACACCGGCATTGCCCGAGCAGCGACAGGGAAAGCGAATGGCACAAATAGACCGATAAGAGGTCAAAGAAGAGTGGTACCACAAGGCGTCACTTGGGTCAAGCATGAAAAGAAGGCTCCGAGATAGGGTGGAAACGGAGCTCATGGCGAGATCCACACAAATCTGAGCGAATCCATGGCAGAATGCAGCTCGCCATTAATCTCGTCGATCATGATCGCGTCGCGTCGATGATGCGCGCGCACGCATGCAGGGTAAAAATTGTTGCTTCTGGGGATGTACCTATGCAGGCAAGATATCTTTGGCATGGTGGGTGCGCCGAGATGGCATGGAGTTCACGATGCGGTGTTCTATGCGGCAAGACAAGACAAGGAAGGCAGACAGGCGGACTGTAGTGTTCGGAGGTTCAAGGGGACTCTGGCGGGCGCCAAGAAGCTACTCATGAGAGATCTCGGCAGACCCGAGATCATAGAGGCCATCTTCAATTTGGTCGTTTTCCGTGATGAGCTCTGAATGTCACCGCAGACAAGAGCTGGACCACCTTTCCAAATCGACCTGTCATAAAATCTTCACTGCACAGTGAACGTTCTCGCTGTTGCCTTTCAGTTGTGAGGTTATCGCCTTAATCGATTGGAAGGTTCGTCAATTTGGGAGATAACAAGTCAAATGGCCCGGCTATGATGGCAATCCACCACAGACGCCATCCAACACTTTGGGATGCTCCACAATTTGATGGTATGCAGCAACATAGAAAGAATCACAATGGGCACGAACACTACTCTACGATATGCTTCACTCTGCAAGCAGTGCCGGACAGGAGCGAGTGAGCGGATGATGCAAGAGTTGAGCGACGGAGCTTCCACGTCACGACTGGCGAGCGCCATGCTGTCACTGTTTGTGTGCTGTTCCTGGGGTCACCCTGTCTCAACGCGACAGCAGCAGGGGCGCAGCGAAAGGAGACGACTTTTCATGGACATCCTCCCATCAAACCACCTATCCAGCAGCGTCTCACGCCTCTCACGACACAAAAGGCGACTCGCCGACGCGAAAAGAAAGGATCTACTGCGGGCGCCTGAAGCTGTGCGCTGTGCCAAATAGACAGTCGCTACCTCATAGCTTCGCACTACAAAATGCCCCTCGGCCCTCGCCCCAACCCCTCTTCATCATCCAAAAATCCCCCCTCCTACGACAACCCATACCTCTCCTCCTCTTCACTCGCCAACGCCGGCCCCGCATTCCCATCCACCCCTACGTCCTCCCAGATGCCGTATCCTCACCAATCATCCGTCGAAAGTGGCACTACCGTCCTCGAGCCGGTCGAGCACCGCTACGACGGGTTCAATCCGGCGCAAGGCGTCATGTCTGATTACAGGCGCGCGTCCGGGGCGTATGCGCCAAACGACGAGGCGAGACATGGCGAGCAGGATGTAGGGCTTTTGAGCGCCAATCAGCCGAACGACGGGTACAGCTACGGAACGCCCTACGAAGAAGACCAAGAGCCGTACCGAGACCGTATCGTCACTGCCTCGCCATCTCTCGGTCCATGGGACTCTGCCTCTCAGCGGTCGCTGCCTCATCATCCTACCGCATTTCCTCTGCCACAGGCGAATCTCGTACCTTTGGGTGGCGAGGGCAGTCAGATGAATGGGCACGTCAACAAGAAACCGAGCCAAAGCGGGCTAAGCTATATTGACGAGGATGGAGAGTATTATCATTCAGAGAGGATGCGCCCTGCGTCGACAAATCTGAGTTTGGCGAAGGGGGCTGAGGATATGGAGATGGGTAATGTGCACCCGGCCTCGAGCTATGGCTCTGATCCGTACAAGGATCCTTATCAAGAGTCGCCCTACCCATATCCACCCCCACCCCATGACGCCAATCCCTCAGGCTTTGCAAACTATACCACGCCAAGCAACTTGTACACCATGCTCCTCTTCCCTACAGGCCTGGATAGGCTACTGGCAATGGTCGGAATCAAGACGGGGGCTTATCCCATCGAACAGGCGATTGAGAGGAAGAGACGAGGGCTAGGCGGGCAGAGGATACCGGTTGCGACGTGGGCTCTGACTGCTGGTGCGTACAATCAATCTTTTGATTTCTCTGCTGATCAACCATAGCCATGCTCGGAGTCATGATCTACGAGATGGTCCGCAACTACCAGGCTATGGGTACACCCATCGCTATCAAGCCGTCGTTCAACTACATGATTGGTCCTTCGGCTGAAGTTCTCATCAATATTGGCGCTCGATTCCCGCCTTGCATGAAGAATGTCTCGGCATTGCCAGCGACTTTTGAACTAGCTTGTCTCAATGATACTTCAAGGTGAGCCCTTTGATTGGATTGGTTTGAAATGCTGACTTGAGTTTAGCACCCCAACGACTTCGTGTACGATAGAAGAAATTTGCGGACACGGCGGCTTCAACGGCAACACCCCAGACCGTAAATCACTTCTTCATGACATTCCCCGACCTGATTGACAAGATTACACAGAGTGGTGGCGTTTCATCCTACCAATCCTCATGCACGTCGGCATCATCCATTTCATCCTCAACATGCTCGCCCAGATCACCGCTGCCGCCCAAGTCGAACGCGAAATGGGCACCATCCCCTTCTTGATCACCTACACGCTTGGAGGGATTTATGGGTTTGTGCTGGGAGGCAACTTTTCGAGAGTTGGGGTGCCTAGTGTGGGGGCGAGTGGAGCGTTGTTTGCGACTGTAAGTTGTTTACTTGGGTGCGTTTGAAGTTGGGATGCTGATAGGGAAATAGAATGCGTGCGTGTTGGTGGATTTGGTCCTGCATTGGAAGTACGAAGAGCGCCCGAAACTCAAAGCATTCTTGCTATTCCTCGAGTTTGCCATAGGTTTCGCTATCGGCTATATGTGAGCCACCTCCCCACTTTTAGCAGGACGGCAGCTGACGGCTTCCCAGTCCCAACGCTGTTGACGGTCTCGCCCATCTAGGGGGCTGGGCTATGGGGATTCTCTGCGGCATTATTCTCTATCCCTCCATCTCTGAAACGAATAGACACAAGTATATCGTATGGGGATGTAGGGTGGTGGCCTTGGTGCTGGTTATTGTGGCGATGGTCACCACCATCAAGAACTTTTGTGCGTAAACTTTATACCAACCATGTCGGATACACGCTGATAAGAATCGATACAGATACGGATGATCCCAATGCGGCTTGCGAGTGGTGTAAATACCTTTCTTGTATCCCGACAAGCTCCAACGAGCACTGTACCGGCACCGTGCGTTCATCCTCACCCTTTTGCATGCTCGTTCGTCGAAACTGACTTGAGGCTCTAGGGTATCACCACCACAAATTCAACGACGACAACCAAGCGTTCTTGGGATCTTTTCTAGAGATGTGATTTGCGTGGAGACGACGAGGAGATCTTGGGGGAAGAGAGAGAAATTATCACCTGCTTGGACAATTTGACGACCTTTTTTGACGACCTTGTATATGAACTGACAATTGCATACATTACCTTCTTCCTGTCACGATCTTTGTATTTAGATATAGATATACATGACCATGCCTATGAATCATATCACATGTGCTTGCATTCAGTTCACTCAACGACGGTGTTATTGCCAAGATCATTCCGTAAGTCAAGGCATCCTTCTTCTTTCAGATTTTGCTCCACATTAGTCTACATCTACTCCTCATGATGGCCAAATACATGACACATCAGACTCAACATTGATGCAGGTGGAAGAAGGTTGCGCATGGTAATGGTCGTCGGTCGCGCGTCGGGTCAACAGATCGAACGTACTTACGTAACGTGCCTGGCATTTCAGGTTCTCTGATTTTTGGGCAACGATATTCGTCGGCACCTCCGAACATCTCTCCACAACCCAGAACATCGCCAGCATGTCCTCGCAAGGTATCCTCATCACTGCCTCCAAGGTGGCTACCCCATTCAAGTCTGAGCTCCTCAACACCCTCTCCACCCCCCGTTTCGCGTCTCGCCCGCCCCACCTCGTTGGTATTCTCGCGACAAAAAAGGAGGACGCCAGGACATACGCCGAGTTTACAAAGAAGGCTTGCGAGCAGCTCGGTATCAACTATGAGTTGAGGCTCGTCGGTGAGGCTCGTGAGGGTATGGACGGCGAGGGTGTCGGAATCGAAGTCGAGGAGGCCATCCTTGAGGTGCGTAGAGCCGGTCGAAAGACGCACATATCCTGATCTCTCGAAGGCCAACGAAGATCCTGATGTTGATGGGCTTATGGTCTACTACCCCATCTATGGTGGTCGTCAAGACCAGTACCTCCAATCCGTCCTGTCACCTCAAAAAGACGTCGAAGGTCTCAATCACCAGTTCCTCTTCAATCTCTACCACAACACCCGTTTCATTAACCCCTCCACTCTCCGCCCCATTCCCGCTTCCCACCTTGCCGAAGCTCTCCCCAGCAAGGGTAAGCCGGCCAGCGACGATATCGCCCCAGAAGGTACCGTCAAGAGCATCTTGCCTTGTACACCTTTGGCAATCGTCAAGGTGCTGGAACACATCGGCGTCTACAACAAGCTGCTGGCTTATGGTGATCGTGCGAGGGGAAAGGTCGTCACTGTGATCAACCGATCGGAAGTCGTCGGTCGACCCCTTGCGGCCCTCCTCGCAAACGACGGCGCGCGCGTCATCTCGGTCGACTTGGACTCTGTCGTCGAGTTCTCCAAGCGTCCTTCCACGGAAGATGACAAGAGACCTCTTGGTCAGCACCACATCACTACGCCTCTCCCGGACATGACGCTTGCCAAGGCGCTCAATATCTCTGATGTCGTCATCTCTGCTGTGCCCGTGGACAGCTTCAAGGTGCCCACGAAAGAGTTGAAGGATGGATGTATCTGTGTGAACGTTGCCGGGGAGAAGAACTTTGAGGCTGACGTGAGAGAACAAGTAGGTCTTCCTTTCTCCTATATACATTTTCAGAAACTGACGGTATCACAGGCTTCTATCTATGTCCCCTCGGTTGGTGTCATGACCATTACCATGCTCCAGCGAAACCTCTTGCGATTGTGTGAATACCAAGACATGATCAAGGAGCAGAGCAAGTAAGAGCTGTGGGACGTGACTTGTATATAAGAGGAAGGTGAACTTTGAAGAGAAGCGGTGGTTTATGTTTGTAGATATTGTCTTCACTATTTGGGTATGCATATAGCATCTAGGTCTGAAAGATCGGATCAATGACTCGTCTTGTGTATCTTACATGCATGTCACGCCATTCTGTCAACAGATATGCGTGTCATAACCTCTAGAAATGCGTTCATGTATGCGGAAGTTGGGGTTCACAGACACCCATTTTGAACAAGCACTCGTACTGTATACAGATGAAAGTGTCCATTTTGACAAGAGAATACCACATGTTACACGTTGAAACCCTGGGTCCGCAAGATTCTCGCCCACCTGTGCACTACGTCAGTGCCCCATTACAGAATCGCAATATAGGACTCACTGCTCCCTCTTCAGATTTGCCTCCTCCAACTCCCGCTTCAGTTTCTGGTTCTCCAACTGCAGCACATTCCTGTTCGCCTTGGTCACTTGGAGGTCGTTTCGCAGAGCCTGGAAAGCTTCGGTTTCTGGAAGCTGAGCATCGTTGAACATGCCGTCCAGTTCAGTGTTGAACGCTTCGTAGACAACATCAAGTTCAATCTGCGAATCCCCTAATTGGCGTTGTAACAGCTCATTGTGCTCTCTAGACCTGTGCAGCTGGTTGCTCATCGACAAAATCTCCCGCGTTTTCTATCGAAACGGTCAGCATCCGATCAGTACCATCGAAACAGCACTCACCTCGTCGTTCTCCCCCATGACCTTCCTGGCCAACTGCGCAGCCTGCCCCGCGTCGGCCTCCGCTTGCCTCAAGTGTCCGTCCACCCTCTGCACGATCTGTACGATACCGCGAGCACACTCGTCCATGACGATGGTGTCCATGTCTCTCTTGGACTGGGAGGGCTGGCAATGAAGAGAGGGGTCGTTGATGTCATGGTCGGCAATGCGCTATAAAAACGGATGAGACAACATGTCATAGCACAGTAAGAGATACTTACGCTCATATTCCGTTTGTGGGGTGATCTTGGGAGCGAACCTTGTCTGTCCATCTTGACCGAGAGTGACTCCTTGGACTTGACAGTGTCCTTGACCATCTGCTTCCTCAAGCTCGACATTTCAGATTTCAGCCGTTTCGTAGAGCCCCTGGCGTCATGAATCTAGATGATGTAAGCCTCATTTCAACACCATTATCAGTTTGCACTGACCTTCTTCAAAGTCGCGTCAACCGCGCTAACCACATCTTCATGCTCCTTCATCTCAACATCCTCTGCGCTCGTGGTCGCGACAGTATTGACAGTGTCGGCACTGGCCACGCTCGTGATTGAGTGTTGAGAAGCTGATACTGTCCTCGAGTTCGCCAAGCCACTGGTCCGTCTGGGCGTACTCGCCCCCGACCTTTGCGCGCTCGCCCGTCTCGTGACCAGGGGCTGCAAAGGCGTTTCCAGAAGAGGACTCTTGTTGAGAGAGGGAGAACGTTTACGCGGAGAAAGGCAGTCGGCAGAGTGCTGGCGTTTGATAGCAAGGGGAAGGTTGTGAGAGGTGGGAGTGTTGGTAGCTGGCGATGAATTCTCTTCGTCGCCCTTGAGAGGGATGGTCTCGCGGTTCAGGGAGATACGACGGCCATTGCCCGAGACAATACGGAGGCGAGTGTGACCTGACCCGATAGCAGAAGGTGTCGACCCAGTACTAACACTCGAGCTAGCACTGGATGCTGTCGCCAGAGGAGGGGGGTGGGGCTGAGGGCTCCTTGGTGCAGGGCCCCTAGGTCCAGAAGGTCGTGAGAGTGAAGGCTGTGAGCTCAACGTCGCCCCGTTAGGAGCGGGACTGGGGACTCTATGCGGGGAAGCAATCGATCCCTCTGATCGTAGAGTCTGCGTACGACTGGGTGTCTTTCGAATGACGAGCGGAGCAGTATTCACCGCCATCGAGGGTTTGGGCGCGGGCAGTGGTCGAGCTTGAGGAGTGGCGTCCGCCTCGGATGACAAGGGCCGGCGAGGAGACGGTGTTCGACCAGTTGCAGGTGTCGGCGAGAGATGTGGCAAAGGGGAAGGTGTCCTACTCGTGTTGGCTCTAGCCAACGGCTTTTCCGCCAACTCTTCGTGGCTTCTGCGCAGCTCTGCCACACTCTTGGACCCCAGCTTGGTCGTTTTCATGGAGTTGCTGCTGGGTCGTGGGCTGAGAGAAGCAGATTGGCTGTTCTGCCTTGCTACATCCAATCTCGAGTTCAAGTCTTTTTCGCTCTGCCCAATCTTTTCTACGCCAGAGGGATATGGTGCCCCCGCAATCAACCCGTTCGATTCCGGTGAAACCGTCAACTTTGAGAATCGCTTCTTGCTCGGCTCTTTCTCCTTCTCCTTTTCCTCGGGCCCTTCCATCGAACACAAACTCGTCTCCAATGTTGATGACCGGCTCATGGCGGGTCGGGAGTTTCGCTTCGAGCTAGAAGTGCTAAACATGTCGGAGCTGGTACCGCTTCGGCCAGAGACGCTGCTCGCGCCGAACAGATTACGGGAGATCGTGTCAAGGTTGAGCATCGATGGTCGGTATCGGTGGGTACCCGTGGAGGGAGTGGTGGGACAGGACGTTGTGCCGGTTCGGAACTTGAAAATCCCGTGCTCATGAACTATGACAGAGTCAGAATTGAATTGGTAAGGGCAACGAACGTACTCGTAGAAGCAATCTTTGCTCTCACTTCGCTCATTTCGATGACCGCCCTCTCTCCCTCTTCTTCACCTGGGACAGAAGACGCATATCGACAAAGGCCCCCGGCCATGGGTTGCAGGTAGAACGAGAGCTCTTGTCGGCGCGGATCGAGAAGAAGCTCCGGAGCCTCCCCATCTTCATCGACATGGACAACCACCTTCGCCAAGCGTTGTCCTCCCCATGTAGACCTATCCCAGACGTCCCAGAAGCATCTCGCCCGCTCCAGCTGTGCACCCTCAAAATCTACTTCTTGTTCACTCTGCAAGACCTTGGGCACCGCCTTGTTCTCGGTGGAAGGCAGGATTTTGGCTCGCGCGAGAGCTTGAGCAGCCCAGAGGTTGTGGATGAACCGCATCTTGTCTCGCTTCGTAGCAATGGGATCAAGGGAGACGGAGTAGGGTGGGTGTACGGTAGAGTAGGAGCGGAAAGCGCGGCCGGACCAGCGGCCAGTTTGGTCGACCGGTGGGTGTTCAAAAAAGAGGTGGAAATCACCGTTGCCGACATCCGACGCCATCACATCCAGCACGTCCACCTCTCCCTTGAAGCTCAGCTTGTCTCTCTTCCCATTGTTCTTCTCTTTGACTGCGATTCCACCTCCAGACTTGACGAGCCTCTGCACGTCGTCCGTCCCTGTGACCTTTCTTCCGCTTATCGATGACGATTGTCGTTTGACAATCATAAGCTTGTCATCAAACAAGAACAGGGTGCAGTGTAGAGGAGGCGTGGCGGAGTTGCTGAATTGGGGTGATTGGGGGATTTGTGAGCTGTTCGGCAGAGAGCCGAATCCCGGCATAGAAGGAGTGGAGGCAGTCGACATGGAGCCACGAGACATTGTCGACAGTGGCCGTCCATTGGGTGATTGCATTGTCGGGTATTCAGCTGGATTGTCCTCAACATCGATGGCGTCGATATAGTCTCGATTGTTGCTGAACAGCTTGGCCTGGGAAAGAGTCAGTAATGAAAATCACGAAAACAAGCAATTGACATACCGGGAAGTCGTCAATGTTCCTCTCCAGATTGTACATGACAGTAGCCCGAACAGTTTGAGGATCCGGTTCGCATCGAGCGATTCGTGAAGCAATCGCAATCGCCTCAAGGAGCTTGGCCCGTTGAGTGGACAATGGAGACATACACTTGATCATAGCTATTCGTAGTCAGCGCGACGAGCATGTATGGCGCAACAGTACGCACTTTGCCACAGGAGGGTATACCGGGGTATACGTTGAACAGGTTCCATCAGAAGCTCTCTCAGGCCGATGTTTCCAATGCCTGTGGTCTGGTATTTGGTACTCTGTAATGGCAAAATAAGCGCTCGTCACTCATGATGTAGACTTGACAAACCTCGATAAAACTAGCGAATCCAGAGAACTTCTTCAATGACTCTTGGAAGAGCTTCTGAGATTCGTCCTGTTTGCTCAGATATGTCCTATAAGGATCAAAGGTTCGCAAAGTTTTGAACTGTCGTATGTCAGGGCCATGTCCCATCTACTGAGCCAGACTTACGTGTTTCAAACACACGTCTCCGACAGTGTCTTCCGCGCGTCCAGCCGCCAGCATCTCACACAGATCGGTGTAAAAAGAATGACAAGCAGGGACGATTGCCTCGATATTAGCAAACATCGCCTTTGCCTCGTATGGCGGAATAAGTGCTTGATTGGGGTCCTTCGAGTACAAGCGTAGTCTGTCGGCATAAGCCTAGGTGAAGTCAGAATCCGGCTCATCAAGGTAGACACTGATATAACGCACAGTCTTGAGAGCGTGTATTCTCGAGTAATAACTCTTTTCCGTCCGTACCAGCTCGTCAATCAGGTTCTCCAATCGTTTCTCCATCTCGTGTCGCTTGGCCGCCGTCCACGCCGGCACTGCATCTTCCCGCTCTTCATCATCGGCATCTGGAGGTTGTGAAAGCCGTGAGGGTGTTTGTGGAGAGGTCTTTGATAATGAATCGGGTGCTGGTAATGTTGAAAGCGGCTGCAAAGGCTCTCCGAGATGAGAAAGGAGGTTGGCGGTTTCTTCATGACGTCTCATGTCAACACTGTCTCGTGGTCTCCTATCTCACTTACCTTCTCCTTGTTTCTCCACCACAACATCACACAGAAATGCCCTTCGTGTGACTTTGTTGCCGGTTTCCTTGTCTGTTGACCGTGTTGAGCTGTTGAGGTCGATAGCCTTTGGTGGTAATGGTGGCGGCAGGGGCTCTGCTGAGCGGTGTCTTGAGATGGGACGTGGCTTGGCAGGGGATGGAAAGGGGGCCATGGCGACAGTCGAGCAGGCCGAGGTAGGAAGAGAAGAGAATGAGAAAGGAAGAATGGATGTGGATAGTTGAAATGGATGTTTTCATTTGTTTTTGTTTTCGGCCTCGTGCACAGACAGTCGCGTCGTAACGGAATCAAAGCGTGTTACATAAGCAGTCGCATAGCCTCTTGCAGCCACTGACCGACTTGCCATCGAGTCTTTCTGGATATGCATACAAAACCCCATTGTTTTGTTGTCAATTCCGACAACCCATCCTAAAGCTCTAGGTAGCTTATTTCGACCCCATACGCCGGAACAAACAGAAGCGTACGACACACGCTTCGCGAGTTCAAACCGCTCCTCCTTCCGCAAAAGAACACCGCTAGACAATGTCTGACCTCGAAAACGAACTCCTTGGTCTGGCCGAGGATGACCCAACCTACCACAAGAAGGGGAAGAGAAAGAGCAAGGCGTAGTATGTCCCGTATGCTAGCGTTGCGGATTACTGCTGATATAGCCCCAGCATTGAAGACTCGGACGAAGGAAGCGAGATGGATATGGAGATGGAGTCGGAGGATGAGGGCGATGCGCCTCAATCGCGCGCAAAAGAGCCAATGAAGAACCCTTACCCTCTGGAGGGGAAATATGTGAGCGAGGATGATAGAGACTAGTGAGTGTTCTCTTCCGATGTCTGATGACATGTTCTGATGCGCTCGTTGTAGCTTGGGAAACCTCCCGGAAATCGAGAGAGAAAATATCCTGGCTGGGCGTCTAGAGGAGATGCAGAGGTTCAAGGACTCGCAGGCTTTGGATGCGATGTTCAAGACTGCTCACGGCGGAGATGAGTCTGACGATGAGGATATGAGGGCTAGGAAGAGGCGAAAGCATACGAGCGTGACGGACAAGGCTTCCAAGGCTTTGAACGTGTTGAAGGATAAGCGTAAGGCCAAGGATGAGCGTGCTCAGCGCAGAGTGAGTCGAAATCGGTCCACTATGCGACATTACGCTGACTTGCATAGTCTGCTGCACGCAAATCCTCCCGCCGCTCCCCTTCTCCGGGCGGCTCATCAGAAGAGGGCGAGATCCAAAACAACCGCCGGTCCGTCTCCTACTCTCCCGAACGCTCGCTCTCTCCCGCACCCAAAGCATCGACGCTCAGTAAAGAAGATGAGATGGACACTATGCCTCCGAACAGGCTGGAGTTGGAGGCGGCGAGGCTGAGCAGGTATGAGCTGGTGGATATGATGCACAAGGACGGGTTTGAGGATGTCATTTCGGGTATGTTCCCACACCTCCGATGGTATTTTGCTCACACATCATAGGCGCGTATGTCCGTCTCATGTCGCAAGACCGGGACGAGGTCGGCCGGCCCAAGTACCGAGTCCACAAAATCATTGAAGTCGACACCAATCATCAATTTGGATCTTACAGTATTGAGTATCAGGGGAGACAGATCAAAGACAACAGGGCGTTGTTGTGCAAGTACGGGTCGGCGTCGAGATTATTCAGGATGGCAGATGTCTCCAATGGTGCTATCGAGGATGTGCGTATGTTCATGTTCGCAAATGCCTGCACTGACGTTTGTGTTCCCAGACCGAATTCCAAAGGTTTTCTCTGACGAATCAGGCCGATGGAGTCAAGCCTCCAAAGAGAAGTATCTTGAAGAAAAAGCACGAGGATATCAAGGCGCTGAGAGACCGTCCCATGACCAACGTAAGTCGCATACCACCATTTGCAACCTATACTAATCCCAGCAGTCTGAAATTGACCGCCGTGTTGCCTCTCGCCGAGCTCAAGACTCATCCTTTGCCCGTGCCTCCACCCTCAAGATCCACCAGCTCATGAACACCCGAGACCTCGCTGTTCGCAGAAATGACCACACCATGATCGACAAACTCAACGCCGACATCATCGCTCTTGGTGGTGACCCCGTTACGGGCAAACTCCTCGCTGGAGAAGGAGAGCAGCTTGGACAAGATGATTATGACTTGAAGATCCAAAAGATCAACGAGAATAATAGGAGGAAGACGAAGGAGTCGATGATGAGAGCGCATCAGGCTGCTCAGGCGAGGAAGAAGGCTGAAGAGGCTGTTGTGAAGGCCAAGCTGTGAGCCCTTTCCGTTTGTGCGAGTAGACCAAGACTGACGAGTCGTTTGTAGTGCCGCCCAGAAACAAGCTGAAGCCAGCTCAGCAGACATTGTCGAAATCCCTCAAGCTCCCCCAGCCTCGGGACAGAAAAAGGGCGAGACGCCTCAGCAGTATGTGGCGAGGACCGTTCAGCTCGATTTGGATCTTGGGGACTTCTAGGGCATTGTGCTCTCGACTATGGCTGGATGTTGTTTGATTTAGAGGGGTGGTGGCACGTAACATGCATTGATGTATCTTGGCCAAGTCGATTTGGGTCTTACATGTCAAGCAGCATTATGGAATCACGGTATTATATGGCAATAGAAGCGGAAAATTTTCGATAACAGTTGGGCGCATCACTTGACGTTTGACAGCAGTAAGAAGGATGTAGCAACAGTCCTCGCCGCCTAGCGTAGATTGTGAGCCACATATAATCCAAGTCAATCCTTACGGAACTCACAAGCATGATCATCGTTGCGCACTTTCCGGCAATTCCCCAGGTCATGTGAAAGGAAATACCATTCCCCCGATTGAGAGCTTTGGTCAAATCAGACATGTACTTTGTGTTCACGGCCACCGCGGTAGCAGCAGCAGCTACTCCTAATAGCTGGCCGACCACCAAGAAAACGTGCATGCCTCGATGTTTCTGGGCACGCATCCATCAGCTTTGCTGCATCGATGCAATCTGTTTACGCACCTTGTCGAATAATCCGACTGTTGGAGCGCGGCAGCTAAAGTCGAGCATACTCTGGAAGAAGCCCGACATCATGACGAGGATAGGTGCCACAAAGTTGATCCAGCCCATCACATCGCCGGTGCGGATCGGAAAGTCAGACATGTCGAGATAGTTTCGGGTCTCGTCCGTCAACACCGGGGTAGGTAGCCGAGCATAAGAGGCACTGCAAGAGCATCTGTGTACAGACATTGCATCAGTGACAGAAGCATATTCCCAACATTGTAAGTTGTGAAACAACGACTCACTCTGATGACACTTGGACGCAGGTCTTGAACGAGCCTACATGTATATCAAAAGAAGATGTGGCTTGTTCAACATAGCTCTCGTTCCCCGAGGTGTAGTTGTAGCTGGTGAGATATTCCCCTTCCCCGTATATCCATGGCAGGTACTTTGACCGAGAGGAGCATCTCCTCTGGGAAACATCGATTATCAGTGTGATGATCGCCGCGGCTGTAGCCAAGTCTGTTGAAGCAGAAGAGATCAGTGACAGCTTCATGAATTGATCTGTAGACTACTCACAGCTAAGGATTGAAGCTGGTCGTCCACATGGACGAGGGACTTTACGACTGGGGCTATATGTGGCATTAGACAAATTGTTGTGGGTCAAGGCATGGTTTCCATTGTTCGTTTCGGGCCCATGATCATCCTGATCCTCGTCAGCGGCTGTAGAGTGTATCAGGGACAGCGACTCACTACATGAATGATTCCAGAAACACCCCATCTCTCAGTCCCGCCTGACTGATCCTCAGACTCTTCCTTAGGCCCCTCTTCGATCAACTCGTAAGTCCTGGGCATCTGTTTCCCAAGTCCATCCAGCATATACCGAAAATCCAATGCCTTCTCCGCACCATCCTCATCCACAAACACGTAAATCATATCCCTGACAGTGTCCGTAATTACGACTTTGGTGACATAGGGGAAAAGATGCGTGATGTTTGGTTCGTGCCAGGGTTGCGATAGGGAATAGATAGCCCACATCGCAGACCTGTCGTAGATCCTCAGAGTACGGGTGTGTTGGAGGTACTTGATCTTTCTCCACTTGGCATCCTGGATCCACTCGCGCGACCTGCCCCAGCCTTGGTCTTTGATGCCGCCATTGAACAGCCGGCTGGTGACGGTAATGTCGCGATAGAGGATAGGTGCCATAGAGTGCTCGACTTCCTTGGAGAGGGACATTGTCTTTGAGGATATGAGGAAGACGAGTGTCTTGAGCAGCTCATAGTGCACAGGGGCCAGTTTGTTGATGTTGGCGAATGTTGGCGGTACGTAGGGAAAAGGGTCATTGGGGTTGGAGGAGCTATAGCTGGGAGGACGCAGAGTGAGGTCTCCGTCGCCGGGACCAAGCTCGTCGTAAGGCCTCGAGGAGCGTGACAACGTCGAAAGCTCGATGGGAAGGCCGGGTTCAATGTCGGTAGGCATGTTATATGGTTGTTGTAGGATAGTAACAGAAGTGGTGGGAGGAAGGTGGCGGAATGGAAAAGCAAGCTCAAATATGTGACGGCAGCCCTTGCCGCCCGGCCGGCACGTTAGCGGCTACCATCCAACAAATACGCACCAGTCCGAACAGTAACACCTCGGGAGATGGAGTGCCAAGAACAAACGCCCTTTTGGTGTTGCTTCTGAAGCTGACGCATGTTTTATGACAACGTTGTCTCTCTTGCACTCTCGTTCCGGCATGGACATTTGCAGAGAGGTCGAGCTGGTATGTACCAGAAATGGAAGGAGAATCCGCTTTCATAAAGTCGCCATTTACCAGAGGCAAATCTCAACAAGCATTGCAGCCAGATTACCACCACGGTGAGTCAAGCAAGCACTTCCAGAGTCCAGACAGCTTGCCCCCAACTCCAAAGCCATACCTGCCAAGTTAAACACCGAAGACCGATACACTTGCCTCGCTACCATTTCAGGGTCGGGTGCCGAAGAAAGTTTTCCCCTTTGGCAGTGACGTTGTGCTCTTGCCGCCTTATCGATAAGTGTAATTCTTCCCGCTGCTGTCTGCGTGGCCTTCTTCGCGTCGGCCGTGCAATTGCCGAACGTAAATATTGACGGTGGCTGCAGCGAGCCCTCGGCATTGTATCATGATCCCTGGAAAGGTTTCCGGTGCTGGTTATGTGATTCATTGGGAGGTATATGAGGTAGACAAAGTCCAAAATCTAGAGAGAACGTTGGAAAGACTCGTGAGGCGGCGGCCGTACTTCTACTGATCCATCTATCTCCTCCCGATCAGAACCAGATGCTGGAGTACATCTAACGCGACTAAAGGGGCAGATGGTAAGCATGAGCATGAGCGCACCGGGCTTCTATGAAGCCAGATTACTTCGAAGCCAGTTTACTACTTCCAACCATCTGCTGAGGGGGTGCCACAAGCGGACCTGGCCGACCGCTCGGCAAGCGTCAAACACCAGTCAAACACTTTCTTCCTACGTATGACTACTAGTCGATGGAATGAAGACCCGCTTTCATAGGGTAGCCATTTACCAGAGGCAAATCTCAACAAGCATTGCATCCAAACCACCACCACGGTCAGTCAACAAGCACTTCTAGACAGCTTGCTCCCAACTCCAATAGCTGCCAAGTTAAACACCAAAGGCCGATTCACTTGCATCGCTACCATTCCAGGGTCGGGTGCCGAAGAAGGTCCCCTATACCCCGGCAGTGACGTTGTGCTCTTGCCGCCTTATCGATAAGTGTAATTCTTCCCGCTGCTGCTGTTTGGTTGGCGGTCCTCTTCGCGTCGGCCATCACTGGTGGCCGTGCAATTGCCGAAACGTCGCAGCGAGCCCTCGGCAAGGCATTGCATCATGATTCCTTGAAAGGTTTTCCGGTGCTGGTAATGCGATCCATTGTGATAGATTATGAGGTAGACAAGTTTAGGATCTAGAGAGAACGTGGGTGGGTCATGCTGACAGATCGTTGACGGTCAACTCTATGTCCGCTTTCCTACATCTGTTGTGTGATTGTTCAGTTAGGGACCAGCACTAGGATGTCATGGGGGCGGTCAATCCTTCCTTCTCATACGCTCATTACAAAGAGACTCTACGATAACCCCACGTAAAACAGACACCTTCATCAACATTCATCATCCACCCATCTCCCCACCTCTCAAACCCTCTTCTTCCCCCCATCCACCTCCCCCAAAATCCTCACCACCCTCCACCCCATATCCACCGCCATCCCCAACGGTATCACCAAAAACGGGACATACTCTGACAACAGGTTCATGATCTCGGCGGTGGTGTGGGGTGGCTGGGTGATGGACGAAGGGGTGGGGAAGAGGATGATTTGGAGGCAGGGGAGGAGGGTGGTGGCTGTTGATGCGCCATAGGCTATGAGCAGAGCTTTGGGGGGGAACGTTAGTATAGACCGGAGCCGGGGGGGGGGGGGGGGGGGGGGGGGGATGGGGGACGTACGATAGACTCGCTTGTCATCTTATTCACCCGTCAGCTTAATTTTCCACCCTCCTTTTCATTTTCTGGGGGCGGGACTCACTATAGTAAAGCCCCCAAGCCCCAATAACAAAACAAGGTATCTGAAACACCGCCTCCAACCAAAAGAAACTCCTCAACCATCCAAACTCTGGTCTCGCCGCGCCGAGGAGGATGGGGTCGCGCGTGAGGGCTGCGGACCAGAGCAAGAACTCTTTCAAGGGGGCTGGGACGAGGGCGGGGGGGTAGAGGGATTGGCAGTCTAGGAGGAGTGAGATTGGCTGTGTGTTTTTGTCCCAGTTAGTGGGATGAAGCGGGGGGGATGGAGGTGAATGGGTTTACGAGGTGAAACTAGGCGTGTTCTTGGGTCAGTGCGGTTCATGAAGGAATGGGAGATGGGATTGACTTACGACGCAGAAAGCGAACCATATAGCATCGAGCTTGCGCCCGGCGAAACGAGACATGGCGGGATGGAGAGTTCAGAGAGGGAAGGATAGATGGTAAGAAACAGAACAAGGAAATGTTAGAGGTGACTATATAGCAAGTGTTTGACCGACTTAGTTGTGACCGACGCCGCGGCTCGCCGAGCGGTCGGTCTTCGGCGAGCCAGGTCCGCTTGTGGCACCCCTTAAGAGATGGGTGCTCATGCTCATGCTTACCACCTACTTCCTTGGTCGCGTTCAATGTACTCCAGCATCTGGTTTTGATCGTGAGCAGAGATGGATCGGTACAAGTACGGCCGCCGCCTCTCGAGTCTTTCCACACACGCTGCGTCGAATTTCGTCCTGTACCAGCAAATTCACAAGTCGTGTCGTGTATTCAAAGCACATTCATTTCCATCCGTCAATCCATTCATTGCCTCCATTCCAATCGCCTCTCCACTCTAATTCTGCTGCTTGTCTTGTAGATTCACACTTCGTCATAAAAAGGGGAAATGTCGTCTCCACGTTAAGGGAAAAGCACGAGAAACATTAAAATAGAAGAAAAGTTGTCTTTTGTTTATTCACGTCCAAGAAAAGAAATCACACTTGTGAGAACAAAGCTGGGGTAGCTTGTCTCTGTTTACAAGCGATCATCTTAGAGGGCCTTCTCGTCTAATCCAAAGTCAGCTTCCTCCCTAGCAAAGGTGGACAGGGACGTACGGGCAAAAGAAGAGGGAGCAGCAGTGGCGGTGCTGTAACCAGTCTCCTTGGCCAAGGGGTCGGTGGTACCATAGTTGGCCTGGGACTTGGACTTGACGTTACCAATGACGGGTCGGAGGACGTGGTAGTAAAGGGTCTCGGCACCTCGGGTAGCGGGGAGCATCACTACAAACACATCAGCTTTGCCAAAACACAAAAGAAAGAGGACATACAGTAGATGGAGAAGAGAGTCTTAAAGACAAAGTACATGGGAACCCAGTAAAGGACGGCCCTCAAACCCAAGCTCTCGAGCAAGTTCAAAGAGCCAAAGACGACCCAGTAGGTCAACCACTGCTTGTCGTCGTTGGCCTGGGGAGACTCGATGGCGAGGATGGAAAGGTAGGCGGGGAGGGCCCAGCCGATGAGGTTGGAGATGGGCTGGGCGAGGCCAAACATGTTGAAGAAGATGAGGACGACGGAGCTAAAAGATGGTTAGACATGTGGGTGGTGGATGTGGGGGGACTCACGAGACACCGAGGGCGATGACACCGTAGGCCTTGGGGACCTTGGTCTGGGTCTCGAGTTGACGGAGGATGGGGTACTTGTTGAGCTGCGACGCGGGGAGATAAGCAAACGGCACTAAAACTGCGCACAGCGGGACATACCTCGGCGTCAAGAGCGCTGACCTGCCCGTGGGCGACGGCGAACGCCTGCTGAGCGTAGGGGTTGTTGAGGAAGTTTTGCTTGATCTGCTGGGATTGGGGAGAAGCCATCTGAGAAAAAAGACAAGTGTCAGCGGTGATGACATAACGTGTCGTGTGACGTGATGGATGGTGAAAATGTGAGGAGGGCATGGTTGCGGCGCGGAGATGGGAGGCAAGGTGGTGAAAAGTGATGCACGAGGTTGTGGCGCTGGTACAGAGAGGGTTGCGAGCCACCGCCCACCAGCGAGACAAAGGTCGGTCTGCGCGGTTTTTGCGGCCCGTCGATAGCGACGAGTGTCTCCCCGCCGTCCCGCACTTGGCCACCCGCCAGCTACAGCAGCCAGCTCTAGCTGGTGCAAGGGTGGCAAGTAGAGCGGTGATGCGTACTGCTGGGCATGGAGCGTGGGAGATGGATGTGCGCCGGCTTCCCAGCGCCGCCAAGCCCCTCCCGCCCCGTCCCCCTACCCCCTGCCCCACTCCCCCACTCACTGCACGCTGTGTCCAAGCTGAAATGCGACTTACGTTGTCTATGTGTTGTGTGTTGGGTGATGAAGAGAGAGAAATGAAATGATGCGGGTGTTGGCAGGCTGCCGTTTCGTCATCGCCACATTCCCTCCCCGGCATTACGGCGTTACTGTCGCGTGCATCCCACGTGGCCACGCGTCGCGTCTAGTCTTGCGCTGGCGGCCTCTCTGGCTCTGCACACGCCATGGCCCTCTCCCCGCGCCTCCCCTCCCCCGCCCCATTCCCCCCCACTTACCCACCACGCGGCAGGCAGTCCGGCCTCACAGCCAGGAGCACACAGATCCTCGCCCTGCGCTTTGGGTGGGTCGTGCTTGTTATTTGGTATGAGGTGAGTCATTAACGCGTTCTAAATGTACACAAGCTAACCAAAAGTGTGTAGGCTGGAGAAGTAAGCTTCTGTAATCAACTGGTGCGTCTGTATACTAATCCCAGACCAGTTCTTCCACTCTCTCTCAACATGCCGCTTCCCCGATTCCGCCCTCCGCCAGGCCTACCCCGACTCTCCAGCCCCCTCCCACGTCGTCCTCCTCGCCGACCCCCACGTCCCCCACCCCGTCCTCTCCTACCCCGAAGGATCATACGAATGGGTCAGCTGGATACGCCAAAACATGGACATTCTCTTCATGAAGAAGAGCTGGAACGTCGTCATGCGTCTCGGCAGAGTAGACGGCGTGGTTGTCGTGGGCGATATGCTGGATTGGGGCAGGGGCGTCATGGATGAGGGCGAGTACAGATCGTATGTCGACCTCTTCCGGTCCATCTTCCAACTCCCAACGTCGACCCCGATGCACTTTGTGCCGGGCAACCACGATATCCCACTCGGTCCCAATCGGCTCTTTTCACCAAGAGCCCGCGCTCGGTATGCGAAATACTTTGAACCCCCGAATCAGGTCGTATCGATAGCCAACCATTCGCTGGTCATGCTCGACTCGGTCGGACTGGTGGAAGAGGATTACCGGCATTATGCAGCAGAGATGCAGTTTGGAGAGTGGGATAGTATCGAAGGAGGGGTCATTGAATTTGTAAAGGATCTGAGAGAACGCAAGTTGTTTCTTTTTGCATAAAGTGCCATGCTGACGAGAGTAGACCGGCCGCCGGGACCTACTATCCTCGTATCGCATATACCCCTGGCCCGGCCTGAACGGGCGACATGCGGACCGAATCGAGAAAGAGGACGGATATCCAAAGGTGCTGGACCTGGTTATCAAAACCTGTTGGGTAGCAAGACCAGCAAGTTCTTGCTCGATGCTATCGACCCCGTTGTCGTCTTCAGGTGAGCCTTCAGGATATGCGGTGGACATGATCTGACTCGAAATAGCGGAGATGACCACGACTACTGCGAACACACCCACGCCGGAGGTGTCAAAGAAGTCACCATCAAATCCTTCTCCTCCTCCGCCGGTATCCGCCGACCAGGCCTCCAACTCCTCTCCCTCGTGTCCCCCGAAGGCTCCCATCCCACAGGCAAAAACCTGCTCCCACCCACATACGCCGACCGCCCGTGTTTCCTGCCCGACCAGCTCGGTGTCTACTGGCGCGTCTACCTGCCGCTCGCGATCTTGACGGCGTGTTACCTGTTCTTTACCAATCTGCGTTCGTCGTGGAAGCGGTGGGATAGGAGAGGTAGTGTGCCGTTATCAGACCTCAAAGCGAGGTCGAGCCCGGCCATGTTGAGTTCTGAAAACTTGCAGCCGCTCTCATCCTTTTCAACCCGGCGAAACGCCCCCAACTCGCTCAACCTGCCTTCCCGTAAATCCGCGTCCCACCTCCCGCTTTCAGCGTCTTCAGCTCTGTCGTCCTCCGTCCCCCGGCCCGTCAGACTGAATTCGACGCCAAACTATGCTTTTCCCGATGGTTCACGGTCAGTAAGCAGCAGTGCGCCCGTATCGCCCTTCAGCTCCCCCCGGCTATCCGTCGTCAACAAATTCGATACAGACGAGAAAGACCTTGAAGGCGGGAGCAGTACACCCTCCTCCATGTCGCGGCGCTCGTCATACATCTACATGGGCGGCGGGAACAACTCCTCGTCGGCGAACGGGTCGGGCGGCGGGGTGCCGGATTCGCCGTATCTCGCTACGCCGTCGACGGGTGGGTTGGGGTTGACGACGCCGAGCTCGGCAGGGTTTGGCGCTGTGAAGCGCGTATCGAGCTCGAACCTATCTTCCCTCAACCCCAACGCCTCCGGCCCCATCTCATCACCCACAACCCCCCGTGCGCCCTTGAACCGCCTCCACTCTTTCGGCGCGCCTACCCCCAAAGCGTTCAGCCAACAGCCCGTGCTATACACGTTCGCCTCCTCCCCGCAGACGTTTGTGAGACAATGGGCAGAGAGGGCGAAAGGGTTTGTGAGGTGGGGCAGAAAGGCGAGGAATGGGGTGGTGGGCAAGAGTTGGAGGGAGGTGGTTAGTGTGGCGTGGGTGGTGGGGGTTGTTTGGGTTGTTGTGAATGCGTTGTTTTTCTTGGGATAGAGCGGTCAGTGGGTCTAGGACAATCTTGTTGGGGAGAATGTTGAGAGGGAATGGGTTGTACTGCGATTTGTGTTGTCTTTGTGTGGCATTTTGGAAAAGCTTGCATGGCATGGCATCTTGCAATCATGGGTTTTCATTGCTTCTGTCTTGGGTTCTGGGATGTCAAGACTATTGCTGCACGAGTATAAAGATGGCGGTGATCCAGTAAACACGATGCGTCAAACAACGAAAGGATCGCTTGTAATCGTTTATTCCGAATTCCTAATCAGTGCCTTGATAACACTAATGATCACGTCACAACCTTCTTCGCCGCCGGTCGGCTTGACCCGACAACCGTATTTTGAACTCGGACAACTTTTTTTGACTCTTCATTGCCTCCGTTCTTGTCCAGCTTTACCAAACGCCACTACAAACAAGATACAATCCGGCATGTCTTCGAACTCCAAACCTGGACCATCCTCGGCATCCCGAACCCCTCTAACGACTCTCGACCACACCCTCGTGCCCATGCCATCCCGCACACACCCAGACCGCGCAGAAGCCCTCGTCTCGCTCTCCATCGCCCTCATCGACTCTGCCGTGGATATACTTGAACGTAATATCAGCACGGATGAAGAGCTGTCGAGGGATAGTGCGCTGTTACCTGGGGGGACGGTGGGAAAGCATTTCAGACATGCAAGTGGTTCTCCGACATGATCGAGTGATGCTGATGAGGTTGTAGGTCATCGAATCCTTTAGGGCTTTCCTCTTGAATCTCTATGACAACCCCAGACCGCTCTCAGAGGTACCAGAGATCAACTACGACAATATCCTACCTACCACCCGCCGCCCCATCGCCCGTTCGCTCCCAGCTTGTCGGCAGGCCATGAGGCAGATCAGCAAAGATCTCACGGCATGGAGTGAGATCTGCAGACGGCGGGGCAGTGTGATGGGTGGAAGTGGGGGAAGTGGGGGTGGGGTGGAGGGGAATCCTGCGGGGCTGGGGGGGCAGAAGGCGGAGAGGCGGAATGGGCTGGTGGATGAGATGGATCGGGTGGTGCATGTGGTTGCTATAACGCCTACAAAGCAGGAGATGGGGAGTACAGTGGGGCGAGAAGTACGTTTTCAGCGCTGATTTCCTGTTGATATGCTTACAGGGTGCAGCTATGGTACTGCTCGCTGCACTCGATCCATCATTTCTCAATGTTACGGACCATCGCAGTGTACGAGCTGGCAAGTCTTCCGAGCTTGAATCGTCCCTTGACTGACTGTGTGAGCTAGGATTTGACCTTACCAGTAGAGTTTGGTACAGCACCTTCAACGTTGCTATACCGCGGCTTGTCTTGGAAACCGCCAACAGAGGGGCAGACGGTCAAAGTCATTCGCACCAGTAAACTCTAGCCCATCCTCTAACGATATAACGATCTTCATGACCACATGTACCACCTTTATAGTACACTCCATGCATGTCCTGCACTCTAGAAAGTCTCCCTCTCTACGCCATACACCTCCTTGCCAACCTTCCACCACCCACCCTGCTCACCCCCAATGGCAAACTTGCCAGCATACTCCAACTCTAGCGGGTGCAACCTCTTGCCCACAATCACAATCGAGTGCAAAGGTCCCCCAAACTCTTCCTCAGGCAAAGCGGCAAGCTCGGTAAGCGTACCAGAGATGATCTTTTGCGTGGCAGTGCCCACTCGGGAGAGGGAGATTGCCAGTGTCTCGGCGGGGGGGAGCAGGGTGGGGTAAGGGTCGGTAAAGTCGTCCTCGTCTTCAGAGTCAGAGTCGGACTTTTGGGGAGCGGGTTTGTCGGAGGGGGGTCTGGGGGCGGGGTGGCGTTTGGATTCGGTGTAGAGGATTTGGTTGAAGGCTTGGGAGGGGGTCATGAAGCGGGGAGGTTCGTAGATCAGTCGGCCCCTGGCGATTGTCAGGATTCTTCCTTTTGCAGACCTCAACTCTCCCCACTAGCTCTATACCCCTTCCATCCTCCTTGTCCCCTCTCTCCCTGTCGCCGGCAACCCTCCCCCGATTTTCGCGCAAGACAAAACTCACCTCGCCATATTCTCTTCACTCTGCTCCCTCACCTTGATATCCAAAAGCACCAGCGTATGCACCCCAATCTTCAAGTTCTCCTCCAGCCTCGGGTACCAACTGTCCGGCTTCCAGCTGTCCGTATAAAACACCATACTCAGCGTTTGTCCGAACGAGTACATTTGCAAGCCGGTGGAGCCGAGGGCGGTGAGGATGGAGGCGTTGTGGATGACTGAAGTGGGGATTTGGAGGGATTTGGCGCGGAGTAAGAGGTCGGTGTGGGTGGTGGCTCTATTTCAATCCTTAGCTCTGATTTCCAGCGAATGCGAAGGGACGTACCCGAGAGGATCACCGACGACCAGAAACGCAACGTCGACCTTGTCGGCATCTTTCAAAATCTCATCGGCCTCGAGCTCGACAAGCTCTCTTGTAGCGGTGATGACGGGGCGTTGGTAGAATGCTTCAAGCTTTTCCTTCTCGACCATGAGGATGGAGGTGTAGGATTCGAGATAGACGCGCTCGCATCCTTTCACAGCTTCGAGCCCCTTGACGGTGATGTCCTTCTCGTCGGAAAGACCGAGTCCAATTACGTAGAACATGGCGAAGGTGGGCTTGGGTCAGGTTCAAGACAGTGGAAAGAGTATTAGGTGAACTCTTGAAAACAAAATTCTGCTATCTTATCATTTAATTACGAGTTAATAATCGGCCTAAGCAAATAATCAACCCCGCCTCAAACCACATGCACGCGATACTCTATCTCATGCCCACTTATGGCTCGCTTATCGTAGACACAGGGCTCCATGACATACGTATGGCAGAGACATTCTATCGGAGCGCTCGGCTAGTGAATCCAGTGAAACACTTCGGAAGCCGGCTTCAAGAAGTCGAACGTGAGTGGCTTTACTGTTCCTCGACTTCAGTCACGGGTTCAGTGTGACCTTCATACTGATCATAGGTATAGCCTATCCGGTGAGTGGCGATGTAAGTCTCTTATTCCCTCATCTCCTGATGACCGCCATCGATTTGCAATTGTCTGTTTGCCTATCAAATCTATTAGTTGATCGGGGATAGTAAAACAAGAAGATGCAAACCAGTGCTCAAAGGTATGAATGAAGTGTTGAGAAGACGACGTATGCACGGGGCTCTTCTGATGGGAGCGCCAGACCATTAAAAGATTTTGCACGATTATGATGCGGCTCATTGAGGGCGAATGATCCGTCCAACAGGGTAGCTACGTTGATACCAGATAGGCGCCAGACTTCAGAAGCGGGTATAAAGTGTCTTAGGCCAAGCTCTACGAGAGAATCTTATCCTACTCCAGCAAGGCTGAATCACAGAAGTACCCGTATCCCCCTTTACATACATGAGATGATACTTCAGGGCGGCTATCAAAAGAAGCGCTTGACCATGCATGAAACAAGATTATGCCCGCGTGAACGAATACGTCAGGCTATACGCGTAGGAATTGCATTCGACAGCACGTGCCCATGCAGTCGGGACGCAGAAGAAGTGAAGAACTGTATGGCATCGTGCGGCTTTCCCGATGCGCTTCTGATTCGTCTGGTTATCACCTTTCGCCGCGTGCGTCGCTGCCGCTGCCTGCCCGCTCTTCCCTCTCAGGTCCCAGTGCATCACATATGTACAGTACGAGTAGAGTAGCCGATATCTCAGACATGGGGTTCGGCGTCTACCACCACGCGCACCGTCCATAATCCATCTCGTTGTCTAACGGCATAGCTCTCCCGCTAATGCGATTATTTTATTCTCTATCATGTTTAGGGCTTGCAATCGATTTTCTCGTCTACTTGTAGCATTCAATGCATGTGGTCGTCTCGTACAATTCCGGAAGCCTTTGCGCATCATGCTCGGTGGCATGAGGTGATACGACCGAACTTCGTCATGGCCTTGTTGCTTTTCGGCGCCAAATTGTACAGGGGACTCGCGGTGTGAGATTGTATGTATATAAGAGAGGCCGTGCTTCTTTTACCCATAGATCTCACCCCAACCTATTCGCCATCATGTTGACGCGTGTGTTACTTCTGTCGCTTGTCGTGGCTCTCTTCAGCTTTGTTCAAGCCGCGCAGTTCTCAAACGTGAGTGATTTTGATTTTCGTGGACTTGCGAGTGACTTGATACTGATGCCATGTGTAGCCTATCCGGTGAGTGGCGATGTGACTTTTTCCTTTTCCTCATCTGATGACCACCATCGACTCTTAGCAACAGCGGTCCTGATCCATTCATCGGTACGCCCTTTGCCTTCTGACCTGTGCCCGAACTGACAGCATGCACATCAGTGTATGACGGCGTCACCAAGTGAGTGGTACCACAACTCACCCCTAACATTTGCTGATGATTGTCAAAGAAAGTACTATCTGATGAGTACCACCGGGAAAGACTTGCGACTCGTCTCGTCCTCTACGCTCGGGTACGTACCTTTGGAGCATCGTTTGAAGAGCAGGAAACTGATATGGCGCTATGTAGAGGCCTCAAGGATGGTACAAACACTCAGGTCTACACTAGCGACGCCGAGCAGAAAAGCGGCAAAGTCTGGGCTGGCGGCAAGTCTTCATCTTTCCCGAACCCTAGCCTCGTGCGGAGCTGACAACAGTCATTCAAAGAGCTGCACAAAATCGATGGGAGCTGGTACATCTATTATACCCTTGATGAACGCCCTTGGGTGGTCAAGGGTGGAGCTAACGTACGTCTGTTGTGTTCCACTATAGATGCGGGAGAACTTGGCTGATGATGAAGCCTTAAGCCCCTTGACAAGTACCCCGGCCCGCCTGTCAAGCTATCCGACTACTTCGGGTAAGCCCCCATTCCTTCGCCTCACCCGCATTACACCCCGTGCTGAAACGTCTCACAGTATCGACGGCACAGTCCTCAAGTACTCCGGTAAAAACTATTTTGTTTGGTCCTGCCACACCGATAACCCCTCCGCCGACTCACTCTGCATCTGTCCCCTCACAAACCCCACCACCCTTGACTGGGCACACACTGGCGTCATCTCCTATCCCAGGGCAGACTGGGAGAAGCAGGGTGGTGCTTCAATCAATGAGGGGCCGTCGGCCCTGTATTGGGGTGGGCAGACGTATTTGACTTTTTCGGCGAGTCATTGTAAGACTGCCTCGTATAGTCTCGGACTTGTGAGCTTTTCTTTGAATTTTGCAGTTTGAAAGAGGTGCTGATGCACTTGTAGCTCCATCTCACCGGTAGTGACCCTCTCGACTTCAACTCGTGGACCAAGACAGAAGGGCCAGTGTTCCAGTCTGGTAACGGCGAGTACGGCCCCGGCCACAACGCGTACGTTCTTTCTTTATCTTGTCCCAATGCAGCAGCTGATACGACCTTTGGAAGCATCTTCACCTCCCCCGATGGAAAGGAACTCTGGAACGTCTACCACGCTGTCACCAACTCGGCTGGTTCTTGGTACGTCTCCCCCACCCCACCCTGCCTCGTCGTTCTGCCTCATGCCTTTCTTCTGTACCTGACTTTGGCGTATAGTGGCACTGATCGCCAAACGTTTGCTCAACCCGTCGACCTCTCCCAGTTCTCCGCTAAGGGACCTCTTTTCGGCACTCCTCTCAAGTAAGTATTGAGTGCCCTTTCCATCCTTGTCTGGGAGTTTTGTGGGATTGACGAGCTGACTGGGGGATACAGGAAAGGACAAGTCATCAATGGACCGTCCGGCGAGTAGCTGAGGCGTAGCGGATGGATCTTGAGGAACGCCGATGCTGGTTGCGTTCTTTCTTGATCCCATACTTATCGTTTTGCCCCTATATCGTTGGAGCCATATAATAAGGAAAGAAAATGATAGTCGAAGAATGCATCAAATGTATAGGAAAGCCTTGATCATAATTGAACTAGCTGGAAGACTATGCATACTCGCATTCTGAGTAGAGAGGGGTCAGTAGTATCGGAAAGCCGAGGGCGCTATTTCGCCATGGTCTGAACCGAATGTCGTTCTGTTCGCCATGCTGTTGGGACGTGTTGAGTCCGAACTATGTCTGCCCGGATTCATATCGACTTTTTCTTATTGTATCCATTTCCATCACCGTAATCGTGAATTGCAGAGGGAGGCGGTGCACGATGGAAGACGAAATGACCCCACTGCACTGTCTGAATGCCTCCGGACTACATCTTGGCGTGTGGCAGAGGCGCGCGCTGTGAGAACATGTATTCTCTCATCTCTGATGATTCTTGAGAGTGCAATCTTATCAAGTGCTGTACACGTGCCTCGTCAGAATTGGGGGGCTACGGTGGCAGCAGAGAGCAGAACAGTGCGAGAACATGATGCAGTGCCCGGAAGCCATGATGGCCCCCCGGAAGGCCGAGCCAGAAATTAGACACCGCCTGTGAGAGAGTGACTCCCCGCTCTCCCTTCTTGTGACGTTTCTGAGCTTCATCGGCGGCTCTCCCCTTTCGTACAGTGACATTCCCATCCCCAGAAGGCTCGGCGATGTACACATGCGCCCGTGCCAGTCACCCCGTCTCACCATCAACACCTGAACACACCCTCCCGCCGCGCGTATTTTGGCGCCCCCCCTCACGGTGTGCTCGTGCTTTTCATCAGCACATATAAGACCCCATCACAGCTCTCCACATCTCTCCATAGCCCATCATGCTCGCGTCCACTCTCATCGCCCTAGCCACGTCTCTCTTCGGCGTCGCCCACGCTGCCGAGTTCAGCAACCCTATCCGGTAAGCCTCCTGCCCTGTCCAGCAGAGGCCGTCTCTCACGTCTTTTTACAGCGACAGTGGACCGGACCCCTTTCTCGGTCAGTGTTACCCTCTTCATATGCATTATGAAGCTGATAATCGAGCATAGTATATGATGAGGGAACTGCGTGCGTATACCTCATCAACAACTGGTTGAACAAAGCGCAACACCCAGGCAATACTACCTCATGACGACCACCGGCACAGACTTGCGGATCATCTCTTCTTCCACTCTCGGGTTCGTCTTCTTCCACTCTCGGGTTCGTCTCCTTCCCACCCTTCTTGAAGAGACTGTGGCTGACACTGAGCTTAGTGGCCTCCACAACGGAACAAACACCCAAGTCTACACCAGCGATGTCGAAAAAGAAGACAAGAACGTCTGGGCCGGAGGTGAGTCACCATCCCCTTCAAAGATTTTCCTTCACGTCCTTTCGTGTACGCACTGATTACGTATGTATATATGTAGAGCTTCACAAGATCGACGGGTCATGGTACATCTACTATTCCTTCCAGGAACGTCCATGGGTCGTCAAAGGCGGTGCTGACGTAAAGTCTCTTCCCTCTCATGCCTATCTCCAGCTGATGTAGGACATGAATAGCCCCTCGATGAGTATCCCGACCCGCCCGTAAAGCTCTCAGACTACTTTGGGTAAGCCTCGCTCTCCTTCCTCTGTCGCAACACGACGTCGATGCTAACGTCTGCTCAGTATCGACGGCACCATCCTCAAGTACTCCGATAAAAACTATTTCGTTTGGTCCTGCCACACCGACAGCCCCTCCGCCGACTCAATCTGCATCTGTCGCCTCACAAGCCCTACCACCCTTGACTGGGCCAATACTGGTGTCATTTCTTACCCTCGGGACGAGTGGGAACAGGAAGGGGGTTCGTCGATCAACGAAGCCCCGTCAGCTCTGTATTGGGAGGGGGAGACGTACTTGACATTCTCGGCAAGTCACTGCAAGAGTGCGGGATATAGCCTTGGTTTAGTGAGTTTCCTTGTGACCTTCTCCGCATCAAGACCCAGACGCTGATTCAATTTTTGTAGCTTCATCTCACCGGTGATAACCCACTCGACTTCGACTCGTGGACCAAGACTGGTCCAGTGTTCACGTCTGGTAACGGCGAGTATGGCCCAGGCCACAACGGGTACATACCATCCTCTCTTCGTCTAAAACGCGAACATTGATTGATGCGGATTTTGTAGCGTCTTTGCCTCTCCTGATGGTACCGAGCTGTGGCATGTCTATCATGCTGTTACGAATTCTGCCGGGTCTTGGTAAGTTCCCTCTGCATTTCATTCGTTCTGCCAAAGTGTAGTGGAAAGCTGACGGGTCTGGATAGTGGTCAAGCAGCTCGTCAGACATTCGCTCAGCAGATCGACCTCTCGCAATTCTCGACCAAAGGACCGATCTTCGGGACTCCAATCGGGTGAGTACTTTGCATCATCCTGATAGAGGTTCCATCTGTGAGCATGGAAGGTATGCTTACACGATCGTCGTAGCAAAGGAGAAGTCGTCAATGGACCCTCTGGCGAATAAATGGAGCAGATTGGTGGACGCCCGTGCGGGTTGCGTTCTCCCTCGTCTATAATTGTCTATTGTCGACTTTTTGTTCGTTTGTTTGCGTATCGGTTCATATTCAGTAGAAAGGAGTAGCTCAAAGTGTGGAAAGCAGTAATCAGATTCATGAATCAAGTTGCATGAAAACAACATGCGTGGCTTTTCTTGAAGCAGCGCGAGACCATCCTCCTTCCGTGTAACGGGGTAGATGTCGGTCGTAGTCGTAGTCGATGGCCAGAGGACTGTCGGGAACCAAAGAGTACACATAAAGAGCTGCTGGACAGTAGACACCGCAACCAAGACGAATACAGGGGCTCAGGCTATCCGTGCTCCCAGCTCATCTCTTTGAGCTGATACCTCTCCACATCCCGGCTTCAAGAGATTGTGTATCACAAAGTGCATATTTATATCCATATTGATCATTATTCTTTTCTAGTCCATTATTGTCAATTATGAAGTCCGTTACCTTCCCTTCTTCTGAGTTTTCCTTCTTTAAAGACACTCATACACCGCACATTGATAGATGACTGACTAGCGGTTTGGTGTATGCCGTGAGGATCTACTCTCCCGAAGGACCATCGATGGTCACGCCTTTCCTGGAAATAGAGTCAGCGGCAGATCAAAATACCGAGACAGTAGAAACCAATGGGAGAAAAGCTGGATGGTGGAAGAGGTGCAAAAGAGGAGACGGGTGGGACTCACCCAATAGGGCTTCCAAAGACTGGACCTTCCGTCGAGAAGTTTGAGAGGTCGATAGGTTGAGCAAAGGTTTGGCGATCTGTGCCACTGTCATTGGTGTTAGTATTTCCCCCCTGCAAAAGAATGGCATAGTGTTCAAATAGAAGGAGGGGATGGGGTGTAACGTACCAAGATCCTGCAGAGTTGGTGACCGCGTGGTAGACGTTCCAAAGTTCTGTGCCGTCGGGTGAGGTGAAGATACTATGCGAATCCACTATCAGCGACTACTCCTCACTGTGACCCATACAAGAAGAAGGGAAAGGAGACGTACCCGTTATGACCAGGACCGTACTCGCCGTTTGCGGAAGAGAAGACCGGTCCTTCTGTCTTGGTCCAGGAGGCGGGGAGGAGGGGGTCGTCACCCGTCAAATGGAGCTACATCTTATCAGCCTGGCTCCAGCACACACTCCGGATCAAGTCGACTTACAAGACCAAGACTGTATCCCGCACTCTTACAGTGACTCGCCGAAAACGTTACATACGTCTCTCCCTGCCAATACAGCGCAGCAGGGGCTTCATTGATATTCCCCCCTTGCTGCTCCCAGTCCTCAGTCGGGGATGAGATGACGGCTTTCTTGTCGGCGTTGATTGAGGTGGGAGTATCGAGGGGGGCAATGCAGATAGAGTCTCCGCTGTCGGTGCTGCAGGACCAGAGGAAGTAGAGGGAGGAAGAGTAGGTTAGGACGGTGCCGTCGATACTGTTCCATGTCAGCGTTTGGCCCGACTGTCATCCATGAGGGGAATGAGACTTACCCGAACTCGTCAGAAAGCTTGACAGGGGGACCGGCATACGTGTCCAGGGGCTAGAACATACAGTATGGCATCAGCGGAGGACAGTCTGAGCGAAAACGAGACTCACGTCAGCACCGCCTTTCACGACCCAAGGACGTTCCTGGAAGGAATAGTAGATGTACCAGGAGCCGTCGATTTTGTGCAGCTCTACACATGGAAACAAGGGAAGATCGGCGATGACAATGAGGACGAGGAGGGGGGCGAAGATTAAAGGAGGAATGTGTGTGTGAGGGATGGTGACTCACCTCCGGCCCAGACGTTCGCGTCTTCTTTTTCGATGTCGCTGGTGTAAACTTGGGTGTTTGTGCCATTATGAAGGCCACTACGCTCGTTGTCAGTAACATTTGCAAGTGCAGAAGAGATGAACAAACCCGAGGGTGGAAGATGAGATGAGACGCAAGTCTGTTCCGGTGGTCGTCATGAGATAGTATTGTCTGGCTTTTGTGTTAGCTATGCACATCTAGCCGAAGGTGATGGATACGCACGCAGTGCCATCATCGTACACTGTGCCATGTTTTCAGCCTTGGAGTCGACAAGAAAGATGTGAGACTTACCAATGAAGGGGTCAGGCCCACTGTCGCTGTAAAGAACGTGGTGAGAGACACTCTCGGGACACAGCGGGAGACTTACCGGATAGGGTTGGAGAACTGGGCGGCGTGGGTGAGGCCGAGGAGGGATATGGCAAGAGAGGTGAGTGTACGGGTGAGCATTTTGGGTTGTGGCGAGAGATGGAGAGCAATAATGGGATTTTATATATGCTGTCGAGGAGCACGAGCATTCTGAGAGGGGCGCCAAAATCAAATACGCGCGGGGAGCCTTAGGTGTTGCTGATGATGAGACCGGGTGACTCGCAGGGCACATGCGCACATCTCCCGGCCTTCTCTGCAGATATGCATACGTATGAGATCTTGAGAAGGCTATGGACCGTGCGGTGAAAGGGGAGAGCGGCGCATCAACACAGATACGCCACAAGGGAGTCAGGGCCGTCGTCGGGTGCTCGGCCTTCCGGGCCACTTGCTCCGGGCACTGCCTCATGTTCTCTTTCTGTCACGCAGCTTTGCATTCGGTTTCCTCGGGGTCACGTGGCCACCTATCCACGGAGCTTGTCCACTTCTCAGGATTGTGTACAGTTGGCCCTAGTAGTACCCGTGTGACTTATCCCGGCACAGCATCCCCCCTCTCAGTCTTCCTGCACCATAAAATAATTGAACTCCCGCTCCGTCCACCTGACGACAGCGGGTCATGCTTCTCGCAGCGCGCGCCTCTGCCCCGCCATGATGAGAACTTCGGTGATGCAACATGGTGGCAGTCCTTTCATCATCGATTGTCACTCCTTACTTGCACAATAGGGCATTGGGGGACAGTGACCAGTGACGTAGCGCCAGGCAGCATTTTCGAGGTCCGGGGCTGAGTCATAGTCTGGACTTGGCGAGTAACATGATCTATGCTGAGAGTAACCCGAAGGTTCAATGTGGGTGAAAGCGATGCGAGTTCGGTCGGTGCGCGTCAAGTATACCCTCAAAATGCACCGCATAGACCGAGCAACTTTTTGAAGGAACAGGGAGTCGGGGATCAATGGTTGTTGGTTATTGTTGCATGCTCGTATGTATACAAGAGGGATTCCTTCCATTTTCCCATTCTTTTATAGGAGTTTCTTTCCTAAGACTATGCCGCTTTTTCTTTTGGTTTTCATGAAATTAGGCTGCTGGGCATTGGGGGTAGGGCGAGTGTCTACTCACCCGAAGGCCCGTCGATAACGTGACCTTTCCTAACAGCCCAAGGATTAGCCACAGACACGTACAAAGACAGGACCAGTGACATGGCAGCTTGGAAAGCTTACGCAAGCGGAATACCAAAGATAGGTCCTTCGGTGGAGAATTGTGACAGGTCGATAGGCTGGGCGAACGTTTGTCTATCCGTCCCACTATTCATCGAAAAGAATGCTTCGTCAGCTGACTGGCCTGCTTTGGATTTGGGGTGGGTGCATGGGGGAAGGATGACGTACCAAGAGCCGCTAGAATTGGTAACTGCGTGATAAACGTTCCACAGTTCCGTGCCATCTGGAGACGCAAAGATACTGTGGGCAGACAAGATCGCATCAGTTATTCCACTGCGATTCTCAGGAATCAAAGCGTTAACGACGTACCCATTATGCCCCGGTCCGTACTCGCCATTGGCAGATGAAAACACAGGTCCTTCTGTCTTTGTCCATGAACTTGGGAGGAGGGGGTCGTCACCTGTCAAATGAAGCTAATCCCATCAGTCTCAAAAGAATCTGATTAACTGACTCGAGGACAGATAGACTCACCAAGCCAAGACTATACCCCGCGCTCTTACAATGACTGGCCGAAAACGTCAAATACTTCTCCCCTTCCCAATAAAGCGCTTGAGGTGCTTCGTTGATCGATGCATTACCTTGGTTTTCCCATTCTTCCGTCGGGGAGGAGATGACGGCGGTAGAAGCATTGACTAGGGATGTGGGTGAAGAGAGGGGGGCGATACAGATTGAGTCGGCGGAAGGGGATTTGGTGAGGCAGGACCAGAGGAAATAGAGGGAAGAGTTGTGGGTGAGGATTGTGCCGTCGATACTATCGTACATCAGCCTCTGGGATTTCATGTAAAGAGGAAAGTACACACCCAAAGTCAGCCGAGAGCTGTACAGGTGGTCCAGGGTACGCGTCAAGCGGCTACACGAATCCCATTAGCTGAAGGAAGTCTCTAAAGAATGAAGAAGAATCCACGTCAGCGCCGCCTTTGATCACCCAAGGACGCTCTAGCCACGAAAAGTAAATGTACCATGACCCATCGACCTTGTGCAGCTCTAACTCCTGATCAGTTTCTGTACTATGGATAAGAAACAGCAAGAGTAACGGACCTCCAGCCCAGACGTGTCGGAGCACCTGTGTATCGTTGGTGCTATAAACTTGAGTATCCGTACCGTTGTAGAGACCGCTACACGCGTGTCAGCTGGCGAACGGTGAGTGGTAGAGCTGCGTACCCAAGGGTAGGGGAGGAGATGAGTCGGAGATCTGTAGCGGTGGTCGTGATGAGGTAATACTGCCTGGAAGCAAGTGTCAGCTATATCACAAAGGCGTGGTAGAGAGATAGTGCGCTCACGAAGTGCTATTGTCATACACTGAGTGGTGTCAGCGTAGATATTTGAGGATGAAGATAGACTTGCCAATGAATGGGTCTGCCCCACTGTCGCTGCTAGAAGTCAGAGGTACTCCAGACACGACGAAAGAACTTACCGGATAGGGTTGCTGAACTGGGCAGCCCGAGCAAAGGCCAGAATGGATAGCACAGTTGAGAGCAGGGTGGGTATGAACATGGCGCTTGGATACAGGGGCCCAAGGCTTGAATGTATGCTATATAGGAGCGATCACGAGCTGGAAGACGGGCGCTAAGATGATCGTGGGGAGGAGGGTAAGACGGAACACGCACGCAATCTTCCAGCTCGGCTTTCCATTCCTGCTTTATTGGCCCATCTCGCCCTCTGTTTGCCCGTTGACCTTGCACTGGTAGCAGGTATTTAGCAGAGACAATATCTGGAATCGACAATGGGCATGGCCGACAATTCGACACATCCCGCAATATGACGGACAAGTCCGTGAATGCCATAACGAAGAACGAGGGCCGGCTTCGGCTTTCCGATTTCGGACTCTATTAAACTTTCTCGGGCTCGGCGTTCTGTCGAGGAAATCATAGTTCTTGAGGAGGAAGAACCTTAGAATTCATGGTAGGCAGACTATGAGCAAAGCAACAGTTCAGGATAGTGTATATAAAGTTGCCGCTTGGCAAGAAACAAACGAAGACAGAAACCGAACATCTCAGCCACATTCCAAACAACCCCAAGTAATGGGAAGAAAAGACTATTCCAAAATAACGACAGACCTCGTCTCAATACTAAACCTCGGCTCCACCCCTTCTTTACCATCAAACCTGGCATCTGAAAACGCCGTATGCGCTACGACATGCTCTGGCTGCTCGGAGTCGTATTGTTTGAAGAGCAAGACATCAGAGGAAGTTTGGGCCGAGATGAAGTACCATTTGATGCTGGGCTTGTGGATGATGGCGTAGGAGGCGGAGGCCCTTTTCCGGACTGTTAGCTAAGAGGAGAGGGCAGAGGCGAGAAGGGGCTTACCTGTCACGGTACAAAACGCGGTGGGGAATGATAGCTTCTTTAGGGAGGGAGCGGACGTCAGTGACTGCCAAAGGGGCATCGAGTACCACACCGCGGACTACATCACAGTCAGGTGAATACGATGATATTGATTCGGAAACGTACTGGGTCGCCAGACATTGACTATAGAAAAGGACCCTAGAGTCAGGTGGAGCGTCGCACACGAACAAAAGGAACGTACTGATCAAAGCTTTCTGTCCAGCACCAACAAAAGACTCTACGAGTTGTTCCCCAGTCTCTGGCGCCACATCGATATGCGGTCGGAGCCTCATGTAGAGTCAGAAATCATGACAGTGGTAGAAAGCTGAGATTTCAGAAGACATACACTGGGTAGTTCTTTGGAGCGGTGAAATCGTATCCGTCGATTCCAGTCTTGGGTTCGTGCAGGCGGGTTCGTTGGTTGTAAGTGACAACGCTTTTCACGTTTGGAATCGTTCGTCGCAAGATGCTACCCACCCATGTCAGCCTTTTACCCCTACTATATAAGAGCTACTCACTCTTCAATCTCGGCGTAATATCTCTCCAAGGCCATCTTTGCAGCATCCTCAGACCCTGTCTCGTCAGTGACCGTTTCGAAGCTCTCAAACTCTTCTTGCTGCAACGCGGTGGATGCTTGGACGTGCTGGAAACCGGCAGTGTCTAGAGTGAGTTCAGGCTGGTCTCTGATGTCGTTGACTCTATGTGTTCTGGTCAATATAGATGCCTTACAACGGACGAGGGGCGGGGACAAGAGCTTACACAACTTTGGTAGCCTCATGACGGCCGTTCGTTTGTGGTTTCCCTTCGTTGTTGGGAGAGTATGTGTACGAACTGTTCACCATCATTATGTCAGCCTCGGCACTTGCGAAGTACGAATGCCTGTGACGAGTGAGCTTACTAATAAGGCTCTCGTGGGTCAAGTTTATCTTCGGTCAAAGAGTAGTTGATAAAGCCGACTGCGGGACCTCGGTGTGCCGAAGGAGATGTTTCGAGTACCATTCTTCTTCCGCTTTCGTTCTTTTCTTGCGAGTGAATGGTAGACAAGAGAAGCGGTATGGGAAAGTGCTATATACGTTGTCAGCTCGGTCAAGTGGATCTGCACTGATTATCAATACACCCCGATCATGGCAGGCTGTACGCCATAGATGATACGAAATGCGGGCGGTGAGATCCGCTGGGAACCTCCGCTGGATGATTCAAAGATAAGGAGCGATGGCATCATCTATTGCGTGCTTGTCCCTCCCCGCTCTTCTATCCCACACGCTTATACGGAGGGCGGTCCTGGCGTTAGTAAGGTGTGCTCGCCCACTGGTGGATCTTATACCTACAATCGATCATCATACAGGGAACGGACGAATATAGGCGCCATGAGAACAAATAGCGACAATTAGATACGCTCGATCATATATCTACGCCCCAGCCGTGTCTCCGTCTTGTATGTCGCAGTCATCTGGTTTTATCGAGAAGGTATTGACCCAGAAGCAGAATCTATGGCACCATCTCCGACAGGCAGCAGAAATGATGATATCGAGAAGGATGCAGGAGGGGCTGGGGAGCAGCTCACGCTGACCAGGTATGTCGCCCTCCCCTGTCCCGCTTTGAATTTCTGCTGATGATGATCAATCCAAAAAAGGTCGTTATCTACATCTTCGGGCGATTATATCAAACAACAAACGGGCGACGATGATGTTCTTGCGCGAAAGATGGTACATATCAACAATGCTTGGGACGAAGTTGGTTTTACGAGTCATCATATCAAGCTTTTCTGTAAGGAGCTTGTGGAGCTGTATGGGGAGACGACAAGACAAGCTGACCAAGAATGTATGTAGTCTTGTATGTGTTCTTCCTTGGGCGTGTAAAGGATAGGGGCGTTGTATTGACGGCTGCGACAGGAATGGCTTTGGCTATGCTGTTGACAGTATGCTCGGTGAGTGGACCATTTGTATTGGCTCGAAAAGACGCTCACGGTCATTTGGCAGTCGTGTGCCAGTCCATCTCGCAAGCTCAGGTCCAACTGGAGTTTACGAACCGCGGCGTAACCAAGCTCCTCGCTGTCTCTCTATCGTCCTCTATCGGACTTCTGTTCGGAGGCAAGTCTGTTTTCTGAACTTCTTATACTTTCGTCCACTGACAAATATGCGGATAGCTCTCGTCTGGGGAATAGGTGGCGAGTGAGTTGCTTTTAGTAGCTGCTTCATATATAGATCAAACTGACGCTTACAGTTTCATTGGACGCAAGCTTGCCTTCAATAGTTCTTTATTCATATGTGCCATTTTCGTCATCATTGCGTGAGTCCCATAGTATCAAGAAATCTACGATTCGAGGCTCACGTTCGTACGTGCAGGGGCTCCATGCCTTCGTATTCTTCTTTTTGTGCCATGTAAGCTCGATCGATCTGGGCAAGGGCACAGCACGTTCTAATCACTTCAAACCGATCAGGGTTGCACTATACTCGGCAGGAGCTGGTGGTAACTAGTGAGCCACTAAACTCGAGTAGGAATCAAGTTTGATTTGATGCTGATGTTCGTTTGCAGTGCGATTGATTCTAGTAAGTGATCTTACACTATCTGGCCGCATCGAGGTCTGATCGCAATAGCCAACTTCCTCGAATTTCTTCCGCATAAGTATGGGTTCTTAACGACCATTCTCGCTGCTTGGGTAAGTCATGGTGTCATCCCAGTTTTTGACACGTGCTGACAGCTACCTACTAGTGGGGTGTAGGCTATACTGTGAGCATCAACATCATAGGGAACCATGAGGAGAAGAAGACAGCTGACTGAGACCGTTTCCCCAAGATCGCCGGAGTGAGTACCATATACGACCCAGCCCTATCGAGACCTGATCTCACCACAAAACTCTTTAGCTTTTCGCATGGCTTTATTTCCCCCGCTGGAGCTGCGCCACGGCGGATACTTGTACCTGGAGCAACAACAAAGGCTGGAGGCTCCTCCACTTTACGAACGGTGGTATCGTACTCGTGCTTGCACTCGTCCGTGTCCTTGTACGTCCTCTACCTCCTCCAAAACACCGGCTTAGAGGATCAGAGCTGACTGCATGAGGGTAGTTGTTCAAGATGGAACATTCACCCAAGTGGCTTGTGACGCAGGGGAGGGATGAAGAAGCCGTCAATGTCATTCAAAGTATCGCGAGAAAGACCGGTAAACCTTGTAGTCTTACGCTTGATACTCTCCTGGCGGAAGGGGACGTAAAGACACGAGTTAGTCGTCCTTGGTAATCGATGATTTCCGCCTGCTGACTGGCTTGACAGCATGATAAATCGTTCCAGGGCTTCAAACGAACGCTCAAGGTGAGACTTGACATGACTTGCCTCAATGGCCACTGATTCTTCATGTATATACTGACGCTGACGACTCGGACCACAGACACTCTTCATCACCAGAAAGCAAGCTTGGTCCACAGTCTGCCTGTTCTTCTTGTGGTTCTTGATCGGCATTGTAAGCTATATGCCTCATCATCTCACAATGTACTCAACCGACGTCCTCACAGGCGAACCCCCTTTACAGTGTCTTCAGGCCTTACTATCTGTGAGAAGTCAACCCTGCTCACTATCCTTTGTCATGAATGTCCTGCTGATATATCGATATTCATAGCTCCACCCGCGGCTACTCGTCTGGTGCTGCATCTCCTTACATCACCTGGCGTAACTACACCATCACCAATATTTGGTAAGACTCTCATAACACCGACAGGACGTCCTCTGATGTTTCTTTCGCAGTGGTCTTGTTGGCCCCTTCCTTGCCTGGCCTCTCCTCGATACGCCATACATTCGACGACGCGGAACCCTCGCAATTGGGGCAGCGTTGACCATGGCGTTCCTGTTTGGGTTTACGCAGGTCAAGACGGGGACTGAGAATCTGATCGTCAGGTGAGCTTGGACAAACAATTTCACTGTTCTGTGCCGTCACTGACTGGTGATGCAAATAGCTCTTTTATCAACGCCGTCGAGAGTGAGTCATCTGGCCATCGTCTCTCAGGATCTCAACTGATTACGCAATTCAACCTTTGCAGATATCTTCTTCGGAGCTCTATACGGAGTTACGCCAGAGCTACTCCCGACTGGGTCAAGAGCCACTGGATACGGGATCTGTGTTGCTATCAACAGAGTCTGTAATATCATCGCCAATATCATCGGGACATACGGTAGGCTCCTCTCATATTGCCGAGAGGTTCTGAAATCAACATGCTCTTTGCTGACGCTTGACCTCATACAGCGAATGTCTACACGTCCGCGCCTCTGTTTGTCTGTGCTAGTGTAAGTGTCTTTCAACAAGATGAGACCTGTGCGGAGACAAAGGCTGATTCAAAGGGTAGCTTTTTGCTGGTCTGGTTGTTGTCTCGCTAGCCCTTCCCCTTGATCCTTCCGGCCATCACATCGGGTAGACATCTGTTCCCGGGATCTCTTTTCTAGCTACCTGGGTACTTGACGAGTTTAGAAAAGCTGAGAATGAGAAGAAGTCACAACAATGAGAGAATCAATATGAATTTTGTCACTGAGAAGTTATTATGAATCACCAGGGAGGGCCGAAACCCATTGGTTTTTTATCTAATAAATACACCCCTTCCAGAAGTCGGGGCTTTTCAGCATGTATTAGCTCATCGATGGCGCGTTGTCCGCGACAACATACTCACGGGAGAATTCTCATGCTGTGTTCAATCGAGCACCACGTCCGTGACAGCAGGATCACGCTCCATGTGGGACATGAGAACATATATCTCGCTCGCCTGAAGAAGGGGACATTAAGATTCCTTTTGTAAGATCCTCGGCCCTCGGTCAATTTACCCTCTTTGCGAGGACGTGATCGAGGTCAGCATGAGAAATAAGACTCCCAGAAGTCCTTTGACCCTCTCAAAATCTTTTCTTCGAATAGAAGCACAATTTTACACCCACTCCAATTACGTCGTCACTCCTCTGACTTCGTTGCGCTGATCTGCCTCCATAGGAGCAGCAGTTGGCCAATCTGTCTTCTACTATTAGTTGATCTTGCCCAGGCCGATTGCTTTGTGTTGCGATGTTTTCCAATCCCCGGTCTTGCTGCGGCTTGGGTTCTGATTTCTCGAAGGTCACTTCGCCACATACAAAAGAGTCATAAAGACCCAGCAGCGTTGGTTTTCCATCCAACTTTAGACCACAGCCATATTCGTGGCCTCCATCTAAATGGCGACCGACGACAACACAGGCAGCGGTAATAACGCCAGCGGTTCCTCCCAAGACCAGGGCGCCGCCGATCAAGCTTCCACCACAAGCACCAGCTTTTCCTCAAGCTTGACCACTCAACAGCGAAAGGTGTATCAGGACCTCAACCTTGAGATCAACAGTGTTTCGTTCCAGGAAGGACGTTCGCGCCAGGATACCATCGCGGACCTATTCGCTATGACAGGTCCTGGTGGGCGTGAAAGAAGATCTGGTTCTGGGTCTGGTGGAAATGTTCAGAGCAGACAGAACACTGCGCGGACTGAGGATGGCAGCAAGCAAAATGGCAGCGAAGCACAGTAGTAGAACTCTGCGACAGATGACACATTGGCTGTCGACATATCTCTTTCTTAAACATAAGTAGATGAAATGCATACTGTATGCAGATCGATGCAAGATGACTCTAGTTTACAACATATTGGTACAATGTTTCAATCTATCACCACCACCATCCATTAACCCGCCCCGTTAGCGGCCCATTCCACGCCGACTGCCCATCCTTCTCTTTCCTCCTAGGCAGCACACTACCTGATCTCCTCCGCCCCTCCCTGCCATGCTTTCTCCCTTGTCCTTCCCCAATCCCTAAAGGCGCAACATCCCACCCACTCCCCTCCCGACTCCTCAGGGCAGCCTGGCTTTCCAAGTCCAGTTCCACGCTGGGCGGCAACACCTCCACCCGAGCGACGGCGCCAAAAAAGTCGGTGATGAGAATGTCCTCGGGAGGAGAGGTGGATAGCTCGGTTGAGATTCCGGGGTGGGAGAAGATTCTGGCTGGGTCGTATGTGTCAAACTGAGAGGGTGTCAGGTGTCATGAGCATCAGAGTGAAAGTACAGGGAATGAAACGTACAAGTTGGCGCAGAGTGGTCTTTGAAGTTTTTCCAAGGCTCTCAAAGTACTGAAGGATGAAATGTGTGAAACCATCGATTACGGCTACACCAATATCGTGGTCGTTGTGGTGCTGATCCGAGTCAGTGTAGTCTCATGAAGTATCCAAAGATCTCACAGAGTAAGAGCTCTCGCCGAGTGCGGAAGAACCGGTGGCGATGATCTCGGGCGAGTAGAATTTCGAGTACATGGTATTTGCTTGACATGTATCGATCACATAGAGGAGCTTGTTATATCTGGGGTAGGATCAGTATCAAATCAGGAATTGAAGAAAAGGTAGTACTTACCTCTTCTTCTCCCACATCTGTTCCACAGCATCCGCGACATCATACGCCGAAACCTCCTCGTTATCTTGAAATTTAAGGAACTCGTTTCCACCATGACCTGTCATGTAGATGAAGACGTTCGAGGAAGCATCACTGAGTAGACGCTTTGAGCGAGGTGTGGAGGGGTCATGTCGGCCTGAATTCCATGTCAGCGCGTCGCACTCTCCCTGCCTCATAGGAAGGCCACTCACCAGTGAGCAGCCTCAGGAAGCTCTCCACCGTCACTTCATAACCCTTATAATCCACCTCAATCCCTTCTCCATACAGATCCAGCGCTTTCCCCGCATTCGCGTAGACGGTCGCCGGATAGGGATTGCGCGCATTGCAAGCCACATCATCAGCAAGCATGAGGATGATGTTGCTGTCGGGCATGCCGAGCCGCTTCAGGGTGCGATACATTGCAAGGGTGTTTGCCATGTGCTACGTGACTCGTTGATCAGCAATTACCCATGTGGCCGTCTAGAAACTCACTCGGTAGTTGAACCAGTACCGAGAGCTGCATACTAGCACCGCCCAGTTGTTCGTATGCCCGTCAGAGGCCAGCCCCTCTGTATTATTGCCGAAGAGGTCAGACAATTGCGGTTCGAGATGGTTTGTGGGGACGGTGTCTGCGAGGACTCTGAAGGCGAAGAGCGATATGAGGGCCAGGATGACGGGTGGGAGCCGCATGATTGCGTTTGGATCTCAAGGCCGGGTAGATTGCTGACTTTTGAGCAGTGAAGAGAGGCAGGAAGCACAAAGGGGCGAACCTTGGGCGAACCACCACTCCACACATCACAACCAGCGGCTGCAGCGATTCCCGAGACGGACATCGCCGCCGACCGGGTCGTGCCTGGATGAGCATGTTGGTCGATGACTCTGTTGAAGTGGTAGCTGGTCTTCTCTTACACAGTCTTGCTGTCGAGGTCTGTGGAGAGAGCTGTGAGCATAAAGCTTCGGTCAAATGGGCTGGTGAGGAAGTGTTCAAGCAATGCCAGAATTTGTATCGCTACGCCCCTCAGATCCATATAACGTTTCTGCTTTTGTCGTCGCCTCACTTGAGTTGATGACGTTGGTATTCACTCTCGGAGTGGCTCATCCGTGCGAGAAACAAAAAGCTCGGCATCTGGGATTCCCAGGTGGTCCCCCACCCTACTATTAGCCAAGCGATAAGTAACTTGTCTTCGCGGATCAGACGGGACGCGGAATTTGGCACTTTCTGTGGCCGAGCATTTTCTACCAGAGAGTCTTCTGGACATGATGAGATGCAAGATGGCCTCACTGAGAAGAAGGATAGGCTAAAAAGTATACTTATGGGTCTCGTCTCGGGGTTGAACCGAGGACCACCCCCAATATGGAACCTTTCAGGTCACCCAAAGAGGGCATGCTACCACTACACCAACGAAACAACGTAACGGAAAAGACCAATAGGAAGCTATGAGAGGTGTTGTTGTCAAATATCGAGCTAGGTCAATGCTGGAAGAATTGTTCACCATGATGTCTCCTTTGCGCAACTCTTGCTCTTCTACTGCTGTTCCTCCTGGGGGCAGCTACTACTGGTAGTAGAAAGAAGAAAAGTACATACAGCCAAGGCAACGATCAGATCCATACAATATCTGCCCTATTAGCGTCTACTAGCAAATGCAATCGTGGGGAGCCCAACGGGAGGAGAGAAATACATACGAAGTTGTCCAGTACTTGTACAGCACGCAATAGCATGTCTTATGCCGAGAGCCCGAGAGCTAGAATTGAAAATGCCGTCGGTCCTATGCGTTTCCAGGCGCATTTCACGCCCTCATAAATGGATAGAACTACTTTTCTTTGCGATCTTCATTGTTATCATCAACCGGACCCCCAACTCCAATAAAGGCTCCGAAGTTAGGAAGAAGATGGTCCTCGAAAGATCCTTCGCCCCGGGATACGGAGGTCCCACCGCCGGTGTCATCAACTACACTTCGAGCGAAGACAAGTTTGTCCCTCGAGAGCCTCTATTGCAAGTCGGCTTTGGCTATGTCTTGTGCTTTTCTTGGGCTCCGCTGACTGCTGCTCCTAGCTCGTATACATACTCACCTGCTCCAGATGGTAGGCCCCAGACAAACGCTCGTTATGAACCAACAGAGGTCATGTGAGTTTCGTCCCGACCCGTACCCATGCTTGGGCTGAGCAGAGACTCCCGCAGAATCAATGACATCCGTGACGACCCCAGTCTCACCCTTGAGGCCGCAGGGTTCCAGCATATCACATCCGAGTCGACATTGAGCGAGGCGGAATTTCAGTCGCTGGACACTAACCTCGAGGAGGCGCCAGCGGACCTTGCTGAAAATCAAGTGCTGGCGAGGTATCATGCAGAAGTAGAAGGGTGGGTGGTTTGACTATTGGAAAAATGACAGAGAGTGAGGTCTTATGAATGACAGGATACTTCGGCGAGCTATCCCTAACGCCAAACGAGTCATCACCTACAACCAGCGAGTACGGCTGCACACCCCCAAAACCGGCTTGAATGGGTACGACTTTACATCGCCCAAGAACTTTCCTCTGTATGTTTAGTCTTCTATGTTGACTATATAGTATGCAGTATGCGCGAGCTAACTATTTGGTATGTAGTCTGAGACCGCATATCGACCTGTCGCCTGAGAGTGCGGCGGAGCTGGTCGAGTCCCTCGCAGGGATCGGACATCGAGCCTTCATCGGTAAGTCTTGATCATATTGACAGACCGAGCTGCGCTAATCACCACGTCTCTCTGCAGTCAATGTCTGGCGTCCGAGTGAGTCAACAACAAGCATGACCGTGTCGGTTGCTGATATACAAGCTAGTCCGTGGTACTGTTCTTGATGCGCCACTAGCTGTGACCGACGCTCGGTCTCTTTCCCAAGAAGCAAAAATTCACACTCGCTTCGTATATCCTGAACGGTATGTATCTTGACGACCCGTTTTCTTTATGAAAAGAATACTGACATTGGCGGCAGGGAAAAGGGCTCTTACTCGATCCAAAACAAAGGCGACATCAAGTGGTACTTCATCTCTGCGCAGGAACCTTCAGACGTCTTGTTGTTCAAGCAATACGACTCTGAGAATCCTGGTCATGTTGTGGGGCACACAGCATTCCTGGATGAGAGGTTTGATGGTCAGCCGGGGGTGGTGCCTAGATGGAGTATCGAGACGAGGTCTGTTGTGATTCTTGAGTGATTTGCGAACGGTGGATCCTCATTCAGGTGGGGTAGAAAGGCGTATGCATGTCTATGCATAGCAGATTTACAACGAATCTTCCCCTACTACGGGAAGACCATCAGCTTTCCATTTCCTGAAACCACCATCCACGTCTGTGGCCCTCTCGACTCCGATCTCGACGAGTGTCTGTGCTGCGAGAGAAGAAGCGTAGCCTTCGTTACAAAACTACATGCAGAGTGTCAGAATCATATTAGGAAAGCTTTGAGATATCGGGCGTACAAGGATGGGGGTGAAAGAAGGCTCGCGGGCTTCGAGGATAGACCACGGAGAAGTGCGGTCAAGACGCCATTCCAAAACGTTCCTACAATGGACGATTAGGCCCGTGCCCACCACGAGACAGAAGAACTCACCTGTCAATCACGATCGCTCCAGGTATCAGTCCCTCCTCTTTTCTATTTCTCGTCGGCCTGATGTCAATCAAATAAACGCCTTGCTCGGTGGACCTGGCGAGCGCGTCGTGTGGAGTGGGACGGGCGGGAAGGAGCTTTCGTTTGGTTTCGAGGTAAGCCTCGATGTTGCTTTTCTGTCTGTGCTGACCCATTGTGAGTGATGTTATGAGGGGATGTGTGGACCCATGATCCAAGTCGAGTGTTATATAGTGAGCGAGAAAACAAAGTCAACAATCAAAGGATGGATATCATAAGGCAACATCGCCCCGGCCGCCGGCTCGGTGACACATCGTTGCATCACGTTTTACAGCGCCATCTTCTCGGTGTCCCGAACAACAAGTTATATCGCAGTAGTACGCGCTCAGTGGTACCCTTCTCAGCCGAGCTAGTGGACGCACCCCATCGTTAATAGAACCCAGCATATGCATATCTACAACCAATCTAGTTTCCGAAACAGATGATAATCGTACAACAAAACAATCAGCACTCTATGATATGTAAACTTGCTGCCTCAACAAAGGCTTGCTATGGGTAGCTGCCAGATCAGCGACTTGTCGGAATGTAGTCATATCCACACGCGCTTTGAACACTACAAACACTGGTTGCGACTGTCAGTCGGCCTCTCCTCATTATCTGAGAACCACTTACCATGAGTCGAATCATGATCCGCCACCCTCTCCGCCTCTTGACAAATGTCAAAGCCCGCCGCACAGTGCGCACATCTCAACCACACTCCCCGTATCTGATCACCATGCACATCACACAACGTCTCCCTGTGCATCACATGCTTGAGGTAAGCCGTAGGATCGCGCGGGTTGATCGTAGCCAGCGCGGCGGAGGGCACTTTGCCGACGGGGTGGCGGTAGAGAGGTGGGAGTATGGCGCGCCGGGAGCGAAGAGGAATATTTACTGGACGGTCGAATTTGAGGAAGACGTGGGTTGGGTCGTGGACCTTGTATGAGCGCAATTCACAGATTGAGCACTGTGTTCCGTGTCAGTATGTTTCTCGAGAGTGGTTCAGAGCACGTACGAGGTTGAACCCAGCAGGATCCGAAGGACAGCCCGCACACTGGTACCTCCTCCCCATGATCCACTCTGTACAATTCCCGCACCTGATCCCATGGTCCAGCGCGTCCCTCTGCGTCACATTGATGATCTGACTAGGCGGGATCGGGGAAGGTCCCCTGTCTCGCGTAGCTGTCGGAGCGTAGACGGTGGAATGGTCGCCAGATGGAGAAGACGAGCGAGAAGAGGGTTCGAAGGGAGTGGCGGCGCTTGTGGCGACTGTGCGATCTTGTTGAAACCATCTGTCTCGAGCTCGGCGGGATACGGCTTCGACTTCGGATGATGGTAGTGGTACGGGAATCTATGACGGGTCAATACCTGGAATGGTGTAGGAGGAGGACTCACCTTCATCATGATATGATCCGCCAGATGCCCAGACCCATCTCCACCGGCCATATAAATACCCTCGCACTGGATGCACAGATCCCAGGAAGGACATACAGCACAGTGGAACCTCGGCCCGACAATGTCTTGCAGGCAGCTATCCAGTTGTTAGTAGATGCGTTTTGCGACATTGCCATCAACTCACTTGTGACAGAACGCGCCCGGATGTCTAACCACTAGCAGTCACATATCAGCACGTACCCTTGCAGACAATACCTACTCACGTTGCGGAGCAGCCGCCCCCTGCGTAACATCTTCGTCCGAGGACACACTCCTCGCCGGTCCTATTCGAGGCAAAGGCTTATCGGGTAGTGACAAGAATGAATGCGCCGGGTGAATTTCGTCCACTTTTTGATAACATGACCGGCAAAGGTCAAACTTGCTGCACGAAACGCATTTGAAGCGGTTGTGGAAGAGTGGAATTCGACATATGGTACACTCGGTGTCCTCGTTATATTCTAGCATCACCATTAGCCGACAGCAATGAAACGCTCGACAGTCAACTCACCGACATCATCCCAACCCTCCGGTCCCCATATCCTCTCCTTGAACGTATGTCTCAACTCCCCAGCCCTTCTCGCATGCCTGAATTCACTACTGCTCAGCTCATGCTTTGCCGCCCTCGCCGCTGCCTTGGAATGCTGAATCCCATGCACCTCGATACACCCCGCACAAAGCTCATATCCCGTCTTTCTCGTTGGTAGGTCGCCCCGCGCAAGAGACGGTATCAGTTCACCATTCTCCGCGTCCGGCGACTGTGGAGGCGTAGGCCCAAGGAACGGGCGATAAGTGATGCTGGTCGGTGAAGACGAGCTCCCAGCTAGAGCTTGAAGCGAGCCGCGGGAAGCGGTGGTGGATAATGAACCGCTCCGACTGCGGGAGGCGGTGTCGTAGACTGTCCTTGAGCCGCTGCTGCTGGAAGTCGCAGCAGCTGCAAACTCTGTCGCATCCGACGACCCATCGCTACGCTCGCTCGACTCGCTCGGTACTCTTGGTGGGACAAAAGCTGCTTTTCCTGGGGCGTTTTCTTTCCACATTTCGCCTTCGCCGCAGGTTTCGCAGACATAGCGTAGATAATCCAGGCGGACGCCACATGCAGAGCAATCGGGCGCAATTACGGGTGGACCGGAGGGTTCTGTGATTTGGGCGGAAGGATCGTGGAGGTGGGATAGAGGGGTCAGGGGAGGGGATGTGGTGCTGGCGGAGGAAGAAGTGGAATTGTGGGAGAGTCGGCGGGACACGGCGTCGTTTTCGGCAAGATCGACATCGGATGCGTTCGAAGAGTCGGTCTGGTACGAGTAGTAGTATCCTGAAACCCCATGAGCATACTTCGTGAGAGGGATTCAAGGTACTCACGTCCTCGAGCATCTCGTACCAGAGCGAAATTGTTGGACCGCTCATCATCGCTACCGAAACTCTCCTCATCACTATCATAGCGATTCGACCTGCCCGACCGACTGTGCCCACTGATCTTTCTCGCATTGAGGTTTGACTGTTCTCTCAACCATCTCGATCCCAATTCAGAGTGCGTCAAGAGCGAAGGCGCGGCGTCGCTTTCTGGCCCAGTCAATGGGGCTTGCTGCGGCACCGAAAGCTGCTTTTGATTGAACCCCCGGTAACCTGAGCCTGCCCGGCTTCTGTCCGACCGCCGCTTTGGCGTGATTGATCCAGTGTAGCGGGAAGGCCGGTCGTCCTCGAAGCTCAGCCCGCTCATCCGGCCCGATATCGAGTGCGATGCCTGGCTCGCCCCGTCGTCTTCTCCGTATTCGGTGACGTCGTCGTCCATGGCTTCCTGCACAGACTCCACTACACTGCTCCTGTAGCTACTTCCGTATGCACTGGAGTGGTAGGCAGAGTCCCGCTCGGACTCGGTCTGGAAGCTTGAAATCGAAGAAGTATCACTGAGACTGGGACCATCATATTCGACGATAACGTCCAGTCGTAGTGTCACTTTCAATAGCGACAATTGGTAAGGAAGGCTCCCACTTCCTGATCCAGAGTATGTTGACATGTTGGCATCATCGTCGCCAGAGATGAAGTAAGAAATGGCGTCGGTAAGGTCGCTTTCGGTTCGTATTGAGAATTCCTCGCCGTCATCATCGGTATATACCAGGGCGAAAGGCGAAGCCGAGAGCGAGAAGCAGTCTTCAACCTATCATTTGATCAGCTTGGCGCTTTTAGAAAGAGATTGACCTACGCGATGCCGCAGAGATTCGAGGCGACAGGTGACTGCCGAAGGAAAGTTGACGCGCCGGGAAGAGCCTTCGTAGCCACACCGGACGACGAGGGGTCTATTTGGACGGTCCTGGATACCGTCCGAGGTGGATGCGGGCATGCTCATATGCGCATATGCGGCGAGCTTTTTTGTGATGGATGCAGTGCAGAGAGCGGTGCAACATGACAACTTGGGCAAACGACCTCACGTAAACGCGCGAGTTCCGGGTCCCGGGGGGCTTCGGCGCTTCGTCTTGGTTAAGAGTAGTCGGACTCGGATATGATGGTCTGGTCTATTCAATCTGTTCTGGTATTCATCTTGCAGCCTCACACACCATGGCCTCGTCTTCAAATCCAGTCATCCTGGCCTCCGGAACCAACTCCGGCCTCACCGTAAACATGTGAGCAACGCCCATCCGTCCCCGCCACAGTCCACTGACAGCTACAGCCACCCCCTCGCTATCCTCAACATCTCGGATGTCTGGAACCGTGCACAGTTTACTTCCTCTGGATCCGAGTCCCCCAAGTGTACGTGACTACTCCTCTAGACCGCGTACAGATGCTGACGGGCTTCCGCTAGTGGTTGGCGCGCTGCTGGGCACAGAGAGCAATCGGGAAGTAGCTATCGTCAATTCTTTCGAGCTCACTTTTACTCCCACTGGTGGAGATGTCGAGATGAGCGAAGGAGGTGCCGAGAAGGGTGCCTATACTCTTGATACAGAGTTCCTGCAAACTAGAGAGGCACAATGTGAGTCTTCCACATGTGAAGTGGGCGGGTCTAATCAAATCAAGTCAACGATGTTTTCCCCAGTCTCAAGATTGTCGGCTGGTACTCTATTGGCTCGGAACCCACCCCCGATGATATCTTCTTGCACAAGCAATTCATCTCATCCACATCCGAGTCTCCTATCTTCCTGCTCTTCAACCCCCATCCCGCTCCAGAGGCCCAGAACCTCCCCCTCAATATCTACGAGAGTGCAGAGGTCGCTGTCACGGGGGGCGCTGAAGCTGTTGAAGGAGGGGATATCAAATTTGTGGAGCTGGGGTATGGAATCGAGACTGGAGAGGCGGAGAGAATCGCGGTGGATGGTGTTGTGAAGGGTGGAACGGCGGAAGAGGACAGTGGTATGTAGACAAACTTTCTGTCGGATCATGCTGATCGTCTATAGCTGTTGGCCACCTGACAACGCAACGGAATGCCATCAAGATGTTGTTGGACAGGATAGAAATCCTGCAAAAGTACATCTCTGGGGTCGTCAACAGTATGTCTTTCTTACTTGTTCGACTCGTTCTGACTCATCGAGCAGAATCCGCCAAACCCGACCACGCCATCATTCGCCAGATATCCTCCCTCGTCTCCACTCTACCCACCATGGACGCTGCAGAATTCCAAAACGAACTCATGACCGTGCGTACCCGTACCCCGGTTTCGCCCCTCGCATTCCCGCGCTGACATCACGTCCCAGGAATACAGCGATGTCCAGCTCTCCTCCTACCTTTCGTCCCTCACCAACCAGCTCAACGCTCTCAGCGAGTACGGAGAAAAGCATTCTTTGGTTTACGGCTCGAAGGAGGATGATTATAGCGGCGGTGGAGCTGGGATGGGGCTGCGAAGTGGGAGAGGGATGAATTTGGGCTTTGGGGGGTTCGATTTGGGGGGCGGGGGCAGGCGACGAAACAGATGATTGGTTTAACGCTTCTTATTAAAGCGGATCAATTAGCTGCATGGTGGCATCATGGGAGAGTTGTACGCAGTACTCGAGTATGTATCATAGGTATGAATCATGGCAGAAAAAGTCGGGACAGTGAGCCCAGTTGTTTCCGATGTGTTGATGCGGAAGTGAGCGCTGAGCCGTGTTTCCATTGTGACTTCTTTCCGCAACATCATTTGTATTGCAATGGTTGGCGTCAATCATATCTTGTGCTCTTCCATCCTACCCAACATCACTGTCTTGACCCGACTCCTAGGAGCATACTGTACCTCTTCAATATGATCATCCCCACCGACTTTGGGATCAGATTAGCCAGATTGTCTTCACCCATCGCAAAGCGGGCTCCACCCCCGCACGTTGGTGGCGACCCGAAAGCAACAGCCCCAACGACGACGACGAGCCCATACCACAAAACACTGTGGGAGGTCAGACATATCATCCTCGACAAGTACCTCTTTAAGGACGATCCGTACACGTACATGCTGCTTTCAAAACAGCATCTACTACGTGTTGTGCTCGATCGATGGCGCGAGGAAGTCGTTTTGGATAAGCGCATCCTCCAAACGCTGGCGAACCCGACCAAGAAGCTTTTGCGCGCGTGTGTGGTGAGGACGATGAGGATAGTGGTGACAGATGTGGAGCAGCTGGATGAGCTTGCTTCCTTGCCCACGCGACTAGCAATAGCCCTGGAGCAACAGCGGAAATGGCATCTCAGACTCTACTCGACAATGAAATCCACATTGTCGAGAGAGAAAAGGACCACGAAGCGCAAGAAGATACGTTTCTTCCCTGACGCTCGTGTGCTCGAGATGAAACTCGAAGGGTTCATGGACGATCCTTCGCACACTAAGAGAGTATATTTCGGTCGTAGACCCAAGAGACTTTGGGATGTTTCCGCGGCGGTGGGAAAACAGCTGAGACACCTTGTCATATCATACGAAGAAGGCTGCTTGAATGGCGCGACGTATATGATCCCAGAGGAGGCACTCGCCGAAGTCATGGGCGGCAAGCTCAGGAGCCTCGTGTGGATCAAGCGTCCAGATTTCGGATCCCCGACTGAAATGAATCCACCACGGATCAATAAACCTATACCGTTGTTGAAGCTTCAGTACCAAAAGTCGTCTCAGCTACGGATTGTTCGGCTGGTGTTTGATTTTCCGCCGAATGATCCGAGGGGCGACTCGGCCCGGTCCATGAGGAGCCTCATAAGGAGTATTGAACTAGGGATCGGAGCATGGGTGTTCGATAACTGGAATAAACAGACCTATGTTGCAGAGGTTCAGACTGCCAACGTAGCACAGGGCCGTGCCGTTCTGGTCAATCGCAATCCAGTCATCCCAGAACTTGAGAGACTGAGGAGGATTAGGTTTAAAGAGCTGGAAGACGAGTGGGTGAGCAGAGGGGTACAGCCGTTGATGCGGTATAATCTGTGATGACCACCGAAAGATGCAAATACGGCGGGAGCTGAAGATCATATCCGATGTACCTTGATTCAACTCGGCGACTTTCTATGTTTTTTTGAGCTGGGATCATTCTCGATTGACGAGCCTGCTAGCACACTATTGCATTCATTTGATAGGTTTGCCGATCTAAGGACCCTCGTCAGCCAGAAACCAGCTGCAGTAACTTTTATTTGGTTCCGTCGCTTCGACGCGAGGCAGACATGCTGGTGCCTTTGACAGTTGCAAGGACCGACAGTTGCATTCTTTCCGGTTTCTTTCTGATCATATATTTGCCCGTTTTCTCATCGAATCAGCCCACTTATCCTGGTATCACGCTACTACCCTCGCTGGAACATACCTACCTGCTTTCACCAAATGACCGATCCCACCCCCAGAGAACAATTCGAAGCCGCTTCCCCTTGGCTCGCCTCCGCCCCGGCGGCTGCTGGTCTCCCAAATGAGACCAAACTCGAAGTGAGTACCTGGCTATCGGGATATCAGCCAAACGTAGCTAACATTGAATCTCATAACTAGCTGTACGGGCTCTTCAAATTCGTCACCACCAATGAAGGACCGTAAGTGTAGCTCCCGAAAGTCGTACATGTCCACTGACTTCCCGCAGAAGTTCACCCCGACCTTCGATCTTCTACCCTGCCAACAGGGCAAAGTTTGACGCTTGGACATCAACCTTCAAGCAATATACGTCGTTGAATATTGAGCCTGCAGATGCTCAGGCAAGAGCCCAGGGGCGTTATGTCGATATTGCGAAGCAGGTTGGATGGGACGGCGTGATCAGAGACGAGGATGATATTGATCTGGAGAATCTGAGCGATAGTGATGATGAAGAGGACGAATCCAGAAAAGGTGGTTCAGGGAAAGATGGATGGAGGTCGGTGAGCGTCATGGAGGGCGCGGGTAAGAAGAGCGCAGAAGAGTGAGTGATTCTTGAAGGACGTGTGATCTCGGCTAACAAACGTTTTCTTCGTCAGATCTGAAAGTCCTATACATGACGCGGTATCGACAAACGACTCGGTAGAGGTAAAGAGACTGTTACAAAACGACAAAGGACTTGTCAATGCCGTAGATGAGTTTGTGAGTATCCTTAATCCTTTCGGAATCCATCATCTGATTCGGTGCAGGGCTATACACCATTACATCTCGCAGCGGATAGGGGTTATCCTGATATGACCAGACTGTTGCTAGAGCACGGGGCTGATCGGAACGTCAAAGTTGGTTCTTTGAAAGTGCTTCTTGGGTACCATGAGCTGATGATCTTTGCGCAGGACCAGGACGAGCAAACACCTCTCATGCTCGCGGAAATATCAAGCCGAGACGACATCATCGTTATACTATCATCATAGCCGAATGTGGCTTCCACTTCATCTGTGTTGATAGCCATGCATCATAGTGTTCTCTTACAGGACAAATGTCAAGCTGCTATACACATTTTGCGACAAGCCTAATCGACTGTCAAACACACACGATGCAACACCCTCCCGGACCCTCTAACGACCCATTGTTCCTCCTTGTTCATCTCCAATCCGCACTCTCCACATTCCTTCCCCAGCTCTGCTCTCCACCCTTTCACGCTCTCCTTCACAAAGTCACTAGCCACTTCTCCCAAATCCGCCTCCACTAATCTCGTCGTCATGCTCAACATCTCCCCCTCCGCCCTATACGAATCCAGCATGCCCACCAGAATAGTTCTGAATTCGCTATACGCTCGGCCCTTGGCAGACTGCTTGGAGGTGGAGGTCGATGCTTCGACGAGTCGTTTGAACAAGCGAGGGAAGGAGAGAGATGGGGAGGATGAAGAGACAAGGGAAGCGAGGGTCTCTTGAACCAGAGAACGGAGAGTGTCGAGGACTATGCCGTCTGAGGACGAGGAAGCGAGAGCGGAGGAGGCGTGGACGAGCTCGATGATCTCATGCAAGACCCCCAGCCACATATCTTCTACTTCCATCTCCCTCTTCGCGCCATGTCCATCCTTCGCTTGGGTCGAGTGCTCTTGGCACAATCTGACTCCCATCTTTGCCACGCCTTGAATCACCTCAAGCGCAAGGTGGACACTTCCTAGATCATCGCCCAAGACCCCTTCACCAAGCTCGCCGCCCTTGTTCCGCAAGACGTCACCAACAGTGTCGAACGTTTCCTTTGTCTTTCCTTGTCGGTCCAGAGCCCACAGTTGAGCCTCGTAGAGATGCTCAGCCTCACACTGTTTGGACAGGCGTGAAAGGTCAAAGAAAGATGGACCGCGTTCGTCGAGGAAGGTGACGACATGTCCAGGATCATTTCGAGAGAGGAGGTCGATATAGAGGTGACGGCTCGGCAGTTCGACATTGGTGGAAGGAGTCGATGAGCTGGTCTCTTCACCATCAGGCTCCAGCAAGCATCGAAGATACGCCATTTGCTTGTGCGGTGCGGGGCCAAGAGCCTCAATAGCAGCAGAATGCACTTCTGGTAGCTCCTTGTCGAGCAACACTGCGGTCTCCCGCACACCCAGTTCAAACAGTTGAGGTAGTGCCTCAGTCACCGCTTGCGATACCTCACTCGACGCAGCTGGAGAAGCATCTTTGACAATCCTTTCCAATGCCCCAAACACTTCTTCGTCCGAATCCGGATCGCGCAGCAGTGTATTGATCAACTGCCCCCATTTGCCTTCTCTCCTGTATGCCCCTCTCAATATCCTGAAGAACCCGGCTTGCTCGAACAAGGCGAGCATGGCATCGCCGTCATGAGGTGTATACGCAGAAAGAAGGTACTCGGCCGCCATTTGTCGGTCTTCGCGGGTGCTCTGGTCTGGGTCGCTGGCGAGAGAAACGAGGATGCGATGGAGAGTCGAAGGAGGAATGAACAGGAATTGAGGATACTTGGGCAGGTTCCGAGCCACAAAGATGTGCAGGAAGGTGATATCTCCCGGGTGGAAATACTCGGGGTCCATGACATCCAACATGAGATTGACGATGGATTGACGATTGATCGCGCCTGAGGGATCATTGAGGTATGAATCCTCAAAAGCGATATCCATCGCATGGAGAAAGGCCTCGGTGTCGAAACGAAGTAGAAGGCTGAGATAAGGATAGGGAGGTTCGGGATGGTCTTGGTCGACAGTCAAGACAAGCTCAGAAGAGCCTTGGGGCCAAGTCACGGTCCTTCCTTGGAATATGAAAGAGTAGACCTCTGTCCTCGCTTGATGGGCCTCTCGTTCAGACAAGGGCTCATTGCTGGGATACGAAAGGCCAGACAGTACAGTCTCCAAGTACGCGTAAAGCTTGTAAGCATTCGGCGCCAGCTCCTCCGTCCCATCCCTCTCATCCCCGACCAAAGAAGGTCTATGCAGCCTATGTCGCTGAATATCTCTCACCACCCCTATGAGTTTAACTATTGGCGCCACATAGTCTCGCATCGCCCGCGTATACACATGGATCATCGCGTCCCACAAGCCATGCTTTTCGCAAAGAGTAATGGCTTGGTTGATATCGAGCGATATGGGGTCGACATGCCAAATGATAGACTCGGCCAGATCAAGCTCTTGTTTCTCGTCGTGCATTGTAATGAGGGCCTTGATGATGTCGGGCGGTATTTCGCGGACCCGGTTGGAAAAGATGAAGGGTTCGAGAATGTTGAGAAAGATGCTTTGAATGCCTACTTGAGAGTAGTGGTCGTACGCGTCGTCAAATAAGAATTCGGTGTCGCCTATCGCCAAGCATGCTTCGATGCAGGAAGTAGCCAGACCCTCAAAGAGAGAGGTCAGATCGACACCTCGGCCATCGGCACTAAAGTGGGTATCGTCCGTCATTCTGTCAGGCGAGAACGCCCACTCTAGAGACGCCTTCATCAGATCTCTCATTTTCTTGCCAACCACTTCCTGTCGTTCACGTGTGTCCGATGGGAGGTTGATGGTGTTCCCTTTTGCAGTGCCGTTGTAGTAGGACAAAGCGACAGAGATGGCGAAAAGGAAATCACCGCGGTGGACCTGGGTGAGGATGCGATCGTTCCAGTGCAGCAAGGTGCCGGCTTGCAAGTTGGTCTTGGTCTGGAAAAGTATCAGCAAAGAGCGGCATGACACACGAATCACGTACAAGGAGAAACAGCTTGCCCCTATGAGCTTTCACACTCCCGACAAACGAATTCGGCACAAGCTCCCCTTCGGCTTTTGGCGGGAGACCTTTGTAAAAGTCTTGCGATGTCAACAGGCTTGTTTGCAAAAGCGTATTTTCCACCACCTTCATGGACCGTACATCTAGAAGTACCAGAGATGTAGATGTGATCACCAGGAGATGCTGCATAGTCCTGTCAGCATCGAGGGAAGTGTCATTTTGACTGAACTCACATTCGGGTCGTACCACTCCATAGCTCTCACACCTTCGCTTGCCTCCCACTTGCGCCCTTCCACAAACTCTGGAGTAGCCTCATCTCCTTCTCGCTGAACTCTGGCCCTGATAAACCTCACAGCCTTGCCCCAGGAATACGCCAAAACAGGATCCGACACCTCTACCCCACTAGTCTTGCCATCATCGACTACCTCCCCACTCTTGAGCCACGCAGTACACCCCATCAATCCACCTTCACTCCCTCCAGCATCGTCGCGCATCTTGCGGAACCACGTCTTTGCCTGAGGCTTCATCCCCACGATGACCAGCTTTGATGGTGTCAGGAGGGCAGAGAGGGAGAATTCGTCGGTGGGGTGGGCTGAAGAGTTGAGCGGGAGCGAGGTCGTTGAAAAGAGGGTTGTTGGTTTTTTGGGAGGGTATGGAGGCTTGTCGTTTGTCCCAGGTGAAGGGTACGACCCCAGCATCCGAATGACGTCCGTGCTTTCCACTCCCATAACTTTCCCCAAACTCCACCAGAACGCCCGTCCATGTTCATCTCCCGACACTATACTGGTATGCCTCTTGCCCACGAATCCTATGTGCAAGATTCTTGATCCCTGGAGGTGTCCTTCACGCCGGCCAGAGTGGATCTGCTTGAGAGACAGCGAGTGGGCTGTCCGGGCAGGACGGGCGGGGGAGGAGAGGTCGTAGAGATGGATGGTACCGGTGGAGAGCCCGACAGCAATGTACGTTTCATCGGAAGAGATGGTTACGCATGTGACAGCAGCACCTACTGGGGGTCAGACTTGGCTTGGAGAATGAATGAAAGACTTACTGGGATCCTCCGGACCAAGGGTGTACTTGATATCCTGACCAAAGCCGTATACCACGACAAGTCCTGCATCCGTCCCAACAGCTATCATGCCGTTGATATCGAGCACAGTCGGTCGGCCTAGCTTCTGCTCCTCCATGGTCTCTTTCACCGGGCTACCAATGGGTAAACCAAGCAGAGAACTGGCCTTGCGGCTTATAACCGGCTTTGGCGAAGAGCTTCCGCTTCCGTTCTTCTTATCTCTCGAGAACAGGTGCGTAGAGAGTTTCCGTAGAGGATGAAATTGAAATGCAGGGCCTTGCTCAGGCTCAGCAGGAGGTTTGGGAATTTCTTGGTGTAGGGTTGACGGTTTGGACGGTAGACTGCTGACAGACATTGTATCTGACCGCGCTGCAGATACTTGAGAGAAGTGACTAGGAGCTCGCAAATTGAGCAATTGGGGTTTTTGAATGGATTGCTGGGAATTTGCTGAAGAGGAGCGCATATGCGAACGGAGTCTGGAGATGGAAGGGTCTGCAAGATGTCAGCGCGCATGCACTGCGATTTGATTTGAGCGACTTGCGAATGAAGGAAGCTCGTTTGCTCGGGCTCGGAGTGAATCCGGGAGGGTATGGACCTTCTCTCAAACGAGCAGGCGTTTGGGACGCTGTCGAGGGAGTCCGTATTGAAACATCATCGCGATCTGATTCTGCCACCCTCGGTCCAAATTCCTCCTCTCCCATAGAGCTTTCTCCTTGCCTATCTCTAGCAGAATCTCTCCCACTTTCCACTCCGACCCCACGTATATCGGCACTATTTTCACGAGAGCGTGAGGGATGGAACCCCTCCGCTTCACTCGTACTCAGATTCGGTGAGCTCCCCAGCTCATCTTGCGCCAGTACATTCTGTATTCTCCGCTCATACTCGTTGTCATCGTAGAGGTCTCCATTAACACCTGGTGATTGACCAAGAGACGATTCTGGAGGATGCGTCGGCGCGATGGGTGGTGTTTCAGGTCCCCAGTAATCGCTAGGTCCTTCTTCTATCGAATCAGAGTCGTAGGGCTTGGTGCTGGGCTGCCTCCATCCGGCTTCTGGGTACAATTCCGAGGAAAGCGTTGAGGGCGTATCGAATCCGCGCTCCAGATAGTCACTCGGCCCTGCCTCCATTTCGACCATCTCTTCTTCTTGGTCCATTCGGACGGAGGATGACCTCCAACCAGGTCCGGGACTAGGACTCGGACTGACATGAGGGCTGTATGCCCCTAGCTCTGTATCGTCCTCGTCTTCATCTTCGTCCTTGTCCCCTCCTTGGCCTGCCTTCTTGCCACGTATGAGCCCAAAGAGCTTGCCTCCGCTGCTGGGGGCCCGAACTGTGGCGGCACTTGAGCGCCTGCTTTGGCGGGCAGTAAGGGAGCCCGAGGAGCCGGAGGATGAGCGTGAGTGTGAGCGTGAATGCCCCAGATCGGTTGGGTAGGACATTAGGGGTTGGTGGATGGTTAAGCTCAAGTCAAGCTGGATGGACAACTCGGCGCAGCGAGATGATGCGCACTGAGCAGTGGGATTAGCGGAAGCAAAATAGTCGATGTAATATCACAATTGAATACAAAAGCAGTCCTAATAGCCCGGGACACCGACGTGACGCGACAAGAGGTCTCTGCAGGTCTCAACGATGCCAGAACGGGTAGCGATCACGAGTCATAGGGAGATGGGAGAGATATACATAAGGGGCACGATTCAATACGATGCATAGCCTACTCATTATGGACGAGGATAGTTCTGCTGTTGGAGGAGGTTTGTACTGCGAGAGTGATGTCCAATACTATTAGTGCGCGGTGGGCCGCGTCTACCAAGTCTACAGTGGCCCACGCCTGCAGATGGTAGCTATGACCCTATCCTCTCATTTGCTCAGATGAAGCCCCTCTCACTTTACTCTTGTCATTCAACACGACTTACGGCTGAGCGGGGACCGCCGCTTTGCGCGCCACCATGATGCGCGCATGATGCGCGCATGACCTCTTTCATTCTCACCTCTTTCACACACCTCCCCTACTCTGATAACCCACCATGCCCCCCAAAGGAAAACGCACCAAAGCAGAAGAAGCCCTCGACTTCCTATCCAACCTCGATAACCTCGACGCCCCTCCCGAAAACACCCCCGCCGCGTCCGAGACCCCACGGGTGTCCACGGACAGCACCCGCAAGTCCCTCTCTGCCTCCCGCGAGCTCCCGGGCAAGGTTGTACCTACCAAGGCGCCAGAGGATGATGAGGCGGAGAGTCATTTGGCATTCTTGGAAGCGCAGATGCAGAGAAAGACTAAGCCGCTGAGCGACTCGAGGTCGGGTACGCCGCTGTCTGCTGCTGGCTCGGCGGCACCGGCTGCACCGGCTGCAGCGCCTGTGGCTCAGGAAGCTTTCAATGTGCAGTCCTCCCCAGAGCCCGAGCCTCCCGTATCGAGCGGCTGGGGATCGCTCTGGTCTTCGGCCACTTCTGCGCTTCAGCAGGCTCAGCGTGTTGCCGACGAGCAGTACCAGAAAGTCAAGGCGGAGGGTGTCAGCGGTGTCACTGTTCAGCTAGAGCACTACGGTGTGAATGTCAAGAATGTGCAGGGAGTGGATCTGACCAAGCTGAGAAAAGGTGCCGAGGATAGATTGGGCGGTATCGTGAAGGGCGTGGACCTTGAGAAGATCCGTAGGTCTACAATATCAGAGTAATACAATGCTGATTGGGAGACAGGCAAGGAGCTTTTGAACACTACAACTTCCACCCTCACCACCATTCTCGATACTGTTGCCCCTCCCATCTCCGAGCACGAAACCCTCGAACTCTGGCTCTCCCACCCCATGCAAGGCTACGCCGGCGTCGAAGGCGTCATTTACCGCGCCTGGACCCGCATCCTTGAACAAACCGACTCTGGCGAACTCATCGTCATCTGGTCGCCTGCTTCTACCCCAGGTACAGACGAGAAGGAAGGCGAGGGGAGGAGTATCAACCCCGTCGAGGGCTGGGAGGCTGCATGGGACCTGAGTAAGAAGGAGGTGGAGAGTGTGAAGGGAAGGGAGAAGGAGAATCCCGAGGCGAGGGCGAGGTTGCACCCGGACGTACCGGTGACTGTCGTGCCCATCTTCCTCTACCTCCAACCCGTCCTCGTGCCCCTCCCATTCCCCGAACCCCCCATTTCGTCCAATGCCACCACCCCCGACAAGCCGCGCACCCCGCCAAAGCACTTGCAGTTCCTCCTGACGCTCGAAGACCCGGAACACAAGTTGACGTTTACGACTGTCACCCAGCCGACGCCGGAAGATTGGATGGAGGTCGAATATGAGAGATCGGAGTGGGTGGAGGAGAGGTTGGTGGAGGTTATCAGGACGGGTGTGGAGGTGGTTGCGCAGGATGTGAGTCTTTTCTTACCTGAAGAGGGATGAGCTGATGGTTCGTGTAGTATGTGGCGACTCGTATGGGTCTCAAGCCCTCGGCTCCCCAAGCCGCAGCTGTCGCCGCCCTGGTCGAGCAGGCCTCCCAAGAGAATGCCGAGAAAGAAAAGGAGACGACCGAGGAACAGGCCGAGAAGAAGAGCGACTAGGTGGGAGAAACTTGACGATAGTGTCAGGATTGTATGTATAGATATGTCTTGGTTCGTCACGCGAGCAGTAGCCGGCAGACTTGGAGTGTTATCCGGCTTCTATGCTATCCGTTATTCAGGGTGACATGGTCAGGACATTTCAAAGTGCTACTAATCTCTTCATCATGTGCAAGGATCAAAGCACTCGGGATAAAATCATGTATAGATGTATCTCGTTGTCGCTCTTCAGAAAGATGTTGACTGATACCCGACCGGGGTCAGCACGCACTATGAGGTTTCGGGGGTTGATCAAGAAATGAGATTATGCAATACATGCAGGAAAGGCAACTTCACGAAAAAGAAGAATTATTACTACTACTGTCCGTAAACGTTCTCACTACGATCCTAGATCTTACAAACATCCGAGGAACTACACTCCGCCGAGATATCGCCAATCGACTTGACAGTCTCCGTCTGGTAATACAACAAGATCGACTTGACGCGAAGCTCGCTATCGGCCGTCGGCGGACCTGCGGACCAGCCGGGGGCACCGTTAGACCAGGCATTGATGTTGTAATCCATCGCGTGTGCAGGAACTGTCCCTTCATCAGCTTGCACTCGCCATGTACCAAGAATCAGGGGGTTCACGATTGGTCCTCGGGTCCTCCTGCGCTTCCCCATTGTAATACCTCAACGTGCCATTCTGTCCCAGCCTGTCGGCTTGCCAGACGATTGTGTAGTTGTTGTAAGTGCTCGTAGGTGATCGAGTGTCGAGCCCGGGGAACGGGACGGTTTGGGTGTAGTTGGATATAAGAGAGGAGGGGTCGTTGGGCTGTGGTGTTTGCTCGTCAGTCATGGTCAGAGGAGGAAGGAGAGGAGACGTACGTTGCCGAAAGGAGGCCAGTTGGTGTAGTAGATACCGTCAGACTCCAGTTTACCTGTCAAGATTTCAATGTCGACTTCATCGGCAAAGCTGGTATACTTATCAGCTTAGCATCCATGGTCAGGGGAGACTTACGTATCGGCGATGGTATGATTGAGCCAGAAAGCCTCGCAAGTGCCCGCAACATCACTAAGCTTGGCTTCCGCTTGGTAAACGCCCCCAAAGGTTGAGACGTTGTGTGTCACCTCGGCACAGTCCATATCAGGACCCAAAGTCTGGCCCCCGGGGACGGTCAAAACAAGATCATCGCCTTCGATCCTGACATTCTGATACCTGCCCCAACACTGCGCTCCATCTTCTCCCTCTCCCCCTGCATGCTTTCCATCGTTGATCTTGAGACCGTACTGGAGCAGGTCATCGGGAGAGGTCATAGTACCGTCATCAAGCGAAGAAGGGGTGAAGGTGTATCGGAACGGGTAATAGGGGCCGCCGAGGGATTGGACGGCATAGCCGCAGGTGCAGTTTTCGGGTGGCCCTGCGAGGTTAAGGACGGGGTAAGTCTGGGAAGGAGCAGGAGGAGTGTAGGAGGATGTGGTGGATGCGGTGGTGGTGGTCGAAGAGATGGAAGTGGATGGAGTAGGGGTGTGAGAGTGGGAGTGAGAGGGATGCCAGCCCTGGGGCACAGCGCGGGATGAGACGGCGAGGAGAATGAAGAGGGTGGTGGTGGAGAGCATTGAGAGGGGATGGGAGGAAGATATGCATAGTCGGTCAGCTTTATAGCTCTCTCATCCGCACAGAAGATAAAAAACGCGGTGCTTGGCGTGCCCGAGACAAACATGCTATGCTTGATGCGTTCCTGGGAGATAGCTTCGATTGCATCACATGCTCGGAATTGAAGAGAAGCTTTAGGCGCTGTTGAGTGATCATTTGTACAGTGCAGCACATGTTGATCCTTGGCCCACTCCTGCGGCTGTTCTTCTTCCTTCAAGGAGGGCAGTTTCCTGCTTCGTTTTTATGTTCGTCCACTGTACCTCCGGGAATCCATCACTACTACTACTTCCAACGGTATTAAAAGGGACCTGTCACCGAACGCCGCACACGTACATGAATGCCACAGACGGAAGGCCGGGGGCAAATGCAGGATCAATGCTTCCGGCGATTGATGCCAATGATCGTCCATGGATGGATGTGTGAATATCTTTATGGCAGAATCAAACAGGCCTTTCTCCCCTTCCGTCACAGGTGGGCCGCGGACATTGCCAAGTGGATTGGCCACCACCCTTTGACACCTCATCGCCATCATCCTTTCCGACACCATTCATCAATACATCTTGCTCTTTGGCTCGCGTTCCATTATACTCTGATACACGCCAAGGCTCTGCTCCTCAGTGACTCTAGTTGTTCACTTATATATGCTGACTGAGATGCTCCTGGATTGAAGTCACCACTCGCAGTCACTCGAATCTCACCCCAGTCATTCTTTACTAACTCACTTTTGCTAAACCGACGTGGTCCACTTCCTCTCCGCCACCCTTTTCGCGCTACTTTTCCCTCTCGTCACAACACACGCCGCTCCCCACAGATGCGACCTCTCGGGTGCTTCATCCCTCGCTCAAGAGAGCGTCACTATCGCCCTTTTTAAGGAGACAGATGACGCTCTCGGGGCGGCCGCAGTAGCCACTACAAACGGCTACGAGCCGCCGCCCTCTGCTATCAATAACTCGGCGTACAACAGCGACTCCTCTTCTGCCATTGCTCCTACCCAAACGGAATCTGAGTCTACACCCATCTCATCTTCCACTTCCTCTGCAATTTTTGCACCCGCCGTGTCTTCCAACTCCACCTCATCCTCCAGCGACTGTTCCTGCGGTTACATTCTCTCCTCTCACTCCAACGCTTATTTCCCCAGATCTTATGCCGTATCCTTCTCTTCCCTCTCTTCCCTTGCCGATTCTGACTTTGTAATCACCGATGGCTGGCAAGTTGGCGGAGTCGGGCCGGATGGCACGAGGTCGGTTGGAAGTACAGAAAACGTCAAGATCATTGACGGGGATATGGTGCTTACAGTCCCCGGCGGTCAAAGTGTAGGGGGCGAAGTTACAGCGGCCGAAGTCACTTTTAGAGAAGTTGTAGGTGGGGGAGTGTTTACCATGGAAGCACAGCTTGACGGCGGTGCAGGCACTTGCCAATCGATTGTACGTTTGCTGCCCTCTTCTTCGCGTTCCAGACGAACAATGATTGATTGAGAATAGTTTACTTATACCCAATCGACTGATGTGGGAAACGACGAACAAGACATCGAAATGCTCGGCCAGTCGCTTTTGAGCTCTGCATCTAATGGCGCGGAGCCGGGGATCCAGCTTACCAACTGGGATGTACGTTTTTGTTCTCTGTTTCTAGCTCATGAAAAGGCACAGGTACTGATGTTTGTCGTTATAGCCAACCAATGCGGGCGAGAATGAAGAGAAGTCGACGGCCTTCCCTGATGACCCCACGACGGCATACCACAACTACACGTGAGTCATCATCTTTTACCGCTTGATTTGTACTGAACAGTGTTTAAGCATCGGTTGGCTTCCGGGAGGCACCAAGTATTACTACGACGGCCAAGAGCTCGAGGGTCCTTCCAAATATGGTGAGTTTACAATCGTCGCTCCTCCTCTCCGTCCGATGAACGAACATGCTGCTAACGTGAGCATATTCAGCGTCAGTGAACCCGTCCAACCTCATTATCAACAACTGGTCCAACGGCGATGCGTCGTTCACGGCTGGACCTCCCAGTGCTGATGTCAGCCTCAGAGGTAAGTGACGGTCGAATGGAAGAAAGGAAAGCTGATGCAAGGGTGGTATAGTCAAGAGCGTCACGTTCTATTATCAGAGTGAGACACTCGATAGTTATCCTGCTAATCCTTCTGGATGTTCAGAGGTTGATGCTTGTGTCGTTTAAGGAACATCTTTCAGGCTGTGTAGTTCTGCCTGTGTATTAGGCAATCAGAACGCAAGGGAGAGGAAATGGAGCGGGCTTCAATTTCACCAAGAGGGTTCATATCATGTATTATTCATGGTGTGACCATCGAGACGTTGATGTATATAGAGGAAGCCATGATGCTCCATGCTCGTGCTCGTCTCCTTACTGCCAAAGTCTCCAGTGCCGAAAGGCTCGTCACGAGTCCGTCTTGGGAATGGTGAGACACCTCGCACCATCCCAGGCACACCGTGGCCAGACCATGGCCGACGGTTCTGCCATCTTCTGTGAGACTTTCTGGTCACATGCGCCAAGGTAGACGCGCCTATATGCTTCCGTCTTCTGATATATATGTACTGTTTCTGTAGTGTCTGCATCGTTTCAAACTCATCTATCTGACTAGTCTACAAGGCCTGACTGAAGATAGACAACGATAATGGCGTCTATCACCACCTCCTTCCTCCTCGTTGTATCCCTACTTTTCACACCGAGCATTGCTTTCTCCCACCGCACTGCCCCCCGAGCCACCGCCGATAACTGTTCATGCGGCTACATCCTCTCCTCCCACTCAAACGCCTATTTCCCCAAATCCCACACCGTCTCCTTCTCTTCCATCTCTTCCGTCTCCGACTCTGGGTTTGGTATCACCAACGGGTGGAAAGTCGGTTCTCTCGGGCCGGATGGGACTCGAGCGGTAGGAACTTTCGGATAATGTCAAGCTTGAAGACGGAGTGCTTGTACTCACTGTCCCTGGCGGTCAAGTAGCGGGAGGGGATGTAACAGCGGCGGAGATGACTTTTGAAGAGGTTGTGGGCGGTGGTGTGTTTACCCTGGAAGCACAGCTCGGCTCTGTTGAAGGGACTTGTCAATCCATAGTGAGTCTCCTTGTCCATCAGGCAGAAGAGAATCGCTCATGCGGGGATAGTTTACGTATACCCAGTCAACGGATGTGGGTTCAGACGAACAGGATATCGAGATGCTTGGCCAATCGCTCCTGACTCCGGGGCCGATCGGTGTTGATCCTGGTATTCAGCTCACCAACTGGAATGTACGCTTCAGCTCTCTCTAGCAGTGGATGTCCGAGTCGCTGACCAGTGAATGTAGCCTACCAATGCTAGCGAGAGTGAAGAGACGACCACGCCCTTCCCTAACGATCCAACCACTTCGTACCACAACTATACGTGAGTCCCGCACTCCTCCTCACTGGAAATTTGATAAAACGTCTCTCTAGTATCGGCTGGCTGCCTGGTGGTACCAAATACTACTACGACGGTCAAGAGCTCAACAGCCCGTCCAAATACTGCAAGTCTTCTCCAATGTCCTCGAGGGAAACGCGATGCTGATTGAAGCGTACAGCATCGGTCAATCCTTCCTACGTCATCATCAATAACTGGTCCAACGGCAATCCCAATTTCACTGCTGGACCGCCTACTGCGGATGTTGACTTGCGAAGTGAGTTTGAAGTCCTACAAGAGCTTTGGGACATACGAGGGGTATATTGACCACAGTCGTTAGTCAAGAGCGTCGCATTCTATTACCAGACTGAGACTCTCGACCGCTACCCGGCATATCCTGATGGTTGTTCAGAAGCGGATGCTTGCGTCGTTACAGGCTGAGGCTGACGCGAAACATGACTCTATGGCACTCGGTGAACTTCAATATCGAGAGATGTATAGTAGCGATCAATTCTGTACCATACTATGTATACCTCAGCTAGGCCTTACATATAAAGAGCGATGCATGAGCCAACCAACATGAGCCAGTGAGCAATGGGCCAACGGACGACGCGTGCGAGTGCCGTTTCCGCATTACGTAAATCAAAAGTCCACGTCAGTCCCAAATCTCGCATCCAATCACTTTGTGCGCGATTCTCTTCTGCCTCTCCTGCGCCCATCTCCTCTTACATCCACCCCCGACCAAAATGGCCCTCGACACCGCCCCCAACGCCGCCCCCGTCGAGCAACAAGAGTCTGCCGGATTCTTCGGCTCCCTCGTCAACTACTTTGTCCCCACGTGAGTATTACAAAAGGTCTGGGCGCGCAGGGGAGGGAGATCGTGGAGAGAGAGGGAGGATCGCGTGAAGAGGGGGAGAGAGGAAGAGAGGGAGGCATGGAGGGGATGGAGGGATGTACGGGGCCCAAGAAGGAATCGAAAACACACAAGATCGACATCATCCCCTCTCCCATTGGCCCTCGTCGTCGCCCTTGCCCGCCCGCGTACACCGTCAACACAACAAAAGCTGACGATTCTGTCCTTAGCGCCCACGCCGACGACTCTGAAGAAGAGGAGGAGGCTCCTGCCGCTGAGGAAGAGCCCGCTGAGGAGGAGGAAGAGGAAGAGGAGGAGGAAGAGCCCGAGGACGTGAGTCTTTTTTTTTCGAGACCGTGTTGCGAAGCGCGAATGAGGGTCAGGCGCTGACTAGCGGTTTGCTTCATTTCGATTCAATTTGTCCATCTCGATTCCCCCCTGTTCTCGACATTTTCTGCAAATCCCCATCCCCGAACCACGTACATCACAACAATCGACGCATTTTTCCATCCCTTTTGCTGCGTTCCCATCCTCGCCATCGATACTACAAAACACAGATTGCCCCCGCTATTCGTGAGGAATGCGCCGAGAAGCAATGCGGCGAGCACGTCCACCACTTCAAGCACTGTACCGAGAAGGTTGAGGCCGGCGAGGGATTCCCGGGAGAGGACTGTGTGGAGGAGTTTTTCCACGTTTTGCATTGTGTCGACGTGAGTGTTACTCTCTTTGAAGGAAACAAAACGAGTTTAAAGTGAGGCCGGAGGCGAGGATGTCAAGATCGATACACATTGCCGATCGAAGCGGGAGCCGAAAGAACGCTTGAAGCGACGAATGCTGATACATGGAATCCCTAGGGTTGCGCCGCCCCCAAGATCTTCAAGAAGCTCGTATAGAGGAATCTAGAGAATCTTTGTTTTCTCTATTCCCTCTCCTTTTCCCTGGGGCGACTCCTCTTGGACGATTTTACCCTGCCCTCTTCAGAACGAGGAGGGCTGCCACTTTGCATTGTTGAAAAAAAACCCGAAAAAAACAGACCTAGACATGAGGGAGATGTAATTCTTCCCCATTTGACTTCTGGAGCGAGTTGTTGAGCTTGGATGTGGTGGGTGCGAGGCGTGGAACGATCATTCGTTTGCCTGCGACCGGGCCTTCACCATACAACTAAGCAAGATCCTACTGACGAAGGCTGAACGCAACTTGAGATCTATAGTTCTTCAAGTCAACCAAGATAATTCGTCACTACCATCAACGACTGCATGTTGCATTCGGCACGTTTTGGAGATAGAAATCTCAACCATTCATTATGCGCCATACAACGTTCACCTCGCCGCCCGTTCGCTACTCTCTCTACTGACTGAGCGTCGGTTGCATCCCGTCTCACAGCTCCATCTGCATTGCCATCGGCTCACCTAGTTTACGTAGGCTTGACGAGGCCTCAAGTCGACCGCGCAACGGAGTGAGCGCAGTCTAAGGTCCGATACCCAGAGTTAACCAACATAATACCATCATCTAATACCTATATTCCTCCCACACAGCCCTTCCCAAACCCCACCACCCTCTCCACCCTCTCCCCTCTCCCTTGACTCCATAAACCGCAATCCCCACGCCTAGCATAAGTACCCCAAACGCTACCAGCGTACTCGGTTGGATCCTCGTGAGGACTTCTCTGAACCCGGGTTGACGGACGATACGTCCTCTCCTGGGCTTTTCGTCCTCGTCTTCTGGGGGGTCCAGAGCGCCGGGGAGGATGACATCAACATCAATCCTCGCTAGGCATTCTTCTGCAGACCAACGACCGCCATCGGCTTGTTCTTCCTCATAGCTTACCAACACGCTACCCGGCCCAAAGACGGCCTTCCCACGCACAGCCTCGCCGTCCCAGGGTAACCGTTCCATGAGCTCATCCCCCAGCTCGAATACTTTCGACAGTGGGATGGGGTCGTAGGGCGAAGGGAGGGATGGGTCATGGAACCATTCCAGAGTCTTTTTGAGTTTCTCTTTTTCCGACTCTTGCGCTGTTGGGGGTGCTGAAGTGGGTGTATCGGGATAAAGAGGAGGGAGGCGGGAGAAGAGGGGGTGGAGGAGAGTGGGGTCATCGGTGTATTCTTGAGGGAGTTGTGAGATGAGAACGAGGATTTGGGGCTTGTTTGCTAACAAGACCTGTCATCAGATTAGCTCTGCCTTTGTCATTATCCTTCTAGCGGCTCACAGCTGCAGAAAGATAGACAACCCAGCTAGGATTTCTACCCAGACCCCAATCGAATATCCGTGATATCGTCTCCAGATCATCGACATCGTGGGAAAAGAGGGTGAGTACCCATGAGAGGGCAAAGAAGGGGAGTGACCCGGAGGGAGAGATGGACGACGTCAAGTTGTAGAGGGACGGGTCGGCGTGAGAGAGGAGATTTTGGAGCAGTCTGTTATCAGGTCAACTATGTGGACAAACAGGGAAGAGGAAGACTTACTTTAAAAGCCCCATCATACCTTCCATCCCCGATCCCATGGCATCCCTCACCCTCGTCAGGCAAAGCACCTCCACACATCTTCTCAGCTCTCTCCACTCTCCCGTATCCCTGTCTCGCAAGTCCGAGTCGACTATAGCATTCTCTGGTGGCGTCATCGTAAGAGGGGGAGGTGTTTTCGCAGGAGTCAGAAGCCCAGGCAAGTCCGTCATACTTGAGCTTTGACTTTGGCTCCGACTTTGAGATTGAGAGCGACTTCGGCTTCTTGCTTGTTCGCGTTCGAGCCGGCGCGACATGGACCGTTCCCGTCCCGTGGGGATGGGTTTTGGGGGAAAGTAGTTAAGATAGAAGACGGAGAGGATGTCGTGGAAACCCTTTGTTTCTGTCAGCTGCGTCTCTGCTGAGCGGGGCAAGTGGAAGGGCGCACTTGGAAGTAAGATAGAGCGGGATACTTGCGCAACACACCAACGATGAGGTTTTCAAGGTCGTCTTGAAGCTCCTTCTTCGTCTCTGGCGATATATCTAGCACACCAAAGAGTCAGCAATCATTCATATCTCATGCAGAGAAGGGAGAAGAACGGACCTGTGGGGTATGTGACGAAGGAGCGGTCAGTGTCAAGTTTGACTTGCTGTTCGTCTTTGTGAGTCAGTACTTCTGGACTTCCTTTCGACGTTCCTTCCAAAGCGTGTCCAGGACCCTGTGCCAAGTCATATGCAGATTTGGTCGATGTCGTTTGACCCTCGCTGTTGATGGGCACAGTGCTCGTGGACGCTTTGGCATTGACGTCTGAAGCTTCGACGTTACTCCTTTCTGAAACAAAAGAGTCTACCCTCAGAAGAATGGGCCTGTCTTATCGTCAGCCTAGATTTTCCTTGTATTCTCAGGCATGACTGCTCACCAGACTCTCTTCCTCTCCCCTGCGAACCCTCCTGGCAGGCCGCCAATCTTCCTCAACGCACCCAAGTCTCTTTCTTGGACTGCCTGATCTACCCATATCTTCCTTGTCTGTTCCCATGTGGGCGGGCGCAGGGGCACGGGTACCATGATTCGGATTTCTTGTTCAAGAGGACGATGATGAAAGTTGAAAGTGAACTCCGGCGGGATGGCCTGCGGGCATCGTTCGGCGAGCGCCGCTTGCGTCACTGCGCCCATGTCCTCTATCATCTCGTCCTCGTCTTCCTCTCCCTATAACAACATGTTCAACAACCCCCGCCCCCTCTCCCCGTCCTCTCCTTCCCATTCATACGACCCGTTGTCGTTCACAGGTTTCTCGAATGGTCTTCGGGCGGGCTCCATTGCAAGCGGAAGCGTCACCGGAGCAGCATCAGGAGGTGGAGATGAGCTCGATCCCTGGAGTAGCGCACCCTCGCCTGCAGGTGGGAGCAGACCGGCATCGACACTGAACCCCTCTACTACGCGCTTTGGAGCTGGGAGCGAAGCACTGCAGAATCTCATTGGTGCGTACTACATCAAATCAGTGATCCGAGCTAATGAGCGTAGTCGACCCTCCGGCCCAGTATCTAGCTATCCTAGATCAGCTTCCCCCTGGTACAACAGTCACCTCCTTATCGAAATACCTATCCGATACCCTCCCGGCACCCATCATCGCCAAGGTCCGTGCTCTTTCGACTGCAAGGCTCAAGCTGATACCTTGCGCAGATTGTTACCCTGACAAACGACCAGCCCTCATCCCCTCGGAGCTCTCTCGTCTGCGCTTTAGCACTGGTCGCTTTAGCCCAAGCATCCCACATCTCTGACCCCCTTGACCTATCCATCGAAATCCTATCCTCCGCACTCTCCCAGGGCGACCTTCCACCGCCCAAAGTCTCGCACCCCGGCTCTTTCTCTCCTGCCAAACCCAACAGCCACCATTCATCTCTAGGACCTGACCCTTATCCAACATGGGATACCCCATCGCAGGACAGGACGGGATACACTCCACCCTCAAGTCTGTTCCGGCACCCGCCCGTGCTGGCTTCGGATTCGTCGGTACACATCGATGACCCCTACGCCCCGGATCCTCTTGCTGCTTTAGAATCGCAGAATGGTGGCGGTGAGAATCCCGGGCAAGGGTCAGGGGGGTTGAGGTTGATACAAGTTGAAGACTTGGAACCGGAGGATATGGCGAGGCCTAGGGGGTGGTGGAAAGACCTTGAGCGGGTGACAGTGGATCTCATACCAGAGAAGGAGGGATGGTTCCTCCAGAAATACCGATTGTCTAGTACGGTAAGTATTTCTGTCTCTAATGATCAAGCGCAGCTAAGAGAATGTGATTGCAGAAGCGAGGCGATCAAGCAGTAACTCGGCGGTTCAGCGACTTCTTGTGGCTAATGGACATTCTCGGCAAACGATATGTATGCCCCCTCCCCATCTCAACTCGACATATCACTGACCGATATTTCAGCCGTATCGTCTCCTTCCGCCTATCCCTCCAAAACGCCTCAATCGTGCGTCCTTCTGTCCGTGTCTACAATGGCATTCACTCACACCACTACAGCCGATGCCGCCTTCTTGGAAGCCCGTCGCTTATCCCTCCAACGCCTTCTCTCCTCACTCACCTCCCACCCTGTCCTCTCTCAAGACCCCTGCTTGACGACATTCCTCACTCTGCCTTCTCCTGGCTTTGAAGGTTGGCGCAAGCGAACGTCCGTCGCTCTAGAAGAAGAAGGGCCTTCATCTCCTCCTCTGGCACTTAGGGTCCCGCGGGATTTAGAACCCAAGCTTCTCGCATTGAGGAGCAATCTCCCACAATTGTTGTCTAGCTTGCACAAGCTCATTACACTTTACGAACGGGCTCTTACGAGGGCTCAAGCGGAGAAAGGCGATAGTCAACGTCTAGCCGGCGTTCTCGAAGGCTTAGGGGAAGGCGTGAAGGAGTGTTGCTTCTGGTCTTATGGGGTTCCCTCTTCACACGTCAGAACCGGAATCAACAGGGACGGGAATAGTCCCGGAGAAAGTGGAGACGCGCCCAAGTATGCAAAAACGGGAGACGTTTGTGAAGTGTGTGGGTCGTTGGGGACGGGAGTAGGAGATGTCGCAAAGGGATACGACAAAGTTGTTGGGGCGCAACAAAAGCGCGTGAGTCACTCTTCTCAATACTGTTTTACATCGCCCACTGACAACCTGGTCCAGATTGAGAATCTGCAGAAACATCTCGAGTCTCTCAGATCACAAAGAGACCTCCATCTAGCTCTCCATGCGCTTTTCTCGAGATGGGCAAAGAACCAAGCGGCCAATCCCACCTCTTCACTCCTGACCAAGATCTCTTCCCTCAACATTAAATCCTCCTCCCTCCTGTCTTCCCCGCCCCTTCCCTCCGCCCCACCAGCAAAACGATCCACCTGGGAATCCCAACTCTCCAAACTCCGAGATGACCTTTCCCTTGCTCGAGCCGAGGTGGAAGTATGGAGAGGAAAAGAAGTATGGATGAAGGCGTTGGTGTGGGAGGAGGTTGCTAAAGTGTGGCATGGGAGACAAGGGGTGGAAGGAGGTGTTGGATGGAGGGCGTTGGGGGCTGGGGAGAGGGGCGTTGGGGAGGGCATTGAAGGGGTTTGGGAAGGGGTGGTGGGGGCGTTGGAAGGGGTTGTGCTGGAGTAGGAATGTCATGTACATCTTGCATAACCATGTCAAAGCCGTTGCATCTGCTAGTCATGTTTATACATTCTTTCGCTCATCATACACGACAGTAGCGTCAAGCTAGTCCCCAGAAATCCAAAGCTCTTCCTATCGCTGCGTGACTATGTTCGGGATGATGGCAAGTTCGGAAGGGAGTGGCAGGGCAAAAAGAGTGCTGGATCTCAGCGCATTTCGGTATCCCGAACGAACCAAGTCCTTCAACATCTCTTTTTGTTCCGCCACAGTACAATACAAGTATGTACTCGTACTGTGCCCTGGGGTGCGGGTGCTATACTGATACTGCTAAGCGTTCTTCGTACTACCGCATGATGCCCACGCTCTAATTTCTTTCCTCGTTGTCTCTTATTCCTAGTCACATGCATTTAAGTACCGGTCTAACTCAAGAAACTTGATCTTTCTTTGCAATTCTACAGGACAAGCATCTACACGGCTCCTGGTAGACAGACACTGACTCTCAAACACCAAAGTTCTCGGGCACCTCACAAGGCTCCACACTCCAGATACCATCGGCATAGTCCTGCACCGACCTGTCGCTAGAGAAGTCACCCATGTTGAACGCGGTCAGGATGGATTTCTTGGTCCACTCAGTGGGGTCGTTGGCGAAGCAGTCGTCCATCAGCTTCTCAGCGGAAAGGTAAGAACCAAAGTCGTTGGAGACCTATTATCCGTCAGCCAAAGCTTGGGAGAATATGTCAAGGACACTCACAAGGTAGTAGTCGTGCTCGTAAACAGTCTTCAACAGCGGCGCGTAAGTGCCACCGTCGCCGAACGTGCCGTTCTCGATGGCCTTGAACACCTGTGCCAGCTCGTTCGACCTCTGCTCGAGAGGTGTGGGCTGGTAAGTGTTGGTGTAACGGATACCATCGACTTGCTCGGCGAGGTATCCGAAGAGGAAGGACTGATCTTCACCGGCATCTTCGGCGATTTCTACGCACGAATCAGCTTGACAATCTACTTTGAGAGGAAAGATCCATACCGACGTTGGCACCATCGACAGTACCGAGAAGCAGCGCTCCGTTCAAAGCCAGCTTCATGTTACTCGTACCACTCGCCTCTGTCCCCGCCGTACTGATCTGCACCGACACATCACTGGCCGGCACCAAGATCTCTGCAATCGACACCGAGTAGTCGGGTACAAATACAACCTTGAGGAGATTGCCAACATCGGGGTCGGTGTTGATAACACGGGCGACATTGTTGATGAGACGAATGACGAGCTTGGCGACGTAATAGCCTGGGGCTGCTTTGGCGGCAAAGATGTGGGTGTGTTTGGTAAACTTTTTGCGATCGGCGGGAGAGGCGGCTTTGATCTGAAGGTAGCGGTAGATGACACCAAAGATGTTGAGGGTCTGTCGCTTGTACTGTACCTATCGTCAGCTTTGCCCAACCATAGTATAAGGAACGTACCTCGTGCAACCTCTTGATCTGCGTCAAGAACACACTGTCAACATCCAATACGATCCCCAACTCGGCCTCAACCAGTTCCGCCAGTCGCCTCTTATTGTCCTTCTTGATCGATACGAACGCTTTCCTAAAGTCCGGGTTCTCAGCCATGGGCAAGAGCTGCTTGAGAAGCTTGAGGTTGGTGAGCCAGTCATCTGACCCCAGCGTGTGAGTACAGAGCTCGGCGAGAGAGGGGTTACATTGAAGCAACCATCGACGAGGGGTAATGCCATTCGTCACCTTGATTTTCATTAGCATTATCCTTGCAAGCAGTCAGCAACGACGTACATTGGTGAAAGCATCCCTTCCCTTGAACTCCACAAAGTCCTTGAAGATGGTAGCCTGGAGCAGCTGCGAATGAAGCTCGGCAACACCGTTGATCTTGAAACTGGCGACAATGGCGAGGTAAGCCATACGGACGTATTTAGGGGTTCCCTCCTCGATGATGGACATTCGTCTGAGACGGTCAGTGTCGCCGGGCCATCGCTTGGCAACTTGGTTCATAAACTCGCTTCGTGTGTTGTCAGCTCCGGTACAAAGATGTTAGAGAGATAGGAACCCACAAATTAATCTTGTAGATGATCTCAAGATGACGAGGAAGCAAAGACTCGAAGAGGTCGAGCTGCCACCTCTCAAGCGCCTCGGGCAAGACAGTATGGTTCGTATAAGCAAACACCTTCTGGGTGATAGCCCATGCCTCTGCGTACGACACTTCCTCCTCATCGATGAGAATCCTCATCAACTCTGGAATCGCCAGAGTCGGGTGGGTGTCGTTCATCTGGATACACACATAGTCGGACAATGCCGACCAAGGGAGATCGAGCTTGGTGAAGCGACGGAGGATGTCTTGGAGGGAGGCAGAGACCCAGAGGTACTGCTGCATCACTCGGAGCTTCTTGCCGGCGTACATGTTGTCGTTGGGGTAGAGAACACGAGTCTGAAGGAGGGTCAGAGGGTTCAATAGTGTAGAGCGAAGGGCCTACGATGTTTTCGACTTCACTGCTAGCAGCCACACTCGCTTCATAGTTTCCAGCTATCATACTGTCAATTCCATTCAAGCACCCTTTGCCCATGACTCACCATTGAACGAGTTCAGATCAAAGCCCTGCACAGGCTTGGCGCTCCACAACCTGATGTTCGCGCAGTTCTTTGTGTTATAGCCGGGAACAGGAGCATCGTAAGCTACCGCGAGACACTCCATACCACCGGTCCACGAGGAACGGTCGGTGCCGGGGATAGGAGTGGAGGTACCGTAGAATCGGATGGGGTAGGAGACGTCGATTCGAGGAATCTCCCATGGCTACGAGTAGGGTTAGAGTGGCATCCAAACCAGAATGGGAAATGGACGCACGTTCTCACGGTCAAGCCAAGGGTCGGGTGCTTCGAGCTGTTCACCAGTGTTGGAAATGAGCTGCTTGAAGATACCGTAGTTGTACCTCAGCCCATAACCCCAGCCGGGAAGGTTGAGAGTTGCCATCGAATCAATCTACGCTCGTTGATTTCCACCGTACGAAAAGGAAGACCATCACGTACGTAACAAGCGGCAAGTCGCCCCAATCCACCGTTACCCAAGCCAGCATCTCGCTCCTCATTGAGCAAGTCTTCAAAGTTGAAACCCAACTTGCGGTCAGCCTCCTCATAAGTGTTGCGCATACCCAGGTTGAGGACGGCATTGTCGAGAGAGCGGCCAACGAGCCATTCGATGGAAAGGTAATAGACACGCTTGGGAGCCTTGGCCGTGTGGTACCTACGAAGCATGTTAGACAGGCAGAAACAGAGTCGGGCAGAAAAGACTCACGCGGCAGTGTTATTCCATCGCCTGATAGGGTTATCTTATCAGGGCCGTTCGTCTATTCCGTAATCGATAAACTTACTCGAGAAGCTGATCTTTCACACTCAATGCAGTTGCCTGGTAAGCTGCCACCTATGGAAAGTCAGTTTGAATCCACCTCGTCGATATAACGCCCACCTCATCAACGTTATAAGCTTGCCTGCCCAAGCTCGTGTTGATGTGCCGAACGATGGACGTAGCCACATCCTGCGCATTGTCCGGATCAATCTTCAGGTCCGCGAGCGATTTGCGCCAAGTGTCTTCGTCTCCGATAGGCCACTCGCCAGGCATATCAACGACGCCCTTCTGCGACGGAAAGTAGGAGCCGGTGAGGGAACGCTTGTGAGAGGGGCGCTCTTTGCCTGTTGAACGGCATTACGTTAATCAAGAAGGTTTCGGACGGTTCAGGGAAGGCGGGTGCGGGGCGCGGATGGGGCCGATGGGGCCGATGGGGCCGAGAGGAACGCAGTCGGGGCATGTTGACGGTGGGAGGGGTGGATGGTGGGTGTTGGATGGAAGTATTCCAGCAATACGATCATACGCGGAGAGCGAGTATGTAGTTACGCCATACAAGTGTACACATGCCACAGGTTCGCGATGCACGAGTCATGGGACGCGTCGGCGAGCAGCGCGGTCAAAGATTAAAGACACGCGGACCACATGACCGTCGTGAGAAGGCAGACGAGTGGGCCACACAAGACGGTTCCAAAAGAGAAGGAAGGAAAGAGAACCAGCACCAATCAGCAGACGCTCCAAGGGGCACACGTGTCCACTCACGGGGAGTAACGATTGGGATGCCAATCTGCGAAGTATCCACCTGCTTGAACGAGTTCGGATGGCCGGCAGACATGCTGGAGCGGCGAGAGAGTTGAGGCTGGTGGAGAGAAGGAGACCGCGAGGCATGGCTCGAGGAGGGAGAGGCTGGATTGAGAGTCAGCAGTGTTCGGACGAGACGAGAGGGGCTGGCAAGGGTGAGTGTATAGGTTGAGAGACTGACCCGGGACCCTGTCGAGGTTCTCCTTGGTGAGCTCTGTCATTGGGATTGTGGAGATGCAGATGCAAGATGAGATGGAAATGTACAGGCAGCGAGTGTTCCGTCATGGGAACTCGGCAGGGACAAACCACGGAATGGGCCGGGGCATCTTCCCGGCGGCCGAACACCGAGCGATGCCCTGCATTCGCTGCCGACAGATAAAGGTTATCGACTATCATTGTGGCTATCCCTGCAGAGTGGCATGTGTCTGACACATTGATATGTACTGCATGAATCGTCAATATCGTATAGTTGAACCCAGCTATTCGTACACGCCCGCTCTATCGGCCCAAAGCCCTACTATTCAGAAGAACCCTCACATCTATTCAAGAGTTTATTCCTCCTCTGCGTACCCCTCATCCCTCTCCATTGCTTCCTCCTCCTCATTCTTGTTCACAACCAATACCCGGTAGAGCATCTGCACTTTCCTTCCATTCTGATCCAGCCTCTCCGCTTCGTCTGCCTCTGATTCCCCACCGCCGTTACGTTGGCCTTCGTTCTCAGTCCAGTTCGACGGCGCGCGTGCTTTCCCCTTTCTGTCCCCTCGGTACTCCAAAGAAGACTTGTAATACTCTTCAGCACTGGGTATGGTGCCTATCCTCGTCCCCGGGGTGGTGATATCCAACACCACCTTTCTCGGCGCCAAAAACCTCTGTATCGTTTTTCCCTTCTTCTCCCTAAAGCTGAATCCCCCCGCAGGGACTGGCGGTATAGGCAGCTGTCTCTCGTCTGATGGCGTAAGAAAGTGAAACGGGTTGAGCACGAGGAAAGAGGCTAGATGGCCTTCTTTGGGCAGCGGAGGGTTGGGGCGGACAGGCAGTATCATGATGTCGGTTTGCTTGGGCGGGTTTGGGGTTGGAGAGGGTAAATTGATATGCGTTTGCGGTTCGGGGGACTGTCGTTGTGGCGAGGGGTGGCACTGCGAGGAAACCTCGTTCGGCTCTGAATTCAGGCGCATGGAAGTAGCAGACTTATTGAATTCCGAAACATCTATTTCGCCCGTCAGCCCTACTGACCTGTCACGTCCAGGAGCCGACTCACGAGATGAACCATTTTTCAACAGTTCACCCTGATTGTCCGCACCAGGTGACCCGTCTCTTGCCGGTGACCCGTGACCATTTTGCAAAGGAGAACTGAGGGCACCGTTGTGTGTAGGGGTACGTCCACCTTCCGACACCCGCCCAGTACGAACCGTCCCTTTCGCCCGCCCTCTCACCTTCAATCTACCGCGAGGTGTCCAAGACTCGGAATGCCCACTTGAGGGCGGCTCTCCGATGACAAACTCGGACGGCCGAGATGTTGATGTTGAGGGTGGGGTAGCAATGGCGACAGCGGCAGCAGCACCCGAGGGGTCAGGCTGCGAGATTTCTGTCGGACGGGAGGTACGGACGACAAGGGAAGCCTTTCCTCGACCTCGTCCCCTGCCGCGGCCTCGAGCACTCGTCTGTCCCGCAGACGCCTGAGAGTCCAGCACCGGCGCCTCTTCTAGGCTCGTTCCCTTCTCAGCCATGTCCTTATCTTCCTCGCTCGTCTGTTTCTCGCCTTCGCCCAATCTCTCCTTTTCCTTCTCCACCAACTCCCACCACGACGCGTATTCTTCCAAATACTTGTTGGTAGGCCGGCCGGGGTTGAGCTTCTTGGGAGGAGGGGGTATGCCTGCAGGCAGATCGGGCGGGGGAGGGGGAGCATAATCGCGGGGAGATGAAGGAGTTTCGGCAGGAGCAGAGGTAGGGACAGGAGACGACTGTTGAGGTATTTCTTTATGACGCATTTTCCGACGTTTGGTAGGTGATTCGACGTCCACAGTGTGGGAAAGCGCCTTTTCCTCGCTGAGAGCTTCCGACGCCTCCTCCTTATCCAGCTCCTTTTCTTCTTCCTCCGCGTTGCTCGACTCTTTCTCCAGCTTTGGCTCTTCTTCTGCTGGTGGATTCTCTACTCCATTTACCACTGACTGCTGTTCGCCTATCAGTATGGGTATTGTATCTTCGGTAGATTTCCCAAGATCTTGTACCCGATCGGCATCTCCCTCTAGACCCTCTTTCTGGTCTTTGCTCATCTGCGCCCCTCCCTCCACCCCCTCACCCCTCAGCCTCGCCCTGGCCTCTTCAACCTCCTCGAGCCACATTCTATGTTCCTCCAGATATTTCTTACTCGGTCTCCCAGGGTTTTTCCTGGGTGGAGGACGGACGCCGGGAGGGATATCGATGGGGGCCGCTAATGGTCGAACGTATTTCGGTTTGGAGATTGAAAGGGAGGAAGAAGTTGTTTCGAGAACAAGAGCAGAGGTGGAGCTGGAGCCAGAAGCATTGGCAGAAGCGCTTGCTACTTCGGAGACAGTTGCTGTCGTACTGTCGAGCAACGGCGGTCCGGTCGACTCTGGCTCTGTTGGCACTGTATATTCACCAGAGACCGATGGTTCAACCTCTGTTTTTATTGGGCTCTTCGGTACCGACGAAGGCGGGGGAACAGAAGTAGCGGTACCGCGCACCTCTTGGAAAGGCTGGAATCCGCCTGACGGGTCCTGTGCCACTTCGAGGGGTTTGGCCTCTTCCTCGCCTTCCTTGCTCGGACTCGTGGGAGAAGTGAGGGTAGGTGCGCGTTTGATGACTGAGGCTTCTTCGATCTTGGTCGATGTCGTCCCGATTTCTGGAGGTTCTTCCTCCTTCTTGGCCCTTGACACTCGAAGTTTCTTGACCCCTTTGTTCTCCCCCTTCGCTGGTCTCCCTCTCTTCCTCTTCTTTGATGTACTCGTCTCTAGTTCTCGCCTGGTATTTTCCTTCTCTTCATCAGAGGGATCCAGCTCATCAATGTCGTTCTCCACTTCCACCGCTCCATTCCCAAGTGACGTTGACGCCTTCCCCTTCTCACCTCCTGCGACAATGCCCTGGGAGGTAGGTGGGCTTGTAGCCCATTTCGCGCCGGACGATACCCTGGCTTTTGCTGGCGCACAAGGAGAGGGAGGGGCAGATGAGAGGGGGCTGGAGGGAGCCGGGGAGGGGGTCATGAGCTTATGGGCGGGTAAGAGTTGAGGGAAGCGTGCCAGTGAATAACAATTACACCGTTCACTTGTCGCAAGTCGGTGAACAACACGGACATGGACGCGTTCTCCGCGACGGAATCAATTCAGAGGTATGACACCCACTGTATTCATGTCCCGTCTTCAGCTTGTCGTATATCCTGTGATTTACAACAAACAACAAGCTCAGCCACATACAATGCCCCACCAACCCCCTGTCCCTGGCCAATTCGAGCAAGACCCCCGCGTCTCGTTCGACAAGACCACGCAGAAATGGCAATACGAGGACGAAGGTCTCGAGTTTGAGTGGAATGGGAAGGTCTGGGTGTCCATCGTGGGTCATATCTTCAAAGCCTCTCCTGGTGCTGGATTTAACGGAAACATCCAAGGTGGATGAAGAGCTTTTGAAGGCGCAGCAGGCAGCTTATTCCGTGCCCGGCGTGGACGAGTCCGTGAGTTGGCCCTTTGTTCCCCTCTATATCTGTCGCTCAGAGTACTGACTCGGCCCTAGACACCCGCAAATGCAGTATTAGCTAGGGAAGAGCGACGTAATCTTAAACGCAAAAAGAACGAGAAAGACTATACCTCCAATACGCTCAACAAGCCCGCCGAGCCGGCTAAATCTGCCTCTCGAGGCAACTCGAACGGCGGGGAATCCTCGAAAGCTGCTGCGCCTCCACCAGCCCAGAAGAAGACGGGTGTTTGGGTGACCAACCTTCCGCCAAACACCACTGTGGAAAAGATGGCGAATGTGTTCAACAAGGCTGGCGTCCTGCTTATCGATGATGAAGGGAACCCGAAGATCAAGATGTACTATGACAATGATGGCGTCTTCAAAGGTGAAGCTCTCGTCACGTATTTTAAGGAAGGCAGTGTCGATCTTGCTATTACGCTGCTAGATGATACAGAGCTCGAGCTGGGAGCAGGTTACCCGGCTATGAGGGTGGGGACTGCAGAGTATCAGAAAGACACCAGTGGGAAAGAAAAGGGAAAGGAGGGAGGAGAGAAGAAGGAAAAGAAGGAAGGAGAACTTCAAGAGAAGAAACGTCTGACAGCGGAGGAGAAGCAGCGGATAACGAAACGCATCAAGACGATGCAAAAGTACGTCTCCTTCCGACACACTCTTTCATTTGAGTGCTAATGTGAAAGCAGTAAAGTCGCCTGGCACTCGGACGACGAATCCGACCAAGAAGACTCTGGTCCCTCTGGCGCCCCCTCTCAAGCTACCAACACCCGCTTCCTCCGTGTCGTCGTCCTCAAAGGCATGTTTGTCCCAGAGGAGTTGGACAAGGACCCTGGGCTATTGTTGGAGTTGAAAGAGGAGGTTAGGGAAGAGGCGGAAACGCTGGGGCAAGTCACGTCGGTGCAGCTTTACGACGTTAGTGATAGGATGTTGCAAGATGGGGCGAGAGCTGACGAAGGATTGTAGAAAGAGGAAGATGGGGTGATGACAATCAAGTTCAAAGATCCCATCTCGGCGCAGGCTTGCATCAACAAGATGAACAACCGATATTTCGATGGTCGCGTCGTAAGTTCTCCACGCTTTCCACCGCCCCTGACTGACCATTCCTGGCAGATTTACGCAGGTCTTTACACCGGTAAGGAGAGGTTCAAGAAATCCGGTGGCAGGTCGTATGAAGACGAAGATGAAGACGGTGAAGGTGAAAAGGGACGACTGGACAATTTCGCCAAATGGCTTGTCGATGGGGATGAAGAAGAGGTCAAGGTCAAATAGGGCGTCGGATCGCATATCGTTACAAAGAGAAGGAGGCATGCAGGATATTATACACCTCCAACATCCCTCTCATTCAATTCTGCGATTGAAATTACTGCTTCTGTTTCTGAGCCGCCAAGATGTCTTCCACGCGCTTCTTCTTGCCCTCGTTACCGCCCGATGAGATGGATTTGTCGGTTCGGGTACCAATTCGGATGTCCGTCTATACAACACTTCATCAACCGCCCGTCCCCAGTCTCCATCGAAAGGAGGAACCGGCAACTTACCGCAATTCTAGGTGTTCCCAAAGCATGCACAGCGTTATGGCAGTCACCGATGGTTTTCATCACTGCGTCCCAAGGGCCTTCGACGTTGGTTCCATAACCGCTATGCGCCGTCAGAACTGCTCCATCCCATCTGGGTCGCATGAGGATATCGTTAAGCTTACTGTAACTACACATATTGTCAGTCAAGCTTTCCTATGCATATACGAGAGAAGCAGACTCACTGTGTACTCGAGTCCCGACTTTTCCAAAACCCTCTGGACCTCGGCGATCTCAGGTCCTACAGAAGGCGTGGGGAGTCCCATGGGGATGAGGCAAACTAGGTATTTGTGAGCTTGCCTGAAGAGTAGGACCTGACCGCGAGGGGCAGAGTGGGAGGGGACGTACAGTCAGCGATGGCATAGAGCTGGGGCGAGGACATGGTGCTGGTGTGAGCAGGTGAGGAGCAGAATAGAGAGACCCAAGATGATGTGCGTGACGGAGACACGGCATCCCGGACCTCCGAAGCTCGGCGGACTCCGCCGAAGGTCAACGGCGAGTACTTTCCTCGAAAGCGACATTGAGTCACCTTGCTTTTTGCTTCATGGGAGGTATGAACTGCTTAGCTGGTAAGACGATATTCTCGATACTGAGCCTCTTATTAGACACTCTGATTCATCTTCTCATCATGACGCTGATAAACGGCCCTCGCCCAAGTCCTCCAGAGCTTGGCATGAATGTTTCTTCCCAACACATCGAGAAAGTGGCATCTAGATACGATAGTAGTAACTTTCAGCTTGACAGCTCTGCCTATGCACGCCTCATTGTGAGAAAAAGTCGACATGTTTAAGTAACGGTCGAACAGCATGGCCACAAAGATTCCGTCGCCGGCGGCCGGATTTTTAGCGGCGCTGTCCGCTGATGATGACACGGTCACCCTGGCGTTTTTGACTATGGGTATCCCCGTATTTTCTGAGCATAGCTCTACCTCTTGCTTCCATCTTGACCTTTCACGGCATCCAGTATATCTCCTTTTTAGTCACTGCCGACTGTTCCTAGGAGAAATAGGACGAATCGATTGAAAAAGACGCGAGATCTTGTGATCTCCTCTTCTCGCGCCTTCGACTATCATTACCGGCAACACCCTTCGAAAACACCCTCTCTCTCATCAACCCTGTATATTATGGACCGCCTCAACCGCACTCGCTCGCAGCATTTCGTCAGCTCTCCGAGAAAATCAGCGACACCGCTCATAACAAGACACACGTTACCTCGACACCCCACAAAGCGCCGACGTCTTGCCGGGAGTGCCTTGGGGCTGGCAAGCCATGGAAATGACTCGGACTCGTCTAGTCTGACAGAGGATGACATGGAAAGTCATCGAGGGCGTGCGGGATCGTCAAACACGAGGCTTGGACGATCGACGAGGTCAAAAAAAGGGCGTTTGCCGGTACAGAATGGCAAAGGTAAAGGTAAAGAAAGAGCCGATACGTCCGGAAAGGAGAATGGGGACGGAAACGAGGGGGATGCATCTAGTCCCAAAAAGAGAAAGAGGTCCAGAAGAGGGTCCCTCTCTCCTGAAGGAAGCTGGGTGGAGACCAGCGGTGACGAAGGAGAGCCCGAGTTCATTGCCGAGGGTACGTCTTAAGCTCTTGCCACGTTGCTAAAACTCATTCATGGTGTTTTTAGGTGATAACTATCTATTGCAAAGCGCTCCAGGTCCTACTCTGCATAGGTTACGAAAAGTCGAACTCATCCGGCTCTGGAAAGTCGCGGGTATGTGGGAGAATGACGCTGGACCCGACGGTGCTATGGACGAAGATGACGAGGACGATGCTGGTATGGGCAAGAAAGACCTCGTTGACGGCATTCTGGGATGTGTAAGTTCATCTCGAAGCTTGTGGTCCTTACTTGACGCGTCTTGCAGCGAAAGCCATCTTCCAAAGGCCGATTGATATCGCCCCTCCCTCACTCTCCGGGGCGCGCCATCAGACGCCGCTCCACTCTTGAAGTGATTCAAGAGCCACCCGCCTCTTCTCCTACCTCTTCCGACCACATATCCCCCGGTTCCACCCCTAAACCCCTGCCCCGCACGCGATCTCGTGTCCGGCTCGCGGAACCTGCCGTGTTGCATGCTGCGCCGAGACACAAAGATCGCCGGAAGGCTTTGCGAGGAAGGAGTAAAAGTTTGGGGAGAGAGGAAGGGGGGAGGGCGAGATTTCAGGATGACCTACGGAGCCCCAAGTCTCATCCCAATGCTCGGCGCTCGGAAAGTTATACTACAGAATCGCCTTCATCCTCTCACGTCACCCCTCGTCGTACGTTGCAAAAACGTCCTACTAGATCCGATCTTCGCGCCAAGCGCGTGCGAGCGCAGCTGGCGACTAGAAAGACGAATGGCTCTGCCGTAAATGGCGAGGACAGTGAGCTCACTGAGCTCTCCTCAGACGGTGGGGAGGTCGAGGGGGACATACAAGCAACACCTTTGGTGAAACGGCTTCGGCCAAGAGGTGGCGAACGGACCAATATGAGAGAACCGTCGACAGATGTGACTGATTTTGAGGACGAGGTCGATAATACTGCCGATGAAGCCGACGCAGAGGCTACAGAAGCCGAGCCTGACGATCTCCCTGTGCGAGGTCGGAGGACCAAGGCAAGCCAAAGCAACAAGTCTTTATGGGAGGATGAGGATGTGGCCATGAAGGTTCCAAGCTCGAGAAAAAGCGGGAAGAGTATGCCAACGAGAGGAGCCAAGAAGAAGGCTATTGAGGCCATCAAGGGCGGTGAAAGTGATACGGATGATGGGATGGAGGTCGATACTGATGTGGATATGGACGAAGACGAAGAGTCTAGTAAGTGTATTCGCACCTCGAGCATCACATCACTGATCCCACGTAGCTCCAAAGTCTGGAAAGTCAAAACCTCTCAAAGCTGCGCCCGTCACCCCGCCTCGCCGCAACACACGCACGTCTGTAGACGACGTGTCTATGAACGGCGACGACGACGAGGTTGAAGATCAAGATCAAACACCCAACGTCACCCCTGGTCAGATTCACATGACTCGCTCCGGCAAAGCATTCGGCATGATGCAGAACCGGAGACGACTTTTGAGGGAGGAGGCAAGGGATGACCCAGACATGGATGAGGTGGAGGAGGAGAGTGACGATGATGATGACGACGGACTGGAACCTGGTGAGTGTATAGCTTGTTCTGAGTGTTGAATAGCGCTGATGAGCAAAAGATGTCGACTTGTCGCAGGCTACGGCCGCGAGTCTCGTAAGACTGTTACGCGACGAGTTGGTCCAGATGTGCGAAGCCAGAGGCATTGAAGTCGGGGGCACAAAGCCGCAATTGGCCAAGGCCCTCCTAGAATGGGTAAGCTTTGCCTTTGCCCCTTGGGACTTGGACTCATATTCATTTAGCGCGATGAACAGCAGGCCGCACCTTCATCAACATCCACCGCCCGTCCCTCTCCTCCCCGCACCGCTCTCCCCCGTCGCAAATCCACCAAATCCAGATCTACCACGCGAACAAAGTCCAAATCTAGCAAACTCCTCCCCGCTATCGCCACAGCAGTCCACATCCCAGGCAAGCCGACCCCGGTACTGATGCGAGAGCACGTACACGCGCATGATCCTGATACACCCCCTTTGTCAAAGGGTCATGAGGGCGATGTAGAAGAGGAAAAGAAGGGCACGGAGGCAGATTTGAATTTGGATCTGCAAGAGCTCGGCTTGGAAGATTCCGTCATCAAGGCGTCGCTTTTGACAAAGCTGGAAAAGATTGGAAGCGGTGGTTTCAAAGAGTAAGCTTTAAGTCTACTCGGAAAACATATTCTAATCCTGTACAGCGTATATGTGGGCAAGTATCGAGGCCGCAAAGTGGCCATCTCCGAGTTCAGAGAACACCTGAGTGAGATGGACATCCGAGAATTGAAGCTGCTGGCCGAATTCAGCCATCCCAACATCGTGCGCTTTGTGAGTGCTTTCCTTGTATCTTTGCTACGAAGACTAAAGGCTTGTTAGCGAGGAATATGCATACCCGAAGACTCCACCCAAGTACCGTGCATGCTTGTTAGTGAGCTCTGTGAGAATGGCGACTTGTTTGACTATATCGTAAGCTTCCCCTCTCCGAGCTTAACTCGGTCACTAACCCTGTACCAGCGCAACGTTCCCCGACCATCCTTGAAGCGCGTCATCACCCTTATGCTCGACATTGCCCGTGGACTCGAATACCTCCACACACGCAAGCCATCTATCATCCACCGTGACTGCAAATCCTCCAACATACTTATCAACCGCGCGGGCACCGCCAAAGTCGGCGATTTCGGCTTGGCAAGAGTCAAAAACTCGACGAGGTCGATGATCAGGAGTTTGGTGGGCACGGTGAATTGGCAAGCGCCCGAGCTGTGGCATCCTACACCGAGGTATGATTACAAGGTTGATGTGTTTTCGGCGGCGATGGTGTATTGGGAGATGATGTCGGGATGGATCGGAGATAAGGTATGTCTCTTTCTTTGATTATCGAGTGCAAAGCTGACTTGCGTAGAAATACCCCTGGGAGGGCCATAACGAACACTACATCTACGACGCGGTAGGCAACAAGCAGAAACGCCCTTCTGTTGCTGGTCTCCGCAAGGCGTGGGGTAACGAGCCCGTCAATCTGATGGAGAGGATGTGGCATCAAGATGCTGGAGAAAGACCTACGATGACGGACGTGGTGCATGATCTGGAGGGCATATTGGCAGAGGTCAAGTAGAGAGAGAGATGTTTGTAACGCGGCGTGCGGATTTGTAACGAATAGGGTCCAATTCAGAGATACAAACGTCGATATAGTGGGAACGTAAAAGTACAAAATAGCATGCTGTATTCTAGGAATGCATCGACACAAGACATAGAACAATCTGGGTTGAGTGAAAGGCCCAAGCGCTGCATTCGGCGAAGACCGGCTGATAGGGCGTGTATGATTTCTTTTTATAAGTAAGCAACACTTTTCGATTCTTCTTGTTCGTTTTTCACATCCCTCTCCCCGATATCCCCCCACTAGTCAAGCTCTTGTCGCTCCTTGCACCACGCCACCGCCTGAAGCGCATCTCTAGCTTCACACTGTCTGTCACTTGTACTTCTTTGCCCGCACGTGGGCGTGCGGACTGCCATGGTTGTCAAACAGCCCACCAGTACCCCCAAACAATATAAATCAGACATTATCATGGTAAGCTTGTTCTACTATCGTCAACTGTTGTGCTAATGACTCAGTCTTCCCGGACCTCCCAAGTCCCTTTCGAGCTCCCCACGCCTCCTGCCCCCATACTCGCCCCCAAGCGCATCGATGAACCAGACCACAACCCCCCTCCCCAGCTGGACAGCTCTATCTCTACCACCGCTCCAGGCTCTCCCACACCCGCCGGCGTCAATAGCACGACTGCAAACATGGATCTCACCCGCTTTACCTTTAGTGCCAAGGTCTACCGTCTCAGCTTCCTTGATCAGTCAAACGACGTGCTGGCTATCTCTACTTCTACTCCGAAAGCAGGGAAGATTGGAGACATGTTTAAGCGGAAGCGGGGAGTGATTATCACGAGGACGCTGAAGATGTTGGAAGGTGGAGAAAGAGCTGAGGTTTTGACGGAGAAAGAGAAGGATGAGCTGTGGGTCAAGATTGTTGGGAGTGAGATGGAGGCTCGATTGTTATGCCGTGGAGACGACGATTCGGATGTCAAGGTGGAGGATGTCCAGATGGAGGTGACGGAAGTTGAAGACGAGAAGAACGAGGGCGACGAGAATAAGGGGGATGCCGGTGACATCGATGACAAGTCCGTTGTGCACCGCGAGGCAGTCGCCATGAAAGAAAAGTCTCTGTGCTGTGGGTACACGGTCTTGATTTAACGCTGTCACTGATCATATCCTTAGCCGAATACTCTGAAGAAGAGGGGGATCGCCAAGAGATATCCATGCTCCGTGACATCCCATCTCCTTCCCGTCTGGTCGCGCAGGAAGCTTCGACTGATACAGCAGCCATTCATCTCAAGCCTGTAAGCAGAGTCGACAGTGATCAATTCTTCACTCCAGGCGGCTACTCGCTTCCAACCTCACACTCGGCCTCATTGTTGAACGAATACCCCAGCATTTCTGAAAAGCCCTCGACTATTGGAGCATGCTCTGCTACAGACGACTACTTTAGCATCAGAGTCGCCGAACGCCGGCAGATCAATAGCCCCTTGCGAATGGAATCAAACTACCAGCCGTACTCTCCTCAGTTGGACGACGTAGAAAGCCAGCACCCACCTCCTAGGAAGGAGTCTGCCTCCAAGCTTCCGATGATGCTCTTTTGGTTCGGCTTCCTTCTCCCTCTCGCTTGGATTGTGGGAGGCTGGTTCTGCTCTGAGGCTCGCATATCTCGGACCACAAAGTCTCTCGAATCTACCTCGAACGACCGTGTCTCAAGCAAAGCCACAGCTCCTGTCAGTGCTCCCAGCCCCCTCCAGTCTCCTCCCCACCATCCCACGACCATCTCCAATCCTCGCTCGCCCCAGAGCGCCTTGCACGCTCTTCCACCTTCTCCCCCAGCTACTGTCCGATCCGTCCCAGTGGCTGACTCTACCGCCAGCAGCAAGAGTACCTACAAGGTTCGATGGCTGGGGCACCAGGATAAGTGGGTGTTTGCGTGTAGGAAGGCGGTGTTTGTGTTTATGTTTGTTGCTTTTGTTACGGGGGTTGTTGTACCGATGGCTCTGAGGGCGGGTCACTGAGAACAGCGAGACATGGCAAAATTTCAAGGACACGGGACCCCGGTATCTGCAGTGAGAGGCAGCCGGAATGGACCTTGTTATTATACGAATTTCGATAGTTGTCTGAAATGACGAGAATGACTGGAATCATTGACACGGACAATGTATACATGTCTCCTTATCCAGATATGGAGACTGCGCACTCAACAAAGGATCAACAAACAACAAGGCGGCGGTGTCCACCCGGGGCGACGTGTGCTGCACGCGGTTGGCACGTGGGGCCGGTGGTTCCCGGGCTAGGCCGAGGAGGTGGTACGATTATTTTGTGCTTGGCTTCACAGCAGCAACAGAAGCGACAAGCGGGGCAAATAGGAGAGCACAAATCAGTCATCCACACTCTTTATCCTACTCCACGTACATACAAGTTACAACAGCCCACCCCACCCATCCTCACTCAGGCCACTAGCACCACACCAATTTTTTCACCACAACAACCCCGACCCGCTCCACCGACCCCCTTCCCCCCGTCTCCTGCATTCCGCCTTCTACTCCACCCCACTATAAATCACCCGTCTGCTCAACCGTCCTGGCCATCCAACTCCCAGGTGAGTCTCTTTCTTGCTGCGCTCGGACGCGTTTTTCCTAGCTCGGTCACACTCGCGCGCCGTCGGTCGGAACCGAGCTGGTATCTTGGTGGGCGATGGCTGCGGTTGAGAGGGATCATTGGGGAAAGGTTCCCTCTGCGTCGTCCCACTTGCACGTAGACGAACTCTTGGGAGCTGCTTTAGACGCATCCCCGTTGGCGCGTCTCCCATCACATCTTGGATCTCGGTTGTCTACCCAAAACAACAAACTAATACTAAATAGATCCACCACACGCGTCAAACACCTAATAAAAACTACCAAAATGGCCTCTCACGCCATCCTCAACCCCACCGCCATCCCGGACTTTGACTCTATCAAGACCTGGGGTCTTGAAGGGCTCACCAAGGCCAACTTTAGCTTTACCTTCGACACGTACGCCCCGCTACACGATCCTGTCGATATAGCTAATCGTATCGCAGCAAAACCACCACCGCCACCCTCCTCACTCTCCTTCTCTCCCTCCTCGTTCTTGAGCAGGTCGTCTACCGCTCCAAAAAGGCCCACTTGCCGGGAAACAAATGGACCATTCCCCTCATCGGCGCTTTTGCGGACTCTTTGAACCCTACTTTGGCCAACTACAAGGCGCAATGGGACTCTGGAGCGCTCAGTGCTGTTTCCGTCTTCAACATGTAAGCTCATCGTACCACTCGGGAAATGTTTGCTGACAAGAAACAGTTTCATCGTTATCGGTTCCAGCAACGAGATGGCCAGGAAGATCATGAACTCGCCCAACCACGCTGAACCCTGCCTCGTCGCTTCCGCCAAGAAGGTGCTCCTCCCCGAGAACTGGGTCTTTGGCCACGGCAAGGGCCACGCCGACTACCGAAAGGCTCTTAACGTCCTCTTCACCAAGCAGGCCTTGTCGTAAGTCCCCTTGCATCGCTCAAGACAAGACTGACTCCTTGCAGCACCTACCTTCCCATCCAAGAAAAGATTTACCGATCCTACTTTACCAAGTGGATGACCGACCCCCAACCTGCCTTCCCCTACATGATGCCCATGCGTGATCTCAACATGGACACCTCGCTCTCCGTCTTCTGCGGCCCCTACATCTCTGAAGAGGAAAAGGTGGACATCAACAAAAAGTACTGGCTCATTACTCTCGCCCTCGAGCTGGTCAACTTTCCCTTTGCCATCCCCGGTACCAAGGTCTACAATGCCATCCAGGCCCGAAAGACTGTCATGAAGGTTTTGACCAGATCGAGCGCGGAGAGCAAGATCAAGATGGCCGACTTTGCCAATGAGCCCGAGTGCTTGTTGGACGAGTGGACTAGGGCCATGATCAACGCTCAGAAGGCTCAGGACGACGGAGAGACCACCAAGCTCCTCCAGCGCGAGTACAGCGACCACGAGATTGCCATGGTCCTCCTCTCCTTCCTCTTTGCTTCCCAGGACGCCATGTCTTCTGCCATCGTCTACTCTTTCCAGCTCACCGCCGACCACCCTGAAGTGCTTGCCAAGATCAGGGAGGAGCAGTACAGAATCAGGGGTAACGACCTCGAGAGGGGTTTGACGCTCGACATGATTGACGACATGGTCTACACCCGAGCTGTCGTCAAGGAGGTCTTGAGGATCAGGCCACCTGTGATCATGGTGCCCTACCTCACCACCAAGCCTTTCCCCGTCTCCCCCGAGTACACCGTCCCCAAGAACTCTATGATCATCCCCGCCTTCTGGAACTCGCTCCACGACGACGCGGTCTACACCAACCCCGACGCGTTTGCCCCCGAACGATGGCTGCCCAACTCGGACGGCTCGTCCCCTCTGGCCGAGAGCAAGCCGCAGAACTACATGGTGTGGGGATCAGGGCCGCACAAGTGTATCGGTGTGCAGTATGCTAGTATGCACTTGGCGGCGACGCTGGGGACGGCGAGTGTGTTGATGGACTGGGAGCACGAGAAGACTGAATTGAGTGATGATGTGCAGGTTATTGCTGCGTAAGTTGTCTGGCCTCGTTTGTGTAGGCGCATGCTGATGGTCTCACTAGCATTTTCCCCAAGGACCACTGTAAACTCAAGTTTACTCCTCGAGCTCCTCCTGCTTAATCTCTTTACCCTCCATTCTGGTCCTTTTTTATTTATAGATTCTCTTCTACCTTATACCTGACATTCTTCTTGTCTCCCTCCGCTCTTTTTACTTTGTTTGCCTTCGTAGCGATGCTTTCGAAATGTGGCGAGTATTTAATCAACCCCAAGCGATGTACCCTGCATGAGTACTCTAACTCTGATGGAGCTAAGAAGAGGACGGGATCAATTTTGTTGATCAGTGCGCGACTGAATGACTCCCCGCCCATCTCCTCTGACATTCTCTGACATCCCATCACTGGCGGGTACCATGTCCGCCCCCCACCACTCCATCACCCCCCGTTCTCAGCCCCCCATCCCATCCACCCCGCCCCGCTCCTACCCCTCCTCCTCCCTCGCATCGACCGCGGCCTCCGACGGTTTTCTGGGCGACGTCGCGAAATGGCAGGAAACACGGTCGCCCAGTGAGGGAGGGGCTGCAGGGAGTGCTGGAAAATCGAGTGTCCGTACGAGCAGGATGATCAACAAGTTTGGCGCATCCCCGCCCCCTCCTCCTGGACCTCCTCGCAAGTCGTCGTCCTGCATATCCACGATGCTTTCCACTGACCATCCTTGTCCAGCAAGCAACCCTCCACCGCTACCACCTCCATCAGCTCACCCCTTTGCGTCCATGACGAATGCGGCGCCGGCGTCGTCGTCGCTTGGGTCGGCAGCAGGGCGGCGGACGTCGACACAGATACCGCCTGCGAGACAGAGCACTGTCCACGCGCTCCGGCCTTCGGGACGACCATCTTCGCCTGGGAGGTCGCGTGTGCATTCGCATGGGTCGCCTAGTAAACACCATGCAGGACTGGCTGCATCGCCCATCCCAGCGTCGCGCGCATCGACCTCGGCATCAACGACGTCGACAGCACGCACCTCCAAACCCCCTCGTACCCCGTCCCGGCTCCTCCTCCAGACCGCGCTCGACCTCGCGCAGAAAGCTGTCGAGATGGATCGCAATAACGATGTCGCTGGCGCCCTCGCTGCTTACCGCGAAGCCGTCACGCGTTTAAAGTCGGTGATGGAGCGCGTGGGCCTGGAAGATGACAAGAAGAAGGAAAAGGAAAAGAAGGGGATGAAGGCAGAGGAAGAAGGGAGGACGCTGAAGGGAATTCATGATGCGTATGTGGCGAGAATACAGCTTTTGACGAGCTATGATGGCGTGGAGGGCGCGGAGGGGACGGAAGGGAGCGAAGATGGGACGGTTGTGCCGGCTGGTGTGTCTGCGTCTGGCTCGAGCCCAGTCTTGGAGACGCTGGATGAAGGAAAAGAGGGCTCGATACAGGCGTCCGACGAGCAGGGGGTACCGGCGCCGAGAAGCTCGTTTGACGAAGCCACGCAAGGTATCGGGGAGCTCATGCTCGGGCCCTCGAGCCCAGAGAATCAAACCATCTCCCTTGCGACGCCGCCGCTCTCGGGTGGGTTGCCAGAGGAAAACGCAAGTCCGAGGCTGCCGAGGATTGACGGGCAAGGCGATATATCACTCCAGCAGGCTCTGGATCGGGTGGCTGGGTCGACAAGTACACCTTTTCCCAAGCAACCTCCTTCGCTGCCGGCATCGAATCCTCGTTCCATCGGCCTTGGTCACCCCTCCAACTCTCCGTCCCAATCATTCCATTATCAAGCTCCTCACGCATCGCACTCTTCACATGCTCGCACAATGTCTATGGATTCCAACGGCACGTCTTCGTCCCTCTCCCCGTCCAGTAAAAGATTCCGTCGGCACAAGGCCAGTCTGGGGCTGGATATGGAAGCGGACTTGTCGGGGATAGACGGGGTTGCGCCGGTGGGTGTAGGGATAGGTCTTGAGCCAGGTCTCGGGCCAGGAGATGTTGAAGTGCTAGCAACGACACCGACGGAGCGGATGATGCCCCAAGTGCAGCCTGCATTGTCTCTTCCCTCAGGCCGTGCGAGCCCTGCTCCGAGCATGGGGAGCGACGAGCGGCCTCTACCTCCTCTCCCCCCTTCAGCAGGTTTGACGAGTGATCAGAGACGGAGGAGCGGGAGTGTCCAGAGTCAGAATGGTTTGGGGATATCAGCTGGGCAAGGATTCTTGGTCAGCCCGAGTACAAAGCAAGGGACAATCTCGCAACGCAGACGGTCACGCCCATCATCCGGTGCGCCTTCGATAGATGGTATCCCGGAGCGCAGCCATACTCCTTCCCAAGAAGAGCCCCGAAAAGAATCTCGGCACGCTTCTCGCCGGGCTTCCATATCCTCTCTCATATCTGGCCGGGCCCGCGCCAAGTCTCAACCTGGTGGCCGACCAGGCGACCCTGAACCACTCCCACCAGTACCATCTACAACAGGGATGAGACACCAACCCAACTTTTCGATATCGTCGCAGATGAGCTTGAGCCTCGGTCAAGGGATTGGACAGGGGCTGGAGAGGTCGACGCCGGTCATACAGCAGCCCAACCCGCTCCTGCAGCAGATGGGTATGGGTATGGGACTAGGGGGAATGGGTATGGGGAGGAGCCAGGCACTGAGGATCAATACAGCAGGTGGACCTGGCTTGGTGCCACCCACTATGACTTCGCGATCAGGGTCTATCAACAGCTTGCACCCCAATTCTCCTCGTTCGCTACCCCCTCTTCCATCATCAACGCCTTCCCCGTCCGCCCTGGGTACTGCGACTCCTTCTCACGCATCGTATTCATCGACATCTCTGTTATCACCCCTGCCCGAACCCCAGCCTGCTGAAGAATCGCTCCGGCCATTCCACATCCTCCGCTTACTGCGCCAATCGATGGACGGCGATAATGCTGGATGCTACCTCACGCCGGGGCTGCACGTTACCCCGGCAGTGTGGAACCCTTCCACGTGGTCTCGTTCGGCGGCCATCATGGGCGGGACAGAACAGGGCGACAAGTTTGTCCCAAAAATTGTTGCGCAAGATATCAAGACGCGATGTATGGCTACCCTTGCCATGTGTCTAGAAACCCTCAAAGGTCCAGGGTTTGAGCTGTTATCTTCTGGTCCGCGCGATCGTAGCCGTCCTGCTGGTGCGGCGTCCACGCCGGTCAGTCCGGGCGCGAGGTGGCAGAAGGCGGGAGAAGAGCTCGTGAGAGCCCTGGACGAGCTTGAGGAGGAAATCGAAGGGGTGAGTAAGATGTTGAGTAAGGGTGGTGTTGGGGTTGGAGGATGGAAAGGAAAGAAGGGTGTCTCGGTACGTCTTCATCGAAAGCTCAATAGTATAGATGCTAACGCGAAACAGACGACAAAGAGCTGGGGTTCAAGAATATCGAGAGGAATGGACAAGATATCCAATAACAAAACGTTTGTCGTTTGCTACTTGCCCGTGGCCTCGCTAACCCGATCATAGCCTCGACACTCCGGACAAATACGTTGACAACCTCGCCTACCTCTGCACCTCTTCCCAGACACTGTCAGACCACCTCACAAACATCCTCGGGCCTCAGTGCACCCCTGGGTATGCAGAGCTGCCCGAGAGGACTTTCAGAGAAGTTGAAGTGAGGGCGAGAAGGGTGGGCGATTTTGTTAGACTTGTTGTCTTGCCGTTTGTGCTAGAGGACTTTAGGTTGTTCTTGGTGAGTCTCGATCCGTATCGGCCATCAGGATTGAAGGCTGACTGTGTTACCAGCTGCGATACTTGAAAGGCGGTGTGCGGTATCTGGAGGATTGATTGTCTGGTTCTCAATCCTTGTCTCGTATTGTCCAACATTGTCTCTGCCGGGAAGAATAGCAAGAGGTCAATTGCGTATATAGTCTCTCAGGTGCAATAGTGCTATCTGTTCTTTTCTTATTGGGTTTCGACACTACATCTCCGGTTCTTTTCCATATCTCATTGGGTTCACCTATGTACCAACGCCTAGCATACTGCGTGGCCTGGCAATCATCTCCTCATCTACCTCACTTTCCCACACTGCTGCACTCTCTCGAGGCCAGGTGCTGCGGCTAAAGCTGCCGCGGTCAGGTCAGGTGACCTTAATTGACCGGTCATGACCGTAACCTGACCATAAAATGACCGTATGTAAGGTTGGTCAGGTTACGGTCATTGGTAAGGTCACGATAAGGTCGGTCACTGGTCGCGGGCTCAATGACCGTATATGACCTGACCTTAACCTGACCGACCGATGACCTTGTTGGTTGTGCGGTAGTGCGCGCGTCCCCCCTCCGAGCTCCCCTCCGACCCGTCCCAGGCTCCGACGCGTCGACCATCTCTTGATTCAATGTTTTTTGGTTGCATGCAGACATCTTTCAAGCTTCTTGAGGAAGAACCCGTGGTTCCGAAGGGTGTCAACCGACACGAATTTGTCCCTGAGTGGATTTTGACATGGTGGTGTGTGAGTCTACCAACATCTTCTTCTCAAATAGAATCCCTAGTTGACATCCAGTGACAGAGAAAGCAGACTATATACCCAGTGCTTTATAAGATGGCTCGTGACATCTGGGGTGTGCAAGCCTCTTCGGTGCCTTGCGAGCGGAGGTTCTCTCAGGCTGGCTTGGCTGATACCAAGAGGCGCCAGTCCATGACCCCCAAGCATTTTGGTCAGCTACAGCGCCTCCAGGCCCATGCCAAGGTAGTCAAAGAGGTCGCCACGAAGCGTAGTGTGTAGATAAGCTACGGGAAACTGTGTTGGTTGGTGATTCATAAGCAGCATGCATATGGCATATCGTTTGTCTTTACTCTGTACAGCCAGGTAATCGTATCCAAAGATGTACAAGAGGCGCTGCATACAAGACACTGGATGATGGACATGTCCGCTACAGTTCGCCGACCGTCTTGAGCACTTAGTGGCGCAGAACTGGTGGATGACCGGTCATGACCGTTTATGACCGTGACCTGACCTTATTCGACCGCGACCTTGAGTGACCTTACCTTACGGTCAGGTCAGGTGACCTTATGTAAGGTCATGCATACGGTCAGGTTAGGTCACCGAAAAAAAAGTGCATGACCGTGACCGACCTGACCGCGGCAGCTTTAGTTACGCGTTCGGTATGTGTTGTTTCTGGAGTGCATCTGTATTCTCTGTTGCTCTTTTCACGGCCCTTGGACGTCCTATCCAGGATGATCAAACTCTCGCTGATCCCCCTCTTCCTTTTCGCTTTCACTGGTCTTGCATCCTCCGCTCCCGATGGAAATCTCTCGCCGACTTCAGATGAAGCGAAAGAAGTGGCCCAGCACTGGTTGGAGTCTTTCGCAGACGGTCTAAAGCAGTCGGGCGCCAAAGACGTCAAAGTGGGCAAGATTGGTGTGAGTCCTTGCCGTCTCTTATGACAAAAGAGTGCTGATACAGACGCAGATAGAGGACGAAGTTCCCTTGTTATCACCCTCTAGCATACTTCCGCCGAGCTTCAGACATGATCCAGCAGGTCAGATCTTTGCCCGAAACATTACAGGGCGCTATCGAGGGGCTCAAGTCCATCCGCTCTCCCTCTCCTCTCCTCCCGCTCGAACTCAACATTCATCCTATTGGTCTTCCCTCAATCCACCCTTCAATACCAATCTACCTATCACACCGCCAGATGATGACCAGAAGCCAGCAGACAAATGGCGATGGCAAGATACGACCCGCCTCGACATGTCATTCATCGAAACCGCCCCTATAGGCATCAATCATATCAAAGCCTCTTCAGGGGAGTCCCCCTTCTACTCTTGGGGCACCGGCGACTGGCTGTTCGCCGAAGGCTCCCTCACCCTGACTTCCGCATCCCCTGCTTTGTTGGGCTTGTGGAACAACGAGGACGTGGTCAGATACGACTTTTACGGAATGCACTACATTCCTAACGGGACCATCAACCTCTATGCCCTTCCCCGAGGAAAACACATCTTGCCGATAACATCCAAAGTTCCGGATTGGGGACAGGGTAATATCCTGGATGGGTTGGTGACGGATTTATCAGAGAAGATGGATGTAAAGAAGCAGCTGGCTTGGTATAGCCACGTGTGGTTCAACACGCCGTTTGACATTGAAGGTGCGTCGCCTTTCGATCGAGTTTCAAGGGTGAGATGTTGAACAATCATTAGAAAAAGGATTGGTGACTGAATGCCCGCTCTCTATACACATAACCTTCCCTCCTTCTGCCGACCTAGCGAAATCAAACATCACCTCTACAAACACCGACTACGTTCTTTCTTCACCCCGCCTAGCCGGTGTAGCTATAGCTGAAGGCTGTGGCTGGGCTCTGGGGTTTGAAGGCGGTGGCTTTTTTGAACCAACGTCTTTCATACGTAAGCTGGTTCGCACATTGATAATTGACAGGGCGAAGAAGGAGAGCAGCTGATACAGTTCATTTCACCAGGGTACCAAAATGTCTTTCTCATCATTACCTACCTGGTCGCTGGCCTTAAACCTTTCATACGAGCTCCTGGGACCATAGTTGCATCTGTGCCAACCTTAACAACATGGTTTATGCTCTTGGCAGACTGTCTGGTGATGCTCCATGCAGGCGGGCATGGCATACGAGAGAAAATTGGGAAGGAGGAGGTGATGGTGGTCATGATCTATCTCGCATCTCAGTGTTGTGTCACACTTGTGAGTCTCTCCTGTGTCGCTTTGCCGCTCTCCCGCTGCGAGCCGTCTTACATACAATACAAAGTGCTGATGTGCACTTAGTTTGAGTATAATGAGTTTTGCGCCGGCTACTGGCCGCATGTGAGAGTAGTACCTTCACCGCTCGGCCTCCTTCTCGGTTTGCTGCGAAGGAGAGAGGAGGGAAGGCATAACAGACCCTGGGTCCTGCCCAGACGAGTATTCTTCCAATGTACGTTCTCATCCTCGAGTGTTGCACACATACTGCAGTCCCAAGCGTACCCGCTAATCAAAAGTCAACATCAGGGCTCATTGTTCTTCTCCCCCTTTTCTGGGTGACATTCCCGTATATCTTCAGCCCCCGCATTTTTCCTTTGGTGCTGTTTGCGGCGAGCTCGTTCTGGACCCCGTCAATCCTATCGAGCGCATTTACAGGAGTGACGTATCGTTGGAATTGGCAATTCGTGCTTGGCCAAACTATCGTGAGGAGCGGCCTGCTACTTTGTGATTGTTTATCTTGTTCTTTGTGTGAAGGAAGATCGGGTGAAAGAGAAACGCTGACGATTCCGTTTCAGATATGTTTGCCTGGGAGAAAAATCCGTTTTTGACAAGGCGGAAGAAGTGGGTCTGGATCATTGTTTCTTGGCAAGTCGGCCAGATCTGGGTATTGTATCAGCAGACTCGAAGGAGACCCGACTTTTTGTAAGCTTCATCACACCTTTCCCACTTTTGTTGATTCATGCCAAGCTGACAATTCTATGTAGTTTGCCGAAGAGTGTAAGTCTGGAACTTTATGAGGACGGCCAGAAGCTGACGGACAGCATTAATAGATGGCGTTACCAAGGCACAATTATCAACCTACAACTGTGCCGGCTTTGCTCGAAGAAAAGGACTACGAATGTCCGATCTGTTACGAGATCGTTTATCTTCCTGCGCAGGCCATCACCCCGATGCCCTCTTCCGAACAACAGGCCAATGAGGCGCTCGCGCTTTCGAAAGAGGGACAAGGAGAAGAAAACGCGCAAGTGGCGACGGGAGAGGGCGAGCCGGAAGTGGCTCTCCGTGAAAGAGGACCAGGTCAAGAAGGGGAAGAGAAGGGAGAACGTGATTACGCCATCACACCTTGTAATCATGTCTACCACATGTCTTGTATGAAGGAAGTCATGAAGGTGCATGTAAGTGCCATAAATCGTCTCGACTTTGCTGAAGGGAACTGATGCTTGCCAGTCTCTCTGTCCGTTATGCCAGGCGGCTTGGCCGAGCGTGGACTAATTACGTAGGGCTTGTTGTGTAGGAAATGGTGAAGATGGAACGGATAGTCCCAGTATGTAGTACACGATGTTCATTCTCCGCCTTTCCACGATCCGTACGTTTGCATCACCCAGCAAGTACATACACGTGCGTATAATCAAGCTCCGACAGGGGCTTCACGACAGGACTACCCCGGCGTTGGAACCGAAGCTGCTCAGACTACCGTCGCACTCATGAGCTTCGGCAGGGTAAGATGGAAGCGAACATTGTATTTGCGAGCGGGGTGACGAAGGTTGGCATTGCTCTGACTACGATTCTACATGTCCCATGCACTCATGCATGATATGTATACCCTTCTATATATCGTCTACCTACACGTCTTGGCCTTGGAGCCTTGCGTAGTACTCTGCAACAGCATCAGCATTCGCACACACACTCGACAAGGGCGAAACACTCACTCTCAGCCTCCTCGATACACTTGACATTCGCCCCCAACTTGTTGATAGTCTCGACATACTCATCCTCCTCCACACTATCAAACACAATACCTCCACCGGCCTGCAAGTAGACGTTGCCGCCCTTGAACGTCATAGTCCTGATAGCGATGCACGTATCGAGGTTTTCACGGTCAAAGTCGAATCGGCCGACGGCGCCCGCGTAGACCCCACGGCGCTCGCGTTCGAGAGAGGAGATGAGCTGGATGGCTTTGAGTTTTGGGGCGCCAGAGACGGTACCGGCGGGGAAGATGGAGCGGAAAGCGTCAAACCTGGACTGGTCGTCCCTGAGCATACCGCTGATCTGCGAAGTCAGGTGGATGACGTGGGAGAACTTTTCGAGCCGCATGAGGTCGTCGACTTTGACGGTCTCGGGCTTGCAGATTCTATTGACGTCGTTTCGGGCGAGGTCGACAAGCATGATGTGTTCGGCGCGGTCCTTTTCAGAGGCGAGGAGACCCTTGCCGAGTTCGGCATCCTCTGTGATGTGGTATCAGCAACATGGCCGAGGGGAAACGTAAAACACATACCCTCGGCAGTTTTTCCGCGTCGCACGGTACCAGCGATAGCGTGGTTGTACACCTTCCTGCCCTCAACCTTACACAACGTCTCCGGACTAGCGCCCACCAACTGCTCATCCCCGCAGTCCAAGTAGAACATGTAAGGACTGGGGTTCAATCTTCTCAGATGACGGTACACATTGAATGGATGAAGGGCGGTGGGACGGGTGAGCCGTTGAGAGGGGACAGCCTGGATGATGTTGCCTTTGACAATGTGCTCCTTGAGCTGGGTGACAAAGCCCTCGTATCCGACCTTTCCGACGTTGCTTTCGGCTTGAGCACCGAGGGTGATGGGTGGCTGATGGGGTAAAGGCGTCTCGGGGTTCTCCAGCTTGCGTCGCAAAGAGTCGATCCTGCCGACCGCTTCTTCGTACAGCGAGGGGATCTGGCTCGCTGGTGTCCCGTCGGGAAGGTAGACGTGCGAGACAATCTTGACGGTTTGGTAGATGTGGTCAAAGATGATGTTTGTGGATGAGAGCATGAAGAAGGCTTCGGGGAGGCCGGGGATGGGGTTGTGGAGGGGAGTAGCGGGGGCGGTGACGGGTTCAAAGTGCGAGATGGCGTCGTAGGTGATGAATCCGACCGCACCACCAGTAAAGTCGGCGAGGCCTTGCACCTTGGCATGTCGGTACTCTTCGAGCTCTTGTTCGAGCGCTTTCAGGGGATCACCTTCGACATCGAATCCCGGGCCGGTACGGACTGTCTTGAAGGGGTCTAGAAGGGTCAGCGCAGCTGGCTATACAGAAACACTGTACTCACTGGCTCCGACAAAACTGTACCTCGCCAGGCTTTCACCACCGAGCACACTCTCGAGCAGATAGCTGTACTTTTCATCCTTTGCAATCTTCAAATACGCGGACACTGGCGTCAACAAGTCGGCGGGGATTTCCACATAGACAGGGATCAAATTGGGCTTTTGGCGGATCACTGGTTTGGAGGCTGGGGCGGTGGGGTCGGGAAAGAGGGAGGTGGAGGGGGGGATGATGGTGGTCGGGGACGAGGTGGAAGTGTTGAAGATGGCTGTGATCTCTGGGAGCGAGGGGACGGGTCTGGGTGTCTGTGGAGGGTTAGTGCGAGGGGCGCATGGCTGTGGGTGGCTCACTGAGGGGTCCATTTTGTATAGATGGAATAGAAATTCGGGATTGCAAGAGGACTCGAGTCTCAACTTTTTGGTCCCGCGGCATTACAACAGATTACTAATCGGATTACAAATGGCACTGGCTTGAGAGGTCCTTGGCACAGAACATCGACACCATCCTCGACGACGACGACGACGGCCAAGACGCTTCTAGCCCCCCTCAGCCAGCCATGTCCCACCCAGGCCCACGCCGTGCCCAGACATACGACCCCTACGCCCAGTCCCACGAGCAAGTGTACGCCGGCACAGAAGAGCCCAGCGCGAGCCGGAGCAAAAGCATGCGCAACCAAGGTGAGTGCATGATGCAGGGGGCAGACACGCTGTGTGAGGGGATGTGGTAGTGCGGGGATGTGTAGGGGTAGCGGGGAGAGAGTGTCGTGCGGCCGTGCGAGATCGCTTGGAAACCTGCCACTGCGCACTGCTCCATGATTGTATGCTCACCCCCAGCAGCGATGGCCCCCGAGCTCGACCCGAACGATCCCCCGCTGCCCTCCTACCAGGCCCTCATGGACTCTGAGAACGGTGGTGCTCCCCTCTCCCCGGCACAACATTCAGACCACGACCCATACGACTACCACCGCCACAGCCGCTCCCCGTCTCTGAACACCCCCTACGCCCCCGTCGACTACGGCCTCCCCACCTCCGCATACCCTGCCACCCACCACGGCCACGGCGAGTCGTACTCGAACGACACTTCCCCCGACCCGAACGCCTACAACCGTCACTCGGCCGCATCCCTGGGGCGCCGGCCCATCTCTGACCCAAACTCTATCGATTTTCACAATCTCTCAATCACCCCTGCCGTACCGCCCAACCCCGTGGCGAGACACAAAACTGCTCCATCGCATCCCCACCCGCAGTACAGAACCGCCCCTTTCCCCAGGCAGCAGAGATCTACAACGGGAGGCTATCCGATGGACGTAGATGGCGCAGCGAGTGTCTACAGTTTGGACTCGGGGATGGGGGCGTATGGTGGTGCGGGACAGCATCGGCAGCAGCAGCAGGGAGGCCAGGGCTATGGCGGGTACGCGCCAGTGCAGTCGGATTACCACAACCCATACTACTCTGCCGCCAGCGACGTCCTTGGCCTGCCCCCGCCTCCTCCCCAAGAACAATCCTTCGCTTCGTCTTCCACCTCCCTTCCTCATACTAGCCAGCCACATCCTGTGGTCACCCGGCAACAATCCGTCCCTTCACTCGTGCGCTCCAACACGGCGGCGACCAACATGTCGAGCGCATCTTCCATGTCGATACCGCCCGTTCCTGCGCTGCCCCGCGTCACAGAACAAGTCGGGGCGTCGTCTACACGGAGACGGGGGACACAGGCTGCGGTCGATCTGAACAAGCCGCCCTATACAAAGCAATATGTGGACGATTACAGAAAGAGGATGAAGGACGACCCGGATCCCGAGGCGCAGTTTGCGTTTGCAAAGTATCTCATCGAAGCCGCGAAAAAGCTCGGAGACGAGATCAGTCACAGCGACCAAAAGCTGGGGAGGAAATATCGAGACAGTCTTCTTGCCGAGTCTCTGCGCAACGTCAAAAAGCTTGCTGAAGGCAAAGAACCCTACCCCGATGCCCAATTCTTCCTCGCCAACTTGTACGGTACAGGCCAGCTCGGCCTCGCCGTTGACCACGAAAAGGCATACTACCTGTATCTCATGGCATCAAAGCACAATCACCCCGCTGCGACGTATCGCTCTGCCGTGTGCAACGAGATTGGTGCTGGTACGCGGAAAGACCCCGGGCGTGCCGTGCTGTTTTACCGCAAAGCAGCCGCCCTGGGCGACACTGCAGCCATGTACAAGCTCGGTATGATCCTCCTCGGGGGGCTACTGGCGCAACCTCGGAATGTCCGCGAAGCCATCGTCTGGCTCCGGCGCGCTGCTTCACAAGCCGACGAAGACAATCCCCATGCCTTGCACGAACTCGCCCTCCTCCACGAGCGTCCTGGCGGCACGGCCGGTGTCCTCCCGCATGACCCTGCTATGGCTTGTCAGCTGTTTACACAAGCGGCCCAGCTGGGGTATGCACCAGCGCAGTTCAAGCTGGGGCAGAGCCACGAGTTTGGGCACATGGGTTGCATGATTGACCCGAGGAGGAGTATTGCGTGGTATACGAGAGCGGCGGAGAAGGGGGATAGCGAGGCGGAATTGGCGTTGAGTGGATGGTATTTGACCGGGAGTGGTGAGTTTATTTCTACTGTGGGGTAATGGACGGGGCTGATGCTTTGACAGAGGGCGTTCTGAAACAGTCAGATACAGAAGCGTACTTGTGGGGAAGAAAGGCCGCCAACAAGGGCCTCGCGAAAGCCGAATACGCTGTTGGATGTAAGTGTTGTTTTGCGACCGACCAAGCCACTTCTGACGTGAGATCCTAGATTACACAGAGATCGGAATTGGAGTCAAGCAAGATATGGACCACGCCAAGCGGTGGTACATGCGCGCTGCTGGTACATTTCACTCTTTAGCTCAATGCGCCTACTGACAAATCCTCGGTCTACAGCCCAACAACACAAAAGGGCAATGCAGCGCCTCACTGAGCTCAACAACCAAAAGAACGTCAAAGGCAAGAAAGGCGCCCGGCCCACAAGGGACGACGCCTCGAGCGAGTGTATTGTCATGTAGCAACCGCCCAGCATTTTCCAGCATTGTACCCCTCCGTCTCTAGTTTCTGGTCTTACGGCTAGACGTGAACAAGATAATGATGTTTCTTGCTGTTGATCGGCAGGGCCGATGAGGAGAGTAGGGCATCATTAGAACAAGAGAGATAACAACCAAAACCTCTTCATACACGTGTACATATTTGGGTTCTCTTCCTTCCTTCTTGGATTACATAGCACAGTACCCTAAACAGTGGTCTTTATATTATTACAATCATCCATGCTCATGTGGTAGTGATGCATTGCATCTGTATTATCTTTGCACGTCATGTCAGTCAACTTGACTGCTCTTCGGGGTCCATCAGAGTCCGCGGTGACCCAGTTAGCAGCAAAAGGCGAAAAAGCAAAAAAAATCAATGCCTCCGTGCCGATTCGAACGACAGACCTCCCCATTAGTTGATTGAATACTAGTACTACTAGTGGGGTGTTATAACCAACTAAACTACGGAGGCAGCTGATGTTTGCTTGTTTACAACAGCCCCACAAGCCATAAGATATAAAACCGCAAGTATTACCTTTTCGTCTCTCCTTTTCGTCTCTGGAAGCCCTTTTCCTATAAGCCAACTGAATGGATGAAAGACGCTCATAAGAGGTCTAGAGAACACTCAAACATCATAAACTCATTAACAACTGTTATGTACATGTTTTGATAGCCACGCTACGCGTCGATGTGGCCTTTGTCTGACCAGATTATTCCTACTCCTTCAACTCTGCCCCAGTCGTTCCCCATTTCCCCATACCACGTCTACCCCAAAATCATGTCAAATCTCTCTTTTGATAATGTAAACATCTGCTCTAGTTTCTTGTATCTCTCACCACACTCGTCTCTGTAATCCTCCTCTCGTAGACCTCCCAAAGCTTCCCTGCGCCCCACTCTGGCCTGAACCCTGAGGCTGAGACTGACTGCTTCCCGTCTGACCCTGCGGCGCATACCCGCTCACGCCTCCATAATATCCCCCATCGCCCGAGGTCGCACTCATCCTGAATCCGTTCCCGCCCTGACCCACAGCTTGTTGCTGCTGTTGCTGGGCTTGCCGAGCATAGTCGCCGTTGGCTTGGGCGAACCTGCCTTGGGGCCGTACCTGGGGCGAGGTCGCGTGGGTGGAATGCGAAGAGTAGCCTGGCGTGAAGGTGTAGCCTGGGGCTTGGGCGGGAGCTGGGTTCATCCGCGGGTAACCGGGGACACCATAGCCTTGGGCAGGCTGCTGAGCCTGCTGGCCGGCATACGACTGGTACGCCTTATCCTTCCCCTGCCCTGGTTGGGTTTGGTGATGCGTCTGCTGGGGAGCTTGTGTATAACCATAACCGTTCATAGCATTGAACCCGCCCCAGACGTTCTGCTGCCATCCCCCGTTACCTACTGCCGAGGATCCCATCGGTCTCGACGTATATCCCAGCGGCACGCCCATACCCATGCCCATGCCTCCCATAGTCGACATACCCATGCCCGCATAAGCCCCGCCCGTAGGGTCAGGACTCGTCAGCGAGTGAGCGTGAGGAGAGCCAAAGTAAGGTGATTGGCCTTGGGAGGGGTTGTGGGAATGAAGAGAGGCGGTTTGGGCGGATTGTGATTGATTAGAAGGGTGGCGAGTAAAGGGTGCGCTGCCAAGCTGGGGAGAAAAGCCTGTAGCGGAAGGCCCCGGCGCGGCGACAAAGGACGAGGAAAGAGGTTGGGTACCAGCGCCGACATCGCTGTTGCTTGGCGTGTTGATCGAAGGGTACATGGGCGTTTCACTCAAAGCCGATGAGGAGGTAGCAGGGGGGTTTGCAGCCGTGGAAGAGATAGGTGCGGGTGTGGGCTTCGAGTCGGACTCCCAGACAGATTTAATGGCGTCGTGCTGAGTGATGGATGGTTTGGAAGAATGACCGTAGCTCAGAGAGCTTTGGGCCCAAGGTGTAGAGGGACCATTCGACTCTGGGGATTGGGCAATCCCTGAAGTCTTTGGGGGTTCCTATAGATAATCAGCATGCGCTAACGGTGTTCAAGGTTCTACTCACCTCTCCGTCCTTTCCTTCTTCCTCCTCAACGCTTTCCAAGCTCATCTTGTTGACTTCCTCCAACAGACTGTCACCCTCTAGCTCGCTACTGACCAAGAACCTGACACCCTCCCGGCCCTTCCTATCATCGGCGCCGCCTTCTTCTGTCTCGGACTGGTCCAGTGCGGTACCCAATGAGAGACTCGAAGGGAGAGAAACGCCAGGCGGTGGGGAGATTGTTAGTCCGACACCCTGAAGGATATAACCAGAGCCAGACTTTTCGGCCTGGGCAGCTGATCTCGCTGACGGCGATCTCTTTCGGGGGACAGCGTCTCCTGATTCTTGCCCAGCAGCAGGCGGGGCAGTGACAGAGCTCTTTCCTCCAACCTCGCCATCAACTCCCATCTTCCTAGGCCTCGATCTGGTCAGTACCCGCGGGGAGATACTGACTACGACTTCGCCCTCTTTCGTCTTTACTCTACCCGCTGGTAAAAGCAATCTTGACCGGTCCACGACACCTTCATTCTCACGAGGTGGGGGGCGGTTCCCAGGCCCAAAGAGGGCTCTTTGATGCAGCTCGAGGGGTGGGTTGAAAGAGCGCGCCCAGCCTTTAGGATAGTTTAGGGGAGCAAAGAAGGAATCCATCTGGGCTTTGGGCACAGGCGTTCGGTGAGGAAGGTCGAATTTGGGGACCCGGATAGTCATTGTTCTCCAGGCTGGAGGTGGTGACCGAGGCGGAGCAGGATACGAAATGTCAAAGAACGTGGGGACAGAGATTGTTGGCGGTTGGGGTTTGGCTTTGGGAGCTGTGGGGATCGGTTTGGCCTGCATTTGGGGCTGAGCGGGAGGCAAGGGAGCAGCGGAGAGGCGGTCGGCACGAGGTTCCGTGGGGGGCTTCTTCTCCCTCTCCAATATGACCTTTCTCTCCTCCTTTGCCTCTTCCTTCTTGACAGGAGAGGCCGGCGCAACTCCAGCGTCTTTCGGCTGATCCTTTTCCTCCTGCATCTTTGACATGGCCGCCTTGATCCTATCCAGCATCCCATCAAACGACGAGCTTGATGGGGCGTGTGGCGTTCTGTCGAGCTCGCCGTCCAACGCCAGCTCTGCGGGATGGGGGACCTCTGAAGACGCCGGTATGGCGACAGGCGTCACAATTTCGTCCTTGTTTTCCTCTGCTCTTGTCGCCTGGGAGCTCGGCGCACGGACGCGCCACGAGGATTCAGTCTCTGCTCGGGATTCGCGCTCCTTGTCTTTGCCAGTTTCAGAGGCAAAACCAGCGGGCGAGCGACTGGGACGTTGGGGGAGTCCCAGATCTTTCGGTCGTTGGGCTATCGACGTGGGCCGTACCGACTTGGCTTCGTCCTTGTCTTCCTTGGCCTCTTTCGCAGCTGCTGGTGCAGGAGCCTTGGCCATCATCCGCTCTTCCAACTCTTTCGCCTTCTTCCTGGCCCTCTCCTTTGCAGCCTCTCGCTCCTTTTCCTCTTCCAGACGTCTCAAACGAGCCTTTTCAGCGGCGGTGTGCATTTCCTGATGCTGCTCGTCTTCTACTGGTGGCAGAGTACTGGGTGGAGGCTGAACATGAGGAAGAGACGAGTTGGAGGTCGGGGGAGAAGGACGGACACCTATGAAGGAGCGTCTAGGAGGGACGGGAGCGGCAGAGGGAATAGGGGCGGGGACGTGAGGCGGAAGAGCACGCTCCTCTGTCACCCGGCTGCCCCATCCTGTCCTCCCTGTCGATCCCGATTCCGCTTGCATCCCCGAGCCCCATCGACCCAATTGTCTTGGAGGGACAGCTGCGGGCTCGGGGGCAGCAGGTTTCTGAGCGTCCTTTTCTCGATCCGTGGGGGCGTCTGTCAGATGCGGGGGAAGGTTGCGAGATATACCGGGCGCTGAGGGTGCAGGGCCATTGGACGAAGCGGAGCGTTCACGCCAATTGTCTCCTCGACCCATCAATCTCGAATTCCATCCCTTTCCACCCTGTGCGCTTTGAGCGGGAGCTGCAGGCGGCACTGGAGCCCCCCTACTGGTCCCGGCATCAAACAGTATCCTCTCTCCTGTTGGTCTCCGCGGCCAAGATCGATCAAAGTCATCCGAGGCAAAGCGATCGGATTTCGATACCGGTATGTCATCTCTCTGTATCGTCTGTGGTTGCGGTGGGGGTGGAGCTGGGGGTAGGTTGAACTCGTCTTCATCGCTGTCTTCCTGCAAATGATGTCAGCGGTACGGATAGGACGGTGTAGACGTATACGAACATCCCAGCGGTGAGCGTGTGGGTCAAGCTGCGTGAAAGAGTTGAGCTCTTGCAGGATAGCCTTGTTGTGAGCCTCTGTCGCTGCTGCTGTGGCCTCTTCTACTGCTGCTGCTGCCCTTTTACCTATAGAATATCAGTATTTTACAGTACGTCATGAAACAAGACTCACTATCTGCGACTTCTTTGGCAGTAGGGAAATCCCGCGACAGTCCGAGATGTTTAGGAGGAGCAGCACTCGTCCTCCAAGCATTGGACGTATTCGCTGCGCTGGCCCCTGTAGCTGCGGGCGGCAAGACTCCTCCGACCCTCAGCTTGGTGGGCGCAGGCTGGTGCAGTGTACCGCCCTCTGCGACGTTTGCTGGTTTCGCCCATGGACTCGAGTTTGTGATGGGCGGGGGAGCAGGGGCAGGGGGTGGTTTGGCGGTCATGGTATTCAATTTAGTCGAGAGGTGGCGGGAGGGGGCGGGCAGGATCGGGACGGGAGACGCAGTTTGACGGCCTTGAATGGGATGTCAGCTGCCGACTCGTGCCACCTCCAGATCACTCTGATAGATCACCACTCCACATCCCTCGACGCCTATTCCGCAAACTGCCTGCTCATGTCCGCATCTCACTCACCATTGGTCTTTACAGCGCCCGGAGCAGGGACCGGCGATGCAGTTTTCTGCAGGAACTTTTGGTTGACATTGACTGCGGCGAATTTCTTTTTTGGCAGTGGTCCTAATGGCGGAGTCGACGTGCCAGAGGCTGCCACGGACGTTGCAGGAGATGCTTGGCGCGGTGCTGGTTCTGTCGTTTCTGAAGGCTGTTGTTTGATTTTCGGCGAGTCATCCGAGCTCTCCTGGCTCGCCCCCTTCTCCTCTCCCCTTCCCTGCTCTCCAGCCTCTGCATGGCCCTCCCCGCTGCCCTCGACGGGGGCTTCCGCGCCCCCCTCGGGGCGGTGTGTGGGTGTGTTGTCGGTGCTGTCTGGGGTCAGGTTCTCATTGGGCGGCGGTGGTGAAGCATGCTGGGGCGGGGACAGGTCGGACATGCTTTCGTGTGGCTGCCCCTGTGCTGCATCCCCCTGTGCTGCAGATGATAGAGATGAATGGCGCGGGCATACAACGAAACACCGGCGTGGCTCTGTTTTTAAGCTGTTACGTAAACACCCACTCTGTAGATAATTGAGTATCGCCCATTGGCCCTCGCTCATCCATCCACCATGGCCGCCCTCGCCCGCCCCCTCCTCGCCCTCCGAGCAGCTCGCCCACCAGCCCCCGCCGCCACGAGGGCATTCTCCCGCCCAGCATTCCTCAGACAGCGTACGTCAACCAGCCCCACATCCCACTGCACAAGCTCACCCCCAAGCAGAACAGCCGTCCGTCGCACCCTACAAGGAGCCAGTCGGTGTCAACCCCGCAGACAGGTCCCGCGCCGTCAGCACCCCCCTCCACGAGTACGGACAGTACATCACCTCCTGCCTCCCCAAATACATCCAGCAGTTCTCCGTCTACAAGGACGAACTCGTCCTCTACATTCCTCCCTCCGCCGTCATCCCTGTCTTTACCTTCCTCAGGGACCACACCCAATGCCAATACAGGCAGATATCGGATATCACTGCCGTTGATTTCCCAACAAAGGCCTACAGGTTTGAGGTGAGTACTGGACCTTGACGAACGAGCCAAATCTCGGGCGCCGAATGAGCAGCTGCATGATGCTAACGCAGATCGAAGGTCGTCTACAACCTCCTCTCTGTCGAGCACCAGTCCCGTATCCGAGTCAAGACGTACGCCGACGAAGTCACCCCCGTTCCTTCCCTCTGTGGTCTCTACAATGGCGCAAACTGGTACGAACGCGAAGTCTGGGACATGTTTGGTGTCTTTTTCGAAGGGCACCCGGATTTGAGGAGAATCTTGACGGATTACGGGTTTGAAGGTCACCCCCTGCGGAAAGATTTCCCCTTGACTGTGCGTCTTTTCGTGTATGAACTCAGGATCAAACTCACTCGTTGGCAGGGTTACTCTGAGGTGCGATACGATGACGAGAAGAAGCGTGTGGTGTACGAACCTCTCCAGCTTACTCAGGCTTTCCGGTGCGTCCCTTTGCCATCTTGTCGGCCCCCGACTCATGACCATCCAGAAACTTTGGTGACGCCGCTTCCCCCTGGGAACAAGTTGGTGGTGGTGACCCCACTACCCAGCCAGAAGATTACAAGATTCCTCCTCCCCCTCCCCCCAAGGAGGAGGAGAAGAAGTAGATTGTCGGGTAGAGATGCTGGGATCGGGATGTATGGACTGTTTATTATTGACTGTATGGGGGCTTTGGATCTCGAGAGGCTAGAGGACAGGAGAGCATTGAGTCTTGAAACGCACTGGCGATCGTCCTTTATCGGGTGATGCCCCTTGATCCTTTCAATGCCTTGCGGGTTGATCGACTGCTCAGCGCTGTGCGGAGATTCAGGGTCTATATTTACCGTCAACTTGACAGCTCTTCCCCCTCCCAACGTTCTCGTCCCAACACCCTTCCCCGCACCCCTCTTCACAACACCAATCCCAATCTCACAGCCACAAAATCTCGTCATCTCAACCTCAATGAGACCACTCACATTCCTCGTCCTTCTTCCTTTCGCCTTTGCCACCCCCCATGCCACTCCCTCATTCACCATCCCATCCCCAACCGCCACTGCAACACCTTCCCTTGGACCAACAACGCCCCTTTCAAATCCTACATACCATCAACTGAACGAGCGATGCACCTCGGGTAGCTGCGGTGGCCCGGGTGGGGAGAGCACCCTCGAAGCCAGTACCATCACCTCCACCATCGTCTCCACTACGTCTGTCCCGTGCTACATTACCACTTTCGTCACCGACTCTACCACCTCAACATCGACCGTCTACTCGACCTCGACAATCACCTCCACAGAGACCAAAGAAGGCACTGTCTACATCATCCAGTACTCACCGACTCCTATCGTGGGGAGCACGATGGTGGAAAGTGTCGTAGAGATGACGGTGAGTTATTTGAGCTACTGGGTGTCGAGTGACGGGTCGTATTCGGAGAGTACATCCACGGGAGAGTATACCACCGTAGGTGGCGGAGGTGATTGCGATGCTTGTGCACAGGCATCGTCTTCAGCGGCTGCCGGCGGTTCTGGAGGTTCATCTGCATCGTCGCAAGACAGTGGATGGGGTTCCGGCTCAAGCAGCTCGCTCTCCAGCTCAAACGGCGACGATACGTCTTCCGCCCAAACAATTGGCAGCGGTTCAGCAGATGGCGGCTCCGCCTGGACTCATGTCACCAACGCCAATAACGCCGCAGGGGTCTCTGCTACTGCCACCGCTGCTGATGCTAGCAATGCAGGGTGGGGCAACAGTGCGGGGTCAAACACGGATGTTGGCACGAGCGGGTCGAGTGATGGGTGGGCTTATAGGAGTGCGGGGGGGAAGGTGAGGCCGATGAGGGGGTGGGGAGTTATTGTAGCGGTGCCGTTGATGATGGCGGGGTACTGGTCTGTCATTGTTTACTGAGGTGCACTTTATTTTCTGTTGTGACTGGGACAGAATCGCATAGCGTTGCAGCTCATAGTATGTTGAAGAAGTGCGAAGGCATGTAATCAGCAGTGATTTATGAGGATACCATTAAGGAAGAGGTGTACGAATAGTCGAGTTGATGAAGGCACTACTGATCGTGCCGTTGACGCGTACTCCTGATAATACACAGTGCTACGTTGCGAGCGATCGAGATTCATAGATCCTGCTCGGCTTATCACTGCTGGGCTAGTAATGATCAGAATGGTCGGGTGTACAGCGTCGTAAGCAATCATCACCAAGACGACAATGGCTTCGATTCCTCAAGTGATGTTGGGATGATGTACTCCTGCTCCAGTTCAGTTCCATCATCGCCAAACCCGTAGAAGTCATGTATTATCCTTCTCTTGTAAACATTGGATGCCGCTGACTTCTGTCTCTCGATGTCTGTTGCGGTTCGGTGACCATGATCATCATACCAGGTTTGGAAACAGTCACGAGTAGCCCGAGCGCCTCCTAGTACAAACGCGACTACTGGCATCACCATCATTTGCGGGCTTCCGTATCACCCCGAGAAAGACTACCAGAGTAAATTCAATGACGGCGGTCCCTCTTGGATGTGCTGTTGAATGACAATGTAGCGGTAGTAGGTAGCACTCGAAAGGTGAAGGTCAACGTTATTTTTTGTTGGATTGCAAGTAGTAGTCAGAAGCAGTGGTCGGCCTCCAGCGGTATAGCAAGATATTACGTACTCCTCGATAGCATGTCTTCGATGCTGCGACCCTTGATTGGAAACCAGAAGCAGCGAAAGATGTCACAACGCGAACGGTGAGGCTGACGTTGTTGACAGATGTTGTTGGGAAGGGAAGGCATAGGATGGCGGCCGCATGTGGACAGATGGTGAATGTAAGAACGTAGGGGAACCATGAGACGATTCCAAAGACCAGAGAGAGAGGTGTGGCATGTAACGATTGTATGAAGGTGAATTCACAGCTAGGCAGAAGTAATGTTAGGACCTATTGGTGCTTAACAGTTAAAAAACAACAGCCCTCATGGTGTAATGGTAACACGAAGGTCTCATATACCATGAGCTTCAATTCGAAGCGCAATCCTCAGCCCTGAGTTCGATTCTCAGTGAGGGCAGTGATCTTTTTGCTTTTTGTTCGTGTCTCTTCTCCTTTCAACTACTGCATCATCCTCACTGGTCTATTTGCATGCATGCGTGTAACGCATATCCATGATTCCAAGCTGTTTTATAATCGCGCAACAGAAGAATTGGAGCAAAGGTACACCATATTGATACAACGCTAACATTCAGCTTCTACTCTGCTTTCTCGACTTTCCGACGCTTCTCATCTTCTCCGCCTTCAACTCCCTCATCAGATGCATCACGCTTGCTCCCAATTTTGGCAGTTGGCACTTCTTCTGTGGCAGGTTTCGTGGCCGCAGGACCCTTGGCCTTCTTCTTGACCACCACACCTTTCATCAAAGTCTTGACATCTTTCTTCTTCCCGTCCTTGACTGGGACCTTCTTGGCTACCACTTTGGCCGCCGGCGCAGAAGTAGGCGGAGGAGGCGCATCGCTGCCTATTCCACCCTTCCGTTCGGCCAATCGTCTAGATGAGACCGTCAGCGGGTGTGTCGAGCCGAGACGGCCATGGCTGGTCACTCACTCTCTATACTGCCTCAACTCTTCTGTTTCACGAGCCTCAATTTCCTTCTGTGCTCTCCGCTTTTCTTCTTCTTTGTCTTGTAAAAATCGCTTCTCTTCTGCGTTTAGCCCCCGCCATTGATTCGAGAGCTTCATCTTGGTATCCCATTCCTCATTTTTTATTTCCTTTTCATTGTATGAGCGAGGGAATAGGGTTCATGGGTAAGGATGCGACATACCTTCTGAGTTTGCAATCGTTCGTAGAGAGTTCGCCCATCATGTTCTTCCTCCGGCTCTTGAGGTGGTGGCTCTTGTCCGATTCTGTACGATGTGTGAGCCCCACCATTGAACAAGTCCCACGAAGGGGCTTTGATTTACCTCTTATACGCTTCCTCCCATTCCTTTTTCTTGTTTTCTCGCGCAATTTCAACATCCTCTTGGGTCTGGAAGCGCGAGGAGATATGACCCGCAGTGGCTTGGAATAGTGACTGATCCATTGTCCTATGTTTCGGTGGTGGCGAGCTCAGAGAAAAAGTACTGGCGCGTTGGCGGAAGGGGCGGAGATTGAATGAATCGGTGTTTCGGATAGACTGAGATATCAAAGGTTGATAATGTAAAGAACTTTGAGATATGTACCCTTCGAGACTGGCAGCAACATCATTGACGGAAACGAAGCGCGGATTTTGGTTCCGTCTGATATCGAGCGGCCGGTGGCCGAAAGATCAACGAGTCTTGACTGTTGAGACGATATAACTCACTCAACAAACTTCTCTATCTTGGCTCCTCCCAGATCACCATGTCAGGTCGTCGCATCGACCTCGCAAAGTTTGCCGGCTCGGACTCGGAAGGCGAGGACAGCCAGCCAAAGGTCAGCACTCACCATACTCGTGTAATCCGATCGCTGACTGTCTTGGTATACAGCGCCAACTCGAACTCACCGCCCTCAAGAGCAAAACGTTCTCACATGGAATAACGAAGAAGACGAAACGAGATCTGGAGAAGGAAGCGGAGGAGAAGAAGCGTGTCGAAGAGGAAAAGTATGCAGACCAGAGTCACTTCAAGGACGCGGCTCACCGACGTCTTTAGGGCTGCAGCGTTAGTGATGGCCGAATTCGAAGAAGACTTCAACTCTGGGCCCTCTCACCCCAACACCAGCATGCGTGGATTCGGCGGTGGCTCTAATGCGGCACCTATGGGCCCTCGAAAGGGGTTCGTCAAGGCCGGAGGCGCCCCAATGGAATTGCAATCTCGCCCCCCGGCAGCATTCAGACCCCCATCAGGCCCGGGAATGGGGCCAGGAGGAAGGGCGTTACAGGGCAGCACAGGTTTCCAGCCCCCCAGGGGACCGGCTGCTATGGGATTTCAACAAGCGCCGCCTCCGCATGTTCGGCCTGTGGGTTTTGGTGGACCACCGCTGTCTCAATACGCAGCACCTGTGGACCCCAGACGCGTGGCGCCTGCTGCACCGACTGCAGCACCTTCGGCATCCAATGGGCCTATGAGAAAGAAACGTGCTATGGACTCTTTCCTCCAAGAAATCAAAAAGTAGGCAATCTTCGACATCTGGCGGCTAGGCTAACAGCCCTCAGCAACCAAGACGCCCGAGAACAACGACTGGGCAACATGGCCAAGAAAGAGGGCTCATCAGTCTCTGCCCTTGCAGGTCTGTACTCGGCACCTTTGGTGACGCTGTAATCGTTGGTCTCAAGCGTACTGACAATCGGTCGCTTTAGCTTGGGAATCAGAAACGAAGAACGGAGTCCTAGACCTTCAGGTGAGCGATCAGCGAACGACCAGAGTGATCCACTAACACGGAGCAGACTACCAACTTGTTTGTTGTACGTTTCACATTTCGCTTCTAATCAAGCATTGCTAATACGTAGCAGTCTAACCTTCCGAGGGAAAATATAACGGAGGACACTGTCGGGCTCTACTTTGCGAAAATCGGCCCTGTTGGTACCGTGAAGATCATGTGGCGTAAGTATCCGGTCCGATGACTGGTCGATAGCTGAATGAGAGTCTCACAGCTCGAGGAGAAGACAACCTTTCTTTCCAACACCGCGGTCTCTCGGGATTTGTCTCTTATATGTCTCGCTCGGACGCTGAAACGGCGGTACGAGAGCTGGAAGGTGCCGAGTTCCAAGGCAACAAATTAAGAGTTGGATGGAGCAAAGCAGTCCCGAAACCTTCGAAAGCATTATATGGTGTGTCTGGCCAGCCAATAAGACTGGTAGAAACTGACGAGAGATTCAGACATCGGAAACACCAAAAAGAGAAAGGAGAGATCGCAAAGTCCGCCCAGAAAACGCCGTGCTCGATCATACTCCTACTCGTCATCATCTTCCTACTCTCGCTCGCCTTCTCCAAGAAGAGACTCTGATGGAGAGACGTGGCTTAAAACCATACCTGAGGAAAAAGCCAAGTTTGTCAAAGCCGTGGCAGCGAGGGTTAAGGAACATGGAAGGGGTTTGGAAGATGTCTTGAGAGAAAAGGAAAAGGACAATGAGAAATTCAGCTTCTTGTTTGACGACAAGGTAAGCCTTTTGTGTCATACATTCAGCCAATTGGCTAATGAGTGTTCAGCTCCCAGAGTACCACCTTTACAAATCTACGCTTTCATCACGCTATTGCATTCCGAACCCGCCCCATACGTTCATCGATGAAGGCTACGCCTCGATGTACTCTTCCGACTCTGCCGAGGGCTCTGAAAAGGAGCGTACGAGTAAAGGAAAGCTGGGCAGATTGGCAAAGAGACGATTTGAAGCAATGTTGAGGGTGATAAGTGGTAAGAGAGGAGAGATTGCACGGGCAATGGAGTTTGCTTTGACCCACGCGGAGGCGGCAGATGAAGTAGCAGAGACGATTGTTCAATCACTCATCATTCCCTCTACTCCTGTCCCTCGAAAACTTGCGCGCCTTCATCTGATATCTGATATCCTCCACAACTCTGCCTCGCCTTTGCCCAACGTCTGGCGCTATCGCCAGGCTTTTGAGGCGCGTTTGCCGCCTGTGTGGGCGCATTTGAAGGGGGTGGAAACCAGTTTGGAAGCGTACAAGGGAAGGATAAGTGCGGATGTGTTTGGAAAGAGTGTGGGGAGTGTGTTGGATATATGGGAGAGGTGGTGAGTTTGGGCTATCAATTGACCTGGGTAAAGGCTGACATTGAGGTAGGATCGTGTTCAACACCGAGACTGCCGAGCTATTCCGTGCTCTGCTATCGGGGCATATCTCACTTGACTCTTTGACACGTACCCCACAAGGCATGTGGGTCGACAAGGCTGTACTTGAAGCGCAAGACGAAGCCAAACGACAAAAGGCCGAAGAAGAGAGACGGGCAAGGGAGAAGAAAGAAGAAGCCGACCAGAGATTCAACAGTGGGGGGTTCAAAAGCTCGTTCAAGCGAGTGGACCCGAGCTCGAATGCTGGGGAATCGACGTCCCTGGAGAACCACCCTGCTGCCGAGCAAGATTTGGATGGCGAGGCGATGGAAGATCTTGATGGGGAGGAGATGGGCCTCGATGGAGAAGAAATGGATCTCGATGGGGAGCCACTTGTCAGTGAGGACTTGGATGGGGAAGTCATGGAGGACTTGGACGGAGAAGCAATGTAAATAATGCCTCGAAGATGCACTATTGAACATGTGAATTTCGGCTTGCTGTGCTAGCTGTTCCGTCGACCAGACGTGCTGGGAACAGTGTCGATGGGTGCCGAATGCAGCTATAATGAATTGATGATGCATACAAGCGTACTCCGTACAATTACTCTTGCTTACCCAGCTTGGAATCCAGAATGCCTGTCCACATCTTTTCGTTGATCCTGCTAGCCCGGTCAACAGCCTCTCTCAGGCGCTTATTCTCCTTTGCCAGCTCTTCCATCTGCTCTTCCACATTCCCATCAGCCGCCCTGCCACCAATCTTTTGTCTCGCCTCGGTAGGTTTCAGTCCGCCCAGTAACGTGGCCATCTCGCTGGAAGGCGGTCGTACGAGGAGAACAGGGTCATGTGCCTCTTTCGCCGCTCTCCCCTTCATCCTCTCAAAGCTCTTCACTTCCATGATTGGCACTTCTTCTCCCTTCATCCCTACTGTCCCTACCAAATCGAATGGCCGAAGGATTGTGGTCAGGTATGTGACGGGACCGGCATGCGGCGAGAGGGTACGGAGATGTTGGTGGGAGGGAAGGGAGTGTATTTGGATGGTGCCAGAGGATGTGCCGAGAAGGAGGTGAGTAGAGGAGAGGGAGAGTGATAGCGATGTTATTTGTGCGTCCCTGGGGACGATCAGCAGGTGTGACAGGTGGGTACAGGAAGACCTACTTGACGGAAATGACGGCGCCTTCTGCTTTTATGGGCACACCCCCACTCCCACCGACAGCTTCCCATTCTTCCGAGCCTTCTACAACGCTCCCTCCAATAGTGCCCTTCTTTCTAAACAAGGGGATGTGGTAGACGTCTCCTTGTGATGTCGCGACGTAGAAGAAGCGTTCGGAGGGATCGACCACGATGGCTGTGGGAGATGATGTTGGGGGCAGAGAGAAAGTACAGAGGAGGTCGAAGGGAGGGCGAAGGCTCCACATCTTGACTGTACCATCATCCGAGGCCGTCCACGCCCTCCCACCTTCGCTCCCCGCAATCTTGCCGACCGCCAAACATCTCACTGCCAGTGTATGGTCTTTGAGCGTACCATAAGGTTTACCAGCAGAAGCCGGGTCTTCTGGATCTACCAGGCGGGAGACGAGGTAGACTTGCGTGGAGGAGTCGAGAGAAGTGGAAAGAAGAAGGCGGGAGTCTGGGGTAAATGTGAGGGAGGTGATGGCCCGGTAGTGAGCGGTGTGGGACGAGAGTAGGAGGCCAGAGGCAATCTAGTAGGATCAGTAGTGAGTGAATGAAAGAAAGAGGCTACACACCTCCCAGAGATAGATGTGGCCATTGGGAGAACCACCCGCAGCCCAGTGGCCGTTAGGAGAGACAGTGAAGGCGGTCATCTTTTCTGGCAAGTGCAATTTCAGATGCATTTGGTCCTGACAAAGTCAATAATTGCGATAGACCTTGACTGAAAGACTCACCTTCTGCCATGCCCACACATTAAGAAGAGCCTTGTCATGCTGGACGGCAAAGATGGCGCCTCCCTGGCCGTTCTGGGACTGGACATGGGCTACGCTGTGCTGTGCGGAGGTGGAGGACTTGAACTGGTGTACGGGGGCGGAGGAGAGGAGGTCGTGGAGGTGGATGGCGGCGGTGCTGGCCGACTGGGGCGAGGAGAGGACGAGCTCCTGGGGCGACATGGTGTACAGCGGGGGAGTGATAGTACGGGACAACTTTTTATTGACTTGACCGGCAGAGTGGAGGCAGCGGACATCGCCGCCGGGAGCCCATCATCATCGCTGCATTTCCGTCTATGCTCGCTCATCCACGATGCCGCATCCCCCCGGCCCATTCGACATCTTTCCCCCCACAGACGTCCACCACTGGCTCACAGACCTCCAGCTCAGGATAAAAAACGGCATCAACCCCCCAGACTCTCCAGGCCCATCCCGCTCTCCCTCCCCGCTCCTCAATGGGCACATCGACGCTTTTCAAGATGATGGCGTAAATCAACAAGAACAAGACAAGGACAGTGAGGCTGATAGTGAGAGTGAAAGCGATGGCAGTGGCGAGGAAGAAGAGGAGCTGGACGATATAAATCACCAGCCGCAGAACACGCTCGCTGCGACGAATTATCTCGAGGTCTCTTCCGACGACGAAGACGAAGACGAGCTTCAAGATGATGATGGGCAATATGAAGAAGAGGGTGACTATTACGAAGACGACCGCGAAGCCAACGTCGCGTACGATGAGCAGGATGAGCTCTACGACGACGACCCGCGCTACGGTGTCGAGCCCGAAGAGGACCACCAAGCGTACGTTGGTTCTGATGGCGACGTTTACGCGGATGAGTATGGGACCGATGAAAGTGAAGACGAAAATGAGGAAGAGGAGGAGGAGGAAGAGGATGGACAAGAAAATGAGCCTTCAGAAGAAGGGAACGAGTCGGACGATTCGGACGGTATCGAATACGTTGGTCAATCCCAATCCCCCTTGCCGGCCCCTTCACCAACACTCAATCCTCTCGATTCCCCACTGCAGGCCGCGCCCGTTCCCTCGGCAGCAGCTTCCACATCAATATACCCAGGTACCGGTATCTACCCTGCCCCCGCTTCAGCCCTGCCCGCACTGTCTGATCTGACATACGCGCCATCCCCATATGCCGACCCCGGTGCGCCAATATCGACATCCACCCCTGATCCCACATTCTCCGCCCAGGCTCCCCTTCCTCCCAGCGTGGATACGCAGGTATATCAAAGTGAGATGGATATCGACCCCACGTTGCTGGGAAGCGGGTATCAAATCGATACCGCCTTTTTGAATGATCTTGTCCAACATGTGGCTCAAGGGGGGGCACCTTTGAGTGGTATGGGACAGCCTGGGCCGTCATTTGGCTCTTTTGATCCAGCTCAAAATCAAGAAGTCGACGGGATGCCCAGCTTGCCAAGTCTTGATCAACCTGGAGAGTGTGACTACGAGATGGGCGATGAATACATGGATAATGAGGTGATATTGGAAGAGGACGAGGTGGCCGGTGATCAAGGTGGGTTGTTCTCTGATACGATCGATCACTTTACTGATTGTTTTAAGATGTCTCGGGAAGAGACCCATCGGAGCCACCCAAACATGATGAAGACATGGAGGAGGCAGATCAGGAAGTTGCTGAGCAAGAAAGCTTGTCGTCCGGAGATGCAAGGGCGAATGATGAAGAAGGGGAGGAGGACTCGATTACGGTCAAGACTACAACTGTTCGCGAAGTCATAGAGTTTGACTCTTCGTCCGATGATGGTGAAGAGGAAGAAGATGAGGCGGAACAGGACAATCAGGCGGAGGATCATGAAGAAGATGAGGATGAGGATGAGGATGATGATGAAGAAGAGGAAGAAGAGGAAGAAGAAGAGGAAGAAGAAGGAGAAGAAGCCGGCGAGGGGCGTATTTCCGCAGCGCACGCGGCATTCTTGCAAGACGACTCTATAGAAGAGGAAGAGGAAGAGGAAGAGGAAGAGGAAGAAGAGGAAGAGGAAGAGGAAGAGGAAGAGGAAGAGGAAGAGGAAGAGGAAGAGGAAGAGGAAGAGGAAGAGGAAGAGGAAGAGGAAGAGGAAGAAGAGGAATGGGGCCGGGCAGACGGCGAGGATGAGGAAGGGTCTGTTGGCGACGAGCAACCTGAAGACGAACCTTTTGGTATGTCTTGCTACCTTCCTGTCTTCACCACACGCTGACTATCCGTTAGTCGCGAGAGATCTTACTGTTGATACGGATCAAGTCGTGGAAGATGTCCTTGTCGCAGGAGAAGAGGTGATCGAAAGCGTAGAGTCCCGGAATGAGGTCACTTCCTCAAGTATGTCCTCTCCGAAGCTTCCATTGTATTCGTTACTGACTCTTGTCTAATAGAATCAGCAACACCTGTCGAGTCGGCCCCTGCGGAAAGTGAGATTCATGAAGGCGTCGACGAGGGTCTTGTTGAGACGTCTGCGGAGAGTGCTCATGAGGCGAAAGATCTTTCGGACGAAGGAGCGCGAACAGAGCACCACCAGGAAGCGATCGAGGTACAGGAGACGGAGATCAGCCAGGCGAGCCCGGTGGACCACGGGGAGCAACCTGAGAGTATGTCTGCATAGCTTCCGGCCCAGCTGCTCGCTGACATAACACAGTATTCCCAGATTCTGAGGTCATTAGCGTTGCACGCGATCGAACTCCCGCATCAAACGGCTCTTCTTCAACCCCCCCGGATCCTGCCAGATCCCCACCACCCACATCTCTACTCGCTCCCCTCTCCCCCCACTCTCTACAACCCCACCCACCTCGCTCTCCCTCCGTCGAAGCACAGATTGCCAACGACCCCCGCCCGTCCGAGGTCCCAGAACCCCCACTTTCAAAGGACCAGAGCGAGCGGGAAGAGACGCCTGTAGAATTCCCAGAACCGAAAAGTGCTCCACCGGATTCAGACTTTACTGCAGAATTCGCCTACAACCCCGATCCACACCCTCCTTCTTCTCCTTCCCTCATTGTCGAACCTCCCGCCGACCCCAGACCCGACATTACATTCTCCCGCACTGTCTCTCGCGCCGCTACCCCCTCGATTGGGGCTGCTTTCTCCAATGGCGATGGGGCTGTACCTGGAACTCCGGTAGAATTCCCAGACCCCCGTCTGCCTCCTGCGGACGCGCATCTCGATGTGCCATTGACCCCGCATGGCCTTGAGCCGAACGATGAAGGGGAGCAAAGTCCAAGCTTGCGTGTTCAGGTTGGGGCCTCCAGGAAGGGGAGCCTCTCCGGGCCTTCCTCGCCACCTTTAGAGTCTCAGGAACCCGAAGTATCTGGCGATAGTAGGGTGGAAGCACACTCCGATCCGGAAGCTTCCAAGTCCAGTGAGCCAGATGAGCACTGTCCGCGCCAGTCGCCCACATACGCAGCCGCAGAGATTGAGGCCGAGGACGCCACGTCATTGCCGTTGGAGGACGACATCCCAATGGCTCCCATGGATGACTATGACGTTCAAGGTTCAATCCTTGCCGAGCAAGAAGAGGAGGCTGGCTTAGGTCAAGAACTAGAGCCCCATGTGGCTGCAGATATTGTTCACGATGTCGAAGCACCTGGTATCGAGGGCACCGACGATAAGTCTGAACAAGTGGCGGCCGACCTGCCCTTGGATGCAGCGGAGCTCGCCGAAGGCAATCAGCGGGCAGCCGAGGAGCCCATAGGAGAAGGGCCAGAACAAGTGGCAGACGGAAATGTCGACACTGGAGGGGAGAAGCCTTACGCATCTGCTTATAAAGGCAAGGGTCGCGCATTGGAGATCGAGCCACAAGACGAGGAACGCGTCCTCGACGAGCGCTTGCCTTCCGACCCTGCCTCTGCCACGGCCTCTCCCGAACGCCCTCCATTGGCTACGTCCAATTCGGCTATCGAGAGACTGAGGCATCATCACGGGCTCGGATCTTCTTCCCACACACGGATTCCTACACAGGCTAGAGAGGTTTCGAGAAATAGCCTCAAGAGCCATCGAGGTAGAGATGAAGGGTCACCTTCGCCCCCCGCCCCCCCAGTGACGCGTTCGCATTGCTATTACGAGAAACTGCGCCTAACCTACGAGGGCGCTGTTGCTGTCATTCTCGCTCCTCACTGTTCCCTCTCCAACGCCCAGGAGATTGAACATGAAGAGTGCACGGTAGAGGGTGTGCCGTCAGAAGGGGAAGAACAGCAGGCGCGACTAGGCCAAATGAGCCATGACAACGAGGTTCTACAACCTGCGTTTTCCACAAAACTCCGAAGGATAGTGGGTGCCCAACTCTTCGACGAGGGATGTTGTTATCTTCTCCTTGCCGACGATAATGCGAAGCTTCCACCGCCACCATCCGAGGCCAAAGAATCAACACCTCAAAGCTCTTCCGCCCGAGGCGGGCCAAAAAGCCGCACATCCCTTACCGCTTCCCAAGTCAGCCCTTTCAAGCCTGCTATTGGCAACCCTCTGACTGCCCGCACATCCAAGCGTCTCTCTGCCTCCCTCGAACCCTCCACACCTCCTCGTAAGCGTCTGAGTCAAGAACCCGAGCCTTCTCGGGGATCCCCCGCCGGTTCAGTGACAGATGTGGGCGAGGATAGCGCTACGGATAGCCCGGAAGCCGATCCCACGCCGAGGAGATCGACGAGGCTCAGCCTGAAGAGAGAAGCGAAGCAGGCTCCGCCCGTGCGCGAAAAGAGAGGCGGGAGCTCACTGAGGAACCTGCTGGCTACCGAGGAATCGACTACGCAAAATGGTCAGGATACTGAAGGTCCTACGGGGTCCAATGAGAGGGAAACTACAGTCCAATCAGAAGCTGTTGTTCGGCAGGGAAAACGACCAGTGTTGATCGACCTGAGAAGCGTTTCACCTGATTCTGCGCAATCTTTCGGTTCTCCAACTGCTTCAACGCACTCTCTGCAGGGAGCCGATATGTCGTCCTCGCGTGCTCTCGTCGGGAAGAAGAGACGAAGGGACGGCGACGCATATAGACCGGATGAGGAGAGTGAGGATGAAGGACACGCAGAGAATAGTGATGAAGAAGAGAATGAGGACGAAGACAGGCAGAACAGCCCAGCTTCCCTCGAGAAGGGCACAAAGCGCAAATTGGACACCGGTGATGGAGATGTATGGGAAGGCGGCATCGAGGACGAAGAGGATGGGGAACGAGCAGCGAAGAGAAGAGCTCTAGAGAATATTGAAGAGTCGGGAACTCCCGTAGTGGAAGCTCCGAAAGCTGAAGGTCAGGAGCAAGATGTAGGCAACGAGACGCAGAGAAGGCATGGGTTTGGAAAGTGGTTCAGGTGGTGGTAGTCCTGTAATACTATTGTGCAATGATGATAGTGCAATGAATGCTATTGAAGCCTGCTGGATCAACCAATTTCCACTGCAGTTTGTGTGGTAGATTAGCTGGCTATCGGTTCGCCTGGCACGTAATGGATCAGTGGTTTGCTTGCAACAAGCTTTTGTCTTCGCCCTCATGGTGTAATGGTAACACGAAGGTCTCATAAACCATGAGCTTCAATTCGAAGCGCAATCCTCAGCCCTGAGTTCGATTCTCAGTGAGGGCAGTAACCTTTTTGCGTACTTTTTCCTCCTTACCTTGTTTCTCGTCTCCCCTTCTGAAGTGTCAATCACTTATCGACTCGATCGCTATACATGCATTAAGAAGGCAGAGAAGAGGACGCTATTACGGTGACACAGAGGAGTGCGCGTATTGTACGCCTAATTTCGCACATGCAAGCGCTTCCATGAACTGCCACTCTCCAACGCGTTTGGTTCTAAGGTCTATATAGTAGGAGCAGATGCGTATTCACAACCGGTGAGGTATGCATTGTCATCATTATCGCATCCAATCGTAGCATAGTCCCCACATGATCGATGAAGGCCACGACAACAGGCTGAGAGTGGTGCGTGGCCTGACATGAACCAATCTTCATCAAGTCATCTATCAACCTTAAATGATACAGTCCACAAAAGCTGGTGAGTGGACAAAACGTGTGCTAGAAGACTATATAACAACAAAAGCTTCGACCATCCCCTTAAAGTCACCAACGTCCCCAACATCCCTTCTCATAATCCTCCAGGAGGGTTTCGCTACCCCTTGTTGTCCGACACCTTTCTCCGTTCGATTCGTGTCGCAACGGTACTATTCTTCAGCGCAACCTCCGATCGCCATCGCTGGGCAGTATTTCTGTATACGTCGTGAGCATGGGAAGGCGGATCAAACACAGTTTGTTTGCTTACTGTGCTCTGATAACGCTAATCACAGCAAGCGCGACCGCCTTGAAGGTTCGTCTGGGCCTGGGCGGCTCTGGAATTGGGAAGCCCATCTTCGCAATGGCTCGGATAGTCGCTTGCTCGCTGGACCGTGTCATCAGCTGTGTGACACAGATATATTCAAAAGGACGCACTTCAGACTCTTGCCGCCAACCAACAAAAGCAGGTATCTTTTTTGCAGTGCCAAAGCATTCCTGAATGTAGATTCACGGGTGTACTTTGCTTTAAGATACTTGATCTGAGCGGCGAGTTCACGGGACTGGGATTTGAATCGAGCTTTCTGCTTCGCCATATCCTCGGACAATCTACTTGCAGGTGATGTTAGTCATGACAACACACCGGGTTAGTAGACGTACGTGTCACACTCGTGAGATTGCCTCCATCCTTCGACCTCTTCAAGCTTTTCCTGTGCATCCATCAATTCCCTCCTCATTCTTGATTCTCGATGTTTGGCATCTTGGAGGCCTCTCTCAAGAGCGCTGAGCTCGGCCGCATGTCTGCCTTCTTTTTCCGTCTGCTCTTTTTTCAAACTTTGAAGTTCGATACCGAAAGCGTCACTTTCTTGTTTATGCCTCTGCAAGTCTTTGTCAAATTCGCCAAGCTCGCGAGCGACCATCTGGCGTTCTTGGCGGAACCTTTCAAGGCGTGATTCAGCTTGTTTAAGAGAGAGTTCGCGCTCGGATAACGTCTGACGGAGGTGGTGGGTAGTAGCTTCGGCGTTGTGAAGGGAAGATTCGAGGGCTCGGATTGACTCTTCTTTGTCAGCGAGTAATGACTGTAGCTGGACAGCAGTGGGTACGTCTCTGGTAGTCTGCGCGTTCCTTCGGGACAGAGAGTCGTAGGCACGCTTCTCGTCAGATAGTTGGCGCTCCAGTTGACTGGATTGTGACTTGATTGCCTGGAGCTCCTATGGGGATTGTCAGCATACTGTATCCAAATCGTCTCGTCACAAGACCTACGCGCTTCATCTCATCCTTTTCTCTTTCCAGCTTGAATGCTTCTTCTCTCGCCTGGCGCACACCATTCTCTGAATCTTGGGCCATCCTCTCCATCTCCGCTTTGAAGCTCTCGACTTCCGCAGTACTCTTCAACCTCATCTCAGACACCAGATCCTGCAGGCGGCGATTGTCACCTTGAACTCGCGAGCGCTCGGCGGAGATGTCGGACTTCAGTTCATCCATTTGCAAATGTACCTGAGCCAGAGCTTTTTGAAGCTTGCTTTCAGCCTCGCGACTGGTGCATGATCAGCTTGAGATTGGGTACAGAGGGGAAACACTCACTCTTGCTCATCTCGCTGCGCTCCAACCACCGCTAGAGACGCCTTGTTGCGCTGACGCAATGCCCTGATTTCATCCTCTAGCTCACTTATCCGCTGCTCTGCCGCTGCGAGTTTCTCGGCCAGCTCAACGGCACCGAAGCCAGCGGATTCAAGTCTGCTGAAATTGTGATCAAGCTGATCGTTGGCTTCACGAAGTTCATGCTGCAGGTATTCCACCTGAGCTTGTAGTACAGGCTCGTTGTTGGATTGGATAGTGGTTTGAAGCCATGACGGCTGCTGCAAGTTAGCCAAAGATCATATAGATGCGAAGAGATACGCACTTCGTGGAACGAGCCGGGCGTCTTGGGTGCTCGTAAAGAAGCAATTGTCTTGTGGGAGAAAGGAGTAGGTCTTTTGAAAGGCGACCCAGCGTCCATCATCTCGCTCTTGCCCTGAGCTAATGGTGTCCCGATTGAGCTCTGATTTACTATGGCCAGCCTGGCACCAAGTGCCGCCTTCTCGCGTTCTAAAGCTTGGATTTTGGCATCGCGGATGTCGACAGCGGATTGGCGATGAGGAGTAGCGTTGATCTCGCGCTTGAGACGTCCGATTTCTCTATAGGCCTCGTCGAGTCGATCCTCAAGGGCAGCGACTAAACTAGAATCGGCTGATTCCTCCACTGGAAGAGGAGGTTTGGCGGTAGCAGTAGAGGAGAGAGATCGTTGAGAAGAATGCAGAGAGCTGACGGGGTTTGCTACCCGAAGCTTGGCCCTCAATTCGTCTACCTCCTTTCCCTTCTCTTCTAGCTCTCGATGGACATGATCCAGCTCGGTCTGTACTCTCTCAAGCTCTTCCTTCACAAGGTCGCTTCCTTCCGCCTTTTCAAGCTCAACCTCGAGCTTCTCGATGATCTCTTGGAGCTCTTGCATATCGCGTTGCTGCTCATTGAGGTGCGAAATTTGTTCTTCCTTGCAGCGATGGGCTTCGTCTAGGTCCTGGCTGACCCGGGCTAGGTTGTCCTCCACTTCAGCTTGGGCGTTGCAAGCTTGTCTGAGCTCGCCGCCCAAGCTCTCCAGAGCCGCCTCCGCTTCGTTGGCCCGGACTTGGGCGTCGCGATGCAAGTGCTCAAGCTCTTCGATTCGCCGCTCTAGGTCATAGACGTGTCTGTCTGCTGATTCCTTCTCTTGTCGAGCGCTGTTTGCCTGATGTTGAAGGGTCACAATCTCATCATCCCTTCTCCTGACATCACCTCGCACGACCTCCAACTCCACTTCCATATCTCTGACCTGCTTCAGTAGCTCCTCCTCCCTTGCACCTGAGCCTTGGGCACTCGTCAAACTCTCCAGGCGTTCTCGTTCCGACCTCAAGCGTTCAGCTTCTGCTCGGGCAAAAGCCAAGTCTTTCTCCAAAGATTGGACCTGACCTTCGAAGTCCGAACAGATCTCGCCGAATTTGAGAGCGTGCTCTTCTGTCTTTGTGGAAAACTGCGTCTGGAGGTCCATGCGAGCTTGCTCAGTTTGTTCAAGTTGCAGGGCGAGATCGTCGATCCGGCTCTGCAAAACGTGAACGTCAGGAGAGTTTGACTGTTGGGCAGAGTCCACCTGGGCTTTTAGTTCCACAATGACCTGTTCTCTAGCCATGAGGTCTTCTTCCAAGCCCTCAAGCCTTTCGGCCATCTCCTGCACCACTGCAGCTCGCTCTTCAGGGCTTAGCCCGTCAAGCAAGTCCTGGGAGCCCTTTGAGGGAGAGGCACTCTGTCGATGACGCAGAGACGGCCGAGGGATCACTCCGGAGCCGTCTATCGAGCTTGGACTCTGAGCAGGCAGATGGCGTGGAGGAGAAGGCAAGCGCTGAGACACGTCTCGAGAGCCAGAACGGTTCAAGCCGACATTTGCCAAAGCATCCGAATCCCCGACGTCGATACCCGCCTCCTTCAACACCTCGCTCAACCTCACAACCTCATCTCTCCAAGCTTCAGCCTCCCGAGCCAGTTCGGCATTCGTCTCCAAAAGTTGCTTGTTCATCTCATTGAGATGTTTGTGGATTTTACTATTCGGAGCGCGGTCCGAAAGGCCCTTGAGTGAACCTGCAGAGGTGGAAGGGCCCACGGGAAGGATGGGGAAGGAGGTATTGGCGCGGGATAAGTGATGGAAGCGGGACGCTCGAGCGTCTGTCGTGAGATCGGCAGATGACGCGACAGAGACAAATGACTCGTTACCTGACGCATCAGGGAGGCGACTGAGCGTTCCCAGTTGGGTACCGGGAGAAAAGTCGCTACCACTGTTCTCTTCGGCAATAGATTCTGACGCAGGAACGGTGGACACTCTTCGAAGGGGATGGGGTGTTCCGCGAACAGACCGACGCATTCGAGAAGAGGGAACAGCAGAGTTCAGAACAGCTAGAACATGGCTCTTTCTACGTTCAGCATCGTCCAGTGGAGCACGAGGGGTTTCAAAATCGGATTTGGGTGTGGCGTTGGGAGAGGGAGTAAAAGGGGCGTTTTGACGAGAGCTCGTGATATCCTGCAAGACGACAGGTGTGGCGGCCACTGAGGCCCGAGCCACTCGAGGGGTGGCCTTAACGGTGCCAGGAGTCGAATATTCTGAGGATGACTGGGCAAGTTTGACAGGGGAGCTTTGCTTTGCTGGCGTGCCATAGTCCTCTGACATGTCAGAAGGATCACCCTCTTGCTGAGGGGTGTATTCGTACTCTTGATGGTAATCGAGTGTTGGATTCTCTCCCTCATCATGAGACTCGGGATGAAAGCTGTACTCGTCTGTGACTTCATACTCTCCAGGAGCATCCGGTCTGGGCGTCATCATCGACACGTTATGACGAACCGGTCCCTCTGGAGTGCTGTTGACGCTGTAGTCGGTACCGGTGACCTCGCTACGTGAAAGACTCGGGATGCGTTCTTGCTGGGGAATGCCCGCCTGGTCATAGATTTGGGCCGCTGCAGCCAGCTCTTCTCGAGGCGAAGGCAAGGAGAATCGTTCCTCGTCAGATTCGTGGATGGGACCGAATGACGGGGTAGCATTTGTAGTGCCTCGGCGGTGTGGCCTCTCGAGCTGCACGTTGCCGCTCGACAGGCGACGAGTGGTGGGAGTGCCCTCTTCCTCTGCGACCATCATCGAAGGAAGGTCTGGGACACTTTGGTGTTCCTGTGCTTGCTAAGCTCGGCTGTCAGGTCGTACATAATGTAAGGCCGTGATTCACTCACCTGAGAATCATGAATGGACGAATCAAGCCGCTCAGTCCCAATCTCGGACGCTGCAATCTCATCTCCAGAGAAGCTCCTGCTCATCTCCCCGGGTGTCTGCCACCTCTCCCTCTTCGTGCCCGTACTTGTACCAACTGAGCCACTTCCACTTCTAGTGCGCTCATGGCGGATGGGACGCGCCGTGTCAATGGTGTTTTCTGCGGTGCTGCCCGCCAAAGAGCGCGATTGGGAGCGGGATGGACGAGACGATGGTGTAGAGGTCAGAGCAGCGGTCGGCATGTATGGAGAAGGGGTCTCCTCTCTTGATCTGCTATGTAATGGGGGAAATGGTGACCCAGAGGCAGTCGAGTAGGAGTCGGCGTGAGAATGGGCTTTGGCTGTGGAGGCCGTTGAGGCTGTCGAGGGAAGAATGGTCTGGCGCAAGGGATGTGGTGTCTCCATATTCTGGGAATCCCGTCAGCACCTGCCATATTGACCGGCAGTCACACACCTCTTCCGTATCTGACTGGAGGTTGTCGTGCGTATTACTGAAGCCTCTAGAATCGTCGCTCATGGTGTCGTAGTCGAGGTCGTCCTGGTGGAAGCTGGGGAGGGAGGGGAGTTCCATGTCCTCCATCGCCTGCACCCGCTTGAGGACCCTCTCGGGTGTGTCGAGGGGGTATAGCCCAGCCATGACTAGAGACGCTATGAAAAGAGAGTGAAAAAGCAACAACTTGTTGACACGCTTGGGACTGGACTTTGACACAAACAAGTCGCGTCCCCACGTGATATTTTGCTTCCGCTCAACCACAACAAAAAGCAAAAAGATCACTGCCCTCACTGAGAATCGAACTCAGGGCTGAGGATTGCGCTTCGAATTGAAGCTCATGGTTTATGAGACCTTCGTGTTACCATTACACCATGAGGGCTTAGTTATTTACCTTGCCTTCATATAATCCAGAACCACACTCACAAGCTCTTATCCCATCCTCTCGAAATAACCCGCCACGTCCTTCAGCTCGGGGATAGATTATTGCGTCTGCCTTTTATTCCCTCGATTAAATCCCCATAGTGGTACATCATGCGGCCTTCGTCCATTCATCGGGCAATGATGAGGGAGGAGTATCATATGGATTGTATAATCAACATGCCTACCTTGTCTCATCTTGTTCATAGTGTATTAACTCTCCATGATGACTTGTGAATACGTCTTATGAAAGATCATCCAAACAAGGATGGCGCAAAATGACAGCTTCGTTGCTTATTACGATATCGAGATACCCGGCTGTGCTCCGGCGCATGAATGCATTTGTCTCGTTACAAGTATATTGCATACATATTTGGAGTAGGATTCCTTAGCTCCCCCGATAGGTGGTGTAGGAGAAAGGGCTGAGAAGGAGGGGAATGTGGTAGTGCTGGGAAGGGTCTTCGTAGTTGAAAGTGATCTGCGAGGGCGTCAGTCCTGATACACGACAGGTATATCGAGTGGCCGCACTTCAACAAACGGGTAAAATGTTTTAGTCTCTGTAGCCTTGAAGTAAGGTCCGGTTACAAAGACCATCTTGTATACACCAGCCTGGAGCTTCGTCTCAGACGAGAGCAGGTCTGAGCAGCGGCCGTCCGAGTTTGTCGCCCTGCTCGGAGTGAGCTCGTGGTGATATGGGACAGCTTGGAGCTTACCCCGAAGCGAGAACTTTCGCTGAGCCTTCTGTTGATTCTCCTGACAGGCTGACAAGCTCGAGGCGTACCTCGACTCCAGCAGCGGGCTTGCCCTGTGAAGCGTCGAGCACTGTGTTCAACAAATAAGCGCCGTGCCCTTCACAGTCCTTACAACTCACCGTGACAGGTGATGGGAGACTTGGACATGGCTGAGAGCTGATCGCACCACAAGGCCAGGTGTATGAGAGGACTGAAGAGAGATGCAACGAAGGAATCGTTATCTCACGCTTGATCTCCGGCTTGATCGCACCGGCGGCCGGAGCGGCAGAGTCCGACGCGTAACGTGACTCCCCCGGTCAATTGTTGGCGTATGACGTTCTCATGTGCTGGAGAGTTGCAATTGTGTTCCCGATATTTTGGTTTCACTTTATTTTCTTGCTTCTTGTGAAAAGCCCACTGAACCCTATAATCAGGACAGTTCTGCTCTTATTTCGCCATCACCTGCACCACAACTGAAGCCCAACGTCGCTCTCTCCAATCACCATGTCACGCGAGCCATCCTCTCCTACCACCCCTATCAGGCCTTCCTTCCAAACCGTCCCCACAACCCGCATCATTCGCACTTATGAGGAGATCAGAATCCCAGTCAAGACTGAAGAGGTATACCCCGAGCTTGAGTGTACTATGTGAGACTCTTCCGCCATAGCTTGGCATGATACTGATTGAGCCAGCTGCACCCATGTAATGGGTGCCCCGCAGTCTTTGGTCCCTTGTGGGTATGTTGAACAATATATTCACTGTCAAAATTCGGCTTACGCGAGATGAAGGCATTCTTTTTGTGGCCCATGCATTTGGGAATGGATAAAGACCCAGAACGCGCAGACTGTAAGTGTTACCATATGCCTCTCCCGGGGTTCACTAACTCTTCCAACAGCCACCGACATGTCCTCACTGTAGAAGTCCGATCGACCTTTCGAGGCCCATCATCCCAAACATCCTCGTCGACCAGATCATCGACCGCAAGCTGCAAAAGTTGGAGGACAAGCCAGAGAAAGAATCGTTAATTGTCGATCGCCAGGGAAAACTAAAGTAAGCAGTGCCGGTGCTCTCTTGATGTCCTTTGTCTGACGTAGCTACAGGGAATGGCGTGAGATCCTCTCTACGCTGCCTCAGCCCAGCCGCGCACCCCCTGCGGGCACACGCCAGAACGCTGCTCCCCTCCCATCCATCGTCGACGTTGACAACCGTCGCGCCTCCCGTCACTTTCCAGCACTTGGCGCTCCTGTCGATGTTGGTGTATCTGTCCCCATGGTACAATTCAACGACCACGGCCAGATCATCAACACTAACGACCCGGCTTTCCAGCTACGGATGGGGCAGCTCCGGTCCCGGGCGCTGGACAACCACTTGTTGGCGAGGGACCAAGAGTTTGCTGCGTCACAGGCGACGATGGAGGGAGCGAGGACTAATCATGGCACTGTGAGCCAGCCTAGTGCAGGTAGCGGCGGTGGTGTGGCAGAACAGCAGAACGGCGGCGGTGTCGCGCTGGGTGCCCATCACGCGAGCAGCCATGCCAGCGGGCCCGAACCAACCCGCCGCCGTTCCAGACTTTCAATCGATAGCGGCCGCCCTTACCCTCGAGAAAGGACGTCTACCACCAACGAACCACCTCAGTCTCCTCAGACTGCTTTACGCCATGCTACCGCCAACGCGGCAGCTAGACGTATCGCCTTAGGAAGATCTGAGCACAGGCCCATTGAGTTGTCGGACAGTGAAGGAGAGTGATGTGTAGGAATACGCAATAGGCTGCGAGTATTGTCTAATAGCATATGGATAAGCGTATATACATCATTTGTGATGGTTTCTTGACAGGTGGCACGAATAGATTCACCCGATTATGGATCAAAATGATACATTCTGGTCGTGCGTGTTTCAGTGCTATATTATATACAGTATCCGTATGCTAAAAGTGGTGTGCAGTGGGTTGAAATGTCCTTGTTCCTAAGAGTACAGCCTCAACATAATCTAGAGTTTAGAGGGCGTCTGCACCCTGCCGTCGGCGGGCTCGGCCATGTATCGGACCATTTGGAATTCCTTGTGCTTAAATCTGCAAACTTGTCAGCGTTTATCATCCATCTGGGCTGAGCTTTACGCACCCGCACTTCTCGTAGAAAGCTTTGGACGAGCGTCAGCAACTTTTCCTGATAGGTATTAGCGACACTCACGGATATTCTTGTCACTGCAGTCAAGAATGATCTTGTAGCACCCCCTAGCCCTGCCGACATCTTCCAAGGTGTTGATGATCTTGAGGCCTAGTTTCCTCCCTTGCATGCTCTTGGAAACTGCAATGTCTTCGATATGTCCAACCAGTCCGGCGTTGCGCAGGAATTTACGCTCCACGATGAGCGATCCGCAAGCCACCAGCTATGAATACGAGTGAGCGATGTTTCAGCGTCCCATGGATACAAGCGCACTTGGTCGGTCTGACGGTGAACGATGACGATGGTAAAGTAGACATTGCCGGCTGCCTTCATTTCGTCAAAGATGTCTTTGTATGCACTCGGCGACTGGGTGGGGGCAACAGTCAGCACAGAGAGGAGCTCGAAGTGGCCCCGGGAGAAGTCGGTGGAAGCGAGGGGGCGCAGCTACATGGCGGCAAAGGTCAGCAGGACAGCAGCAGCGTCGTGAGAAGAAGACGAACGTAGAGGTCATCGCCCAGCGAGTCCTGGACAGGGGCGGGGATGATGGAGGGGTCGAAGAGGAGGTCCAGGTTGTGGGATGCCATGGTGGGATGCGAGGGATGGGGAGATAGAATGGGAACAGATGAGAAGGGACAATTGTAATGGGACTACTAGTAAGACACTGCTTTGTTGTTGAACAGCCGGATTGGGCAAAATCAGTTACGAGGATTCGGAAACTTAGGCGCGCAGGGCTGGGCACAAGTTAGGCGCGTGGCTGGCCCAGTGGCGGCTTGATCAACTTCGTTGGTATCTATTAGCCCACCTTCACTCGCCCATATCCACCAATGCCCAGAAGAAAGAACGCCTACCTTGAAGACGGCTCAGACTCGGACGCCTCCATCTCCGGCCAGTCCGACGGCGCATACGACTCGCAAGAAGACGGGGATTACAAAGCCGAACGACGCCTCTTTGAATTCAAGAGCAACAAGCGCAGACGGACAGACGGCAGGTCCGGAAAGGAAGACGCATGGGAGGGGATATTCGGAGAAGGAGATGAGGACGTGGGCGGGAGGGGAGGGAGGGGAGGGATAGGTGGACGGGGGAGGAAGCCAGGGGCGAGTTCGTCACGGACAGACTGGACCAAGTGAGTCTAACTTTGCTGCTATGTCAAGCACTGCTGATATTGTGTCTTTTCTTAGAGCACCTACCTTTGTGTCAAATGGCAAAAAGACCGCTGAAGAAGACGAGCTGCAGGCATTGGAACGGCAGGAGCATGCGGAAGAAGAGGCCGCACAGAGAGCTTCGTCCAGCGGTTCCGACAGCTCCAGCGACAGTGAGAGCGGGGGCGCGGAAGAGTTAAAACCTCCTTCTCCTCGAGTGAGAGAGGAAGAGGAAGAGGAAGAGGCGCCCAGGCGAGGCATGGGGCTGGGATTCGGGCGAGCTCCTGCTACTGCCACGAATCTCGACGAAGCCCCGAGAGGCGGCTTGGGTGCTAGAGGTGCCGCTGTAAATCCGGTAGACAGCCCCAAACCAATCAACACCCCCTCGACATTTGGTCGTCCTCCCCCTTCTCTAACTTCCACCTCCGGCCCTCCTCGTGCCCAACGATCTTTCCTCCCCAAAGCCCCAGAACCGTCAGCGGTCAAACAGGTCGATCTCACAGCACACGAGCGCGCGCATTTCAGCAAGATCAAATCGTCGTTTGGTGCCAAACTCCTCGCCAAGCAAGGTTGGGAGGTCGGTAAAGGTCTCGGTAAGGACGAAGATGGGCGGGCGGTGCCGATTGAGGTCGGGAAAGTCTTCAAGGGACAAGGTATTCAGAGCGGCATGAGGACAGAGGACAGTAAACGAGAAGCCAGGAGAAAGGGAGAGCTCTCCGATGAAGAAGAGGAAGATGTTGGCCCCTCGCGGAGACGGGGCAGAGCGCCCAAGGCCCCCAAGGAAAAGAAGCAGGACAACCAAGGGTGGAAGAGAGAGAAAAAGGTCAAAGTCAAAGTGGAGCACAAGACCTACGAGCAGCTGTTGGCGGAAGCTGGGGACGGGTCTGTTACTCAGCCTGGCATTGGTCTGGTCCTGGATGCTCGCGGAGGTGATGTAAGTCTTTGCATCTCACGAGTCATACATGTTACTGACCATCAACAGCTGAAAGAGGTACAATCACTCTCATCGCTATCACTATCCAATTGGGCTCCGACATCCGAAACAACCCGTCTGCCTGAACTGCGCCACAATCTGCGTCTGATACTGGAACATACCAACGGAGAGGTGACTGGCATGGTCAAAGAGGGGAAGGTTGTGCAGGAGAAGCGCAGATGGGCTTTGCGAGAAGAAGAACGGTCAAGAGCCAAGTCTGAGCGTGCGGAAAAAGGTATGTCTGATCCTTTGACAATCTTTGACAAGGCTGATCCACGTCTAGAATTATTCAGATTGCAGCAAATTCAGCAACTGGTGCAGAATATCAACGACATTGCTACCCAACAGACAGCTACCGATAGTCCGTCGCTTGACCCTCTACAGGCAAACTTCAATACTTTGATCAACAGCTACAAAGACGAGTACAAGACTCTAGGCTTGGACGATGTTGTAGTGGGTGCTATTGGTCAAGTGGTACGTCGATGACTGGGAATTGGCTCGTGGGCATACTGACAAGGCGCTGTAGCTTCGCGACGAGTGGGCAGAGTGGCAACCTCTGAGTGTATCGTCCGACGTCCTCCTAACATCGCTCAAAACCTGGCGGAAAGCCTACAACCTCCCCACCCGAACGAATGACGCTGATCTTGCCGTGACATACGACGAGAACGGTTGGGAGGTTGAAAAGAAGAAGGAGGAGAACGGGGGCAGGATGATGACCGCTTGGGAAGCTTTGCTCTGGGCATCGTGGACACCCAAAGTCCGGTCAGCAATCAAGTACGTAAAGTTGGCTCATGTTTATGTCCAGCTGCTGACGACCAGCAGCAATGACTGGGAACCGTCAAGGCCCGACAAAGCCGTCCACTTGCTCGAGTCGTGGCAGCCTATACTACCCCAGTTCATCCTCGACAATGTCCTAGACCAGCTCGTTCTGCCCAAAGTCAAAGCTGCCGTCGAACAGTGGGATTCCCGCCGAGGCAAATCAGCCGGGTCACTTTCCACTATCGTCTTCCCATGGCTACCATTACTGGGCTCAGAGAGAGTTAAAGACGTTGTGGATCTGGCCAAGCGAAGGATACGATCTGTTTTGCGAAACTGGGCTGTCAAGGATGGTGTGCCCGATGAGCTTACTCAATGGAGGAGGGCAAAGGTGAGTTTGTACCATGTGTCACGCGGAGCTTGTGCTGATACACAACTCAGATGTATCCTACAAGTGAATGGGACAAGCTTATATTGCAGTTTGTCCTACCCAAACTTGGGGCTTGTTTACGGGACGACTTTGCCATCAACCCGCGCAAGCAAGACATGGTCCCGCTTCAGGACTGGGTATTGCCTTGGCATACTCTTATCCGACAGTCTAATTTTGCGCACCTCTTGGAGGCCGAATTCTTCCCCAAATGGTTGGATATCCTATATATATGGCTGATTCAACCTTCTTGCAAGCATAACGAGGTTGCCTCCTGGTGAGTCGCGACACTTGTATGTTGATGACTGATACTAACGCTGCCACAGGTTCACATGGTGGAAAGAGCGCTTCCCTCAAGCTGTCCTCGATATACCAGGGGTGGCCCATGGATTCGACAATGGGATCCAGCTCATGAGTGAGGCTGTCGGACTGGGCGCGGATGCTCCGTCCAAGCTCCAAAAGCCAGTCTTCAAGCCTCTCCCGCACAAGTCCAGCAAAGCCTCGAAAGCACCCAAGGCCAAGCCCGCTCCTGCCGTTGCCGGTGCCAACATTGTGCCCGATATCACATTCCGGTCCATTGCGGAAGATTACGCTGTTCAGAACGATCTCATATTTATGCCGATTGGGCGGTCGCACGACAAGACGGGCAAGCCGCTGTTCAAGGTGTGCAAAGGGGTGGATGGACGTGGTGGTGTGACGGTGTACATTGGGGAAAATGCTGTCTTTGCTCATATGGAGGATGGTGAATATAGGGCGGTGTCTCTGGATGACATGGTGAAGCGAGCGAGTCGGTGATGAGACGTGGTAATACATGCATTGGCCGTGACACGATGGAATAAGATGTTGACTGCTGCCACATTTGCCACTCTGGTGAATTAATTTTTGTAATTACGATTTACATAAGCGTTTTTCACGAGCGAGGCTCCCCGATCACGAGTTGCGCATGTTTCCTCTTTCCCCTCTTTCCTCTCCATCTATCACTACCCCGAGCGTACGATGCCCCCCGCCCCCCCGCTGCTATAACGACCATGCAGCCCTTCCACCCCCACACCCCCGCCCACAAACAACCCTACGCCGCCCCCGCCACCCCCGACTCGCCCTCTTTCCAGAAAGAGTCCCACTTCAGCTCCGACCCCGATCTCAGCCAGAAGAGGCAGGCCGCAGACCAGATCGTCACCGAGTATGAGGAGAAGAGAGACAAGTGCGTTTTTCATCACATGCGCACGCTTTCACATGCTGACAACAACCGCGTCAGATTGGCCAAGGCCATAGACTCGTCCGTCTACCTTCTTGCAGACCTCAAAAACTTCAATGGCGAGCAATGGACGGTGCGATATCCCCATCTGAAATCAGCAGAGTCCGTTCAGCCTGGGTCTCGTGAGTCTGATCTCTACACGAATCCTTTGATCATGTTCTGACCATGTTCCGACTTTGTCGCGTAGCCTCTCGACCCGGCATGAGCCGACGTACCCTGACATTCGCCGATGAGCCTTCCCATTCTACCGACGTTGTTCTCTCCTCCACACCCACGGCTCGGCAGTCTATAAAGCGATCGATTTCGGTGGCGCCTGCCTCGTCAGAAAACTCGTCGACGGAATCCGCCACTCTGGTCTCCGAGCCGGCCTCCATCGAGGACAATGAGGATGACTTTTCCATCCTCCGTCTCGACCTGAATATGGGCGCGACTCGACATGCCAAGCGCCTTATTTCGTCTCTCGAAAAGTCCTCTATCTCTGCCCTGCTCGACAACCGTATCTCAGCATCACTCAATCATCTTACCAGCCTTCAGAAGCGTATCTACGATGCTCATTCCCGGGTACTGGTAACTGGTGATCTGAATGCGGGAAAGTCCACCTTGATCAACACTTTGTTGAGACGAGCTGAGATCATGCCCACGGACGAGCAGCCCCTGACGACGCGCTTTGTCGAGGTTGTCAGCGCCAAGGAAAACGAGGACAAGGAGGAGATCCATATCATGGATCAGGGCGAGTACGATCCCAGCGACAAGTCCACATACTCTGTCATGGACATTTCCAAGCTTGAGGAGCTTGTCACAGACCTCGACTCTGATGCGTCTAGCCCCCCTGTCCGAGTCTTCCTGCGCGAGGCTGAGGATGTCAATAACCCCTCCATCCTCCATAATGGCGTCGTCGACATCTCCCTTATTGATGCTCCGGGATTGAATAGGGACTCGATTAAGACGACAGCCAACTTTGCTCGTCAGGAAGAGATCGACGTCGTCGTCTTTGTTGTGTCTGCTGCCAACCACTTTACCTTGTCTGCCAAGGA